GTGGGTATGGCTCCGTACTTGTGGGTATGCCTCTGTACGCACGTATCTTTGACCCAAGTCGCTAACAAGACGAATGAGATTTCGATAATTCGATATAAAACTATCGCCGAGTAGTGGGTAATAAATTCTCACTTGTCCCCGGTCTTACGCACTTTTTTCCCTTGCCTATGTATTACGAGATGTCACGCCGCGACAATTTCTTCCCCCGGGTATTCACTTAGGGAGGAGCGTTTAATTCACTGTCAACCCAGAAAAATGAATTAATGTCCCGACCGATAGATTAGAAGTGCGTTAAAAGTAGGGTTATTAATAAAAAAAAAAAAAATCGCTTCGCATCCTGCGAAACGTTGCATCAGGACTTCGCATTTGAATAACACGAGAGGAAACGACGACTCCGACTGGATTTGCATTCCCCTGTAATATTTTCTTTCAATGTACCGAGACCCTCCGGGAATGGATGTTTACAAGCTAATAATGACTCTGTACGCGTGTACGATCGACGGAGTAATCGTATCGTATTTAACGGTGGAATAAAGTCTCGGTGACGTTGACTTTCCTAACGGAGATTTCTCATATTCACATCGGGATCGGGATAACTATGTTTTTAAATATTATTCATGAGCATTCCAAGAGTACTTGTACGTTTTCCATGACGTTAATGCGACTCCCCGTACTTGCTTACCTATCATAAACTCCAGGATAATTGGGTCATTGCGGTACTTCTCCTTTTGATAATGCTAAACGTCGATATTACCAAATGCCCGTAGAAATTAATTTCAATTTGACGGATTAAAGAATAGTCAACTATGTTTCTTAATATCATTCATGAGCATTCCGAAAGTACTCGTACATTTTCCAAGACATATACAGTTTGATACTTGCACTTTGTAGTGAAAAATATTGAAGTGGTCCCCGAGACCACGTGTCAATGTTTACAGTACTAAAGTGCTATATCTATTGTCTAAAGATAATGAATACTTGTTTTGCAGTTACCAAGCCAGGAGTCGGTAATGTTCGCGCGTACGGGATGTACCTACTCAATTTTCCAACTTTCGCCTGTATGTAAATACACATTCGCGTACATAACCTCAACATGCATGACGAGTTAGGCTCGTGCAAACGACCCCGGGGGTAACGTCGCAGGTGAATACACCCGCATTCCGAAATAATTTACTGCAATAATAAAATTTCGTTGGACCTTTTGCGCGGGAAGAAGTGTCCATGAATACTGTCAGGATTGTTATTAAATTGGTGACGCACAGATGCTTATTATGCATGATGACAATAAAAGGCCGCCAATATTTACAAGTAAGGAAAACAAGCTTATGGCGTGTCGCCTCTTTCGGAGGCGTAAAAAACATATATTTTAGCAAAGTTTACAAGCGTTTGCACGCATCGGAGGTGCCGGCTGAATTGCACAACAATACACCCGACGGCGAGCACACGTACGTACGTACGTACATGCGTAAACCTATGTACGCAAGTTGGACTCGCGTATGCCCGCATTTCCGAATAATTTATCCCCGGAATAAATTGACATTGTATTTTTCATAAACACTTTCCGCGATTCCTTGGCAAATTGTCTATCCTCGGATGTGCAGCATACGCGATGACATAAACAAAGGGATACCATTTTTTACCAATAAAGGTGTAACGCGAGCTCTTCATTTTTTTTCTTAAATATTGTTTTGCATACATCGAAGGCAATGCCATTTATATTTCTGTTGGTCGTCTACGATGATTTTAACAATACGATACAAATGAGGCTTTCGACCTCTTCCTGCGCATGCGTCATCTTGAAATCCGCCAATTGCGTAATTCCCACATAACCAAGATAATGATAAAATAATGATTTAGAAATAAAAGTGAAATTTTAGAAATCCCCGTATAAAAGATTTTTGCTGCTCTAATTATTTTTAAAGGTCCACCCTCCCGCGCACGCGCAGAAGTTCTTTGTCCTTTCTCTTTTGTTCTCTCGGGTTGTTCGCGATATGGGAGTATTATAAAATCGTATGATCGAAGGTATTGCCTGAATTTCCCTGTAATATACCCTACTTACACTTACACGCGAATGCGTGAGTCGTAAGTTGGGCTGGCGTAAACGAGCCACGCAGGTGAGTATCACCGTCGATTAAACTTTCATTACCGGATTAGAGAAACGTCGCCGTCGATCGGGAGGCGGGGAGAGTCGAATTTACATCTCGAATTACGTCCCAGTGCCACCGGGCTTAAACGAGTGGCCGGAATGCATCTTGCGCGCATGCGCGCGTGTACGCGCCCACTGGCTTGCACATGCACCCGTGCACACCATTATCTAATGGACCAGCGCCATTATGCGCGCCGATAGACTTATGCGTATTGGAATTTATATGCGACAGCGGAATGATATTTAATTTACGGTCGCAATTAAGTTACCACGGGGGTCGTTATTTATAGATATCTACGAGCGACACCTGAAGTTACGAGGCTACGGTACATCCGGACCTTACCCTGACAAAGGAGATGTCATTGAACCAAAGAAATATTTCGTTAATTCCAATAATAATTCCCTCCAACGAACCGTAATAAATTAGACGTTTATCCGAAATGATTAAATAATTATCATTCTCGGAATGGAGGAAATATTTTTTCAGGCGTCGCCACAATTCCTGAGCATTATTTTACATGTAGATCCTTACCAGGAGTAATTGGGAACGTAGAGAAGAAGTCCCTAGGCGTCGGCAATAAAATCTGGAGATCTCTAAGAAAGCGAGCGAGCCGCGAGAAAGATGAAAGACGTTAAAAAAAAGAGCCGGAGGGACGAAAGTGCGGGAGATCCATTTGGCCCGGCGCATAGGACCGACCATAAAGATCGCCCGGACTGGTTCTCAGGGCCACGGGGCGGAGAGGTGGTCCCAGAAGGTCGACTACACGCGAGTCCCTTGGTCCCGCCTACACGGGAGCACTCGTGGCCGCGCGATGGCCGCTGTCGGTGAGTCGGATTCTCCGGCGGAGCGGGCCTCGAGGGGGAGGAGACGCGTCCCCTCCTTCCCCCTCCCCTACTCCGACTGAGCGAGCCCACCCCCCACCCCGCGGTCTACGACTGGCAGCCCGCATTCCCTCCTCGCCGCGGACCGCGAACGGATCTCCGACGCGGTTATAAATTAACCCGCGGACGCCGCCGCGTGGCCGGTTACGGAGGGCGAGGGGACTCCGACCCATGGTGGACGATCCTGGACCATGGCGGACCGTCGGAACTGTCCCAGGGTTTTTACGGGAAATACCTAGAGGAAGTGTTTCGCGTAAAGAATGCGAAAAGTACATTTAAGAGCATTTTCATATATATATATATAAAGCGTAAAAATATTTATAAAACTTTTCTCCAAACTGGGTGCACCGAATCGTTGGAAACTAACACGTGATTATGGAGGTCCTGAGTAAGAACGCGATGCTCGGTGAAGTTTCATTTTTTTAACGAGACATTTCTTCTTTGGGTCCTTATTACGAGGGTTATCACGAGAGGAATCTTAACGTCACCGTATGGACGAGAAATTTTCCATGATTTCGTCTATCTGGGTAATTATGACATGCTGGAAGGAACTTGGAAATTTTTGAATATGAAACGGAACTACCGTTGGAAGGGCTGCGGCTGATATGGGTTATCACGATGGAATCTTGACGGAGACAAACCGTGGGTGGTCGAGCTGTATCGGAAATGCCGCGTCCCACGCGCGCGCATTTCACAACAATGTTAAGACAATGAAGGGTCCACGGGAACTAGGGTCCCAGGGCGAATCGGGAATCGTTAAGATTTCCCAAAGCGTTTTATGTTCGGCTGAATGTTTTCGAACCCCCGCGAGTTGTTTTATGGCGGTCCTTCGGCTTAACTCCGAAAGGCGAAGATTCATCCGAGAGAGACTAGCAAAAAACGCGAAGCCTACGCGGTGGTTCTGCATGAACCCCATAAAAAGAGACGTCCTCTAAAAGCATCCATCGATAAAAACCCATTGAAATGATCCTCCGCTTGGTAGGAGAAATATATTAACACGTTATGTCCCAGGGAAGAGGCTTTTTAGCGAGAGAGGAAAGGGAGGTCGTTCCTTTTTATACCAGACCCGTAATTCATTTTACCATTATCTTCCTTTTGTTTTTTTTTAGAACTATACTTACAAAGATATCCGTACACTATAAGGGATAGACGAGGTCCTTATGAAGTCAATGATAAAATGATGGGTACAGAATTGAAGAATCTGGAGCGAGGAGATAATTAAAAGTATGTGCCCAGTAACGCGAACTATAGCCAATTTACTCGGAACCTGGACTAATTAATTCCCATAAAATAATACATTATGCTATCTCCCGCGGTCTAAATGAAATCCAATTACTTGGTTCTTTAGGTTTAACCAGCGATACGCCGTTTTCCTGCCGTATCTGCACCGCGCAATAACCAAACGTTCCATTGCAAATTGCGCGTGAAACGCCCTTGCTTAAACACTGTAATCAGTATTTAATAAAATAATTTGTTTCCCTTAGTACGGTAACGCCATTAGCGTCTACTTATCGCGCTCTGAGCTGCTCGCATTTACATTGAATCTCAGCAATTCCCACGGTTCGTCTGCCAAGCGTGCTTCTTAACCATTTCTTATAGCACCATAAAATTCGCAACACCTGAGAATAAAAATCTGAGGCTTAAAATGGAAACTGAAGATCTTCAGGACCTAGCTCGAACAATTTAAAATTTGTTCGAGTTAGGTCCTCCATATTCGCATGGTAAAATTTGAAAGGAATCGGTACCCTCAATTCGGATAATATTTTCCCCAACAGTTTAACTTCTCAGACATATATATAGGCTGACTCTTTTATATCATCTTAATGTCGTAACGAGGCTTAAGTAGAATTAAGTTCAGGTTAGGTGCCGGAAACATTTAATTTTATCGTCCAAATGAACAAGTGTCATGTGGATGTTACACTTTTCGGCTGAGATCGCAGACCAGGATTGACCTAGGCCTTTTTCGTTACAGCAAATGACGTGGTTGTAGCTCTCGAGGAGGATGTTCCACGGGACCGGAAGCGGCGGGTACGGCGCAGGTTCCGACTACCAGCAGCAATCCCAACAACAGCAGCAACAACACGGCCAACAATTGCAGGCCCCGGTGTACGTTCCTTCGTCCAGGCCGACCATTCCTTCGGCAGCCACGGCCCAGTACCATTCCTTTCCCGGCTCGCCTTCACCCGCGTGGTAAATCATTTTTAAGTATATCATTCTTTGCCACTTCTTAAAATTATTATAAAATATCGTAAAGATCCGTCAAAGGTACAAGTTCTTGGGGGTCGAATTCGAACTCTGATGACGGATTTTATCACGTTTTTTATTTATCCATAATGTACATTTAACATAGAGGAAGGTACAGAGTTAGTCGGGAGTTCTTGGAGCTGGTCGGAAAATGCTTCTTGCAAATGAACGTTCAACCATCGCCGTTCCAGGGAGAAGACGGCTTCGTGGCAACATGGCGTCGATACTTACGCGGCCCACCACGCGCTCGCCGGTCACACGGGGAGCTCTGCTGGAGGCATGGGACCTCATACGGGGCACTCCCACCCCCATGCCGGTCACCCGCATACTGGCCACCCTCACTCGAGCCTCGCCGCGGCCGCGGCTGCGCCCTTCTATGCGCAGAACGTCGCGATGATGTCCTCTTGGCGCGCATACGACGGCGCGGGCTTCCAGCGTGCTTCACCATACGGTGCGTTATTTTATTGACATTTATATTTATATTGAAATCTTTTACCGTCCACGTTGAGAATTATACGAACTGAAACGTTCAGTATGTCATTTCGGTAAAGTAATGACGAAGAGATCGACGTTAAACTCTCGAAATCCCCGGAATGCATTATTCTAACGACTGCTTAGGACCAACGTCGCCATCTGTGACGTTTAGCTGTAACTAAATTTTTGCTCTAAGAGCGCGTCTACTTTTTCGTCCAGAAGTATTCCAGGAGCTAATCAAGATTAGCCTTCGAAGAAGGCTCTCGAGATTCTAATTCCGAGTTAAGATCCTCAGATCGCGTCCACTTGAGGCAAAAATAGAGTGTTCATTAAGCTGTATGGCCAAAAACAATTTAAAGTATAGGGTAAGGTCCGAATAGACGCCTACGTTTTTAACATATGTTTCCGATGATGTTGACTTTTTGGTACGTACATATCACCTTAATACACACAGAGCAAAAAGATAAGTCGTACCATCATGAAAATACAAGTACGTTTTCGAGGGCATTAATAATCGGTAATGGCATATTACATACAACATAAAATATACATTATATCTATCAAGAATGGATATCAAGATATATAAATATCTGCAAGAATGTTAGAAAATTCCGTATACCGTATACAAGGCTTTCAACGCGTACTTTATGAACTTGTATTACTTCCAAGGAGCAATGCAATCCGGGGCCATGTACAATTTTTGCAAGCTGTCCTCTACTGTCGATTTCTTTCCGAAAAGTCATGAAATTTTCAAGCCCGATGTGTCCCGGATGTTCCTAAATCCGAAGGAACACGGTTCGCCAATCGAGGAAATTTCGAATTCGTATTCAGATGCATATAATAGAATTTTTTCCCGAGCTCACGGGGAGAGCATGTACTTGCTCTCTCGTAATCTTTGCGCTATATTGACACGGCGAATCGGAATTACATGAAGTTGAGGCACCCACGTGCGCCCACCAATGGGCGCGGCTGTTACATTACAATATTAGAGTTTTCCCTCGAATATTCCGGGAAACTCATAATACATTCAACATGCATTTAATGCATTCAACATACAAATGTATATCACCTATCATCATAAAAAAATATCTAAAGTATATATATATTTTTTTAAGTGGAAGATAGACGATGTACAATTCCTATACCTATGGACCTAATTTAGACGATTAATTTACGTATATTCCACTTAATGGGTTGCCTGGGAGATTACTTTAAGGGGGCGTAAAAACGTAGAACCACTCGAGGGAAATGGAAAAGGGGACTGTGAGAGAGTTCCTCTCCTGGGGGATGCAAAGCAGGATCGGGTGCATCGGGTGCATCGACTGCATCGGTAGCAGCACCGGCGGCGGTAATCGGCGGGCCATGTGCGGATAAGTGATAGCGGTCTCTTTGAAAAGTGCCGAGAGTTGAACCTACGGTCAAGTGCCTCGGATCACGGCTGCCCAGAGAAGCGGCATAGTTTAAATGGATGATCTGCGTTTAAATCGAGCAAGGGCACCGATTAAGGCCCAGACCGCGATAAATGCGGCAAAAGCAAAACCGTATAGTACACCGTGGCACTGGTATTTCTTACAGGCGTACAAACTGTAATTGTTCCTATTTTTTTTATTATAATTGCACGGTGTATTTATATAGTTACGCATTCCGTTCACTGATGATTGACCAAGAGATCATTGGTTGAATTTACAGACACCGCGATGGACTTCCAATTCGGTGAGGGCAGAGAATGCGTGAATTGTGGTGCCATTTCAACTCCACTTTGGCGAAGGGATGGCACCGGCCATTATCTGTGCAATGCTTGCGGTCTTTATCACAAAATGAACGGCATGAACCGTCCTCTTATCAAGCCCTCAAAACGCCTGGTAAGTTTATCAATTGATCGGTGGGTTGTAGGAATATGTATTAACTGCATACTCCAGTCATATCCCAGTAATGCCATTACCGACATTTTATCAACTGATAATTTATGGAGGATTCTCAAAAGGGAAGACCGCGTTCGGATAAATTAACAATGGGACAGATCTCCGAATTGCAGACGGCTACACGACGGCTCGGGCTTTGCTGCACGAATTGTGGCACCAGGACCACAACACTGTGGAGGCGCAACAACGAAGGCGAGCCGGTTTGCAATGCCTGCGGCTTGTACTTCAAACTTCACGGAGTGAATAGACCGCTGACGATGAGGAAGGACGGAATTCAGACGCGGAAACGCAAGCCGAAAAAGACTCCGGAACCGAGCGCGAGGACCAACACCGGGGAACACGAAACCAACGCGTCGTCGACGTCGTCACCCCCGAATGGTTAGTTCGGATATTAGGATCGAAATTATTAATGAAGTATTGCCATTTTGACATTCCCTTAAGGGACAACTCAGACCGCGGAAGTTTAAAATTAAGAAACCCTGACCTAGTCATTGTCTTCGACGTTTAGCCTGGCGCGTCGAACTAGACAATGAATTTAATTTTTTATCAGCCTCTTGAATGAGTAATGTCAACCTTAACCAGGTCATCGAGATTGGGCTATTTTCCTGCGCTTTTAAGCCGCGACGAAAATCGATTTTCATACAGGGATGTGGAATTATCAATATTCTTTGTTATCCCGTTGATTCGCAGAGTTGAAGAACAGCCAGCAGCAGCATCAGCTGGAGGTGGCGAAGTCCTCGAATTCTTCGACCTCGACCTCGGCAGATCGATCGGTGTACCTAGGTCATACATCTTTACTGGCCAGTGGAAGTGTCCCTACCGTCAAAACGGAGCCGCGAAGCTGCGACGGAATCGTCGGCCAACCTTACGGCTCGTTTTACCAGCATCCTCATCAGCTGGGGACCCCAACGAGCGAACATCAGCAGCAGAACTACTACAGCTCCCAGGAAGCACCGTACCACCATCAGCACCACGTAACCGCGGCCGCGAAGCTTCTGGCATCGACGTAAAGACATCCCCAAAGTGTCTGGTAAGCATGATAAGGTTCTCCCGGAGGCTTGATAACGTGAAACGCCCCCTTGAAAAGAACTTTAAAAAGACCAGGGGATGTGGACCTTCTCAAAGAAGTCCACATCAAAAGGATCTTTTCCGACGATGGGCTTATCATCCGGGTACTTGGACAATGATTAACGGCAAGATCAAGGGAGCTGGAGGACTCGATGTCCCGAGCACTTAACCAACAGGGATCATGAACGCGATCTTTTGAACCTTTGGTCCGAACCTTGGGATTTGAGTATTAACTTGTCACGTACAACGGATTGCTTGCAGTGAATATCCCCGCTTAGAAGTTTAACGTAATGAGTCGTTGAATCCACTGAACCTAATTAATATACTTGGACGCCCTAACAAAAGAGTATCAAGGATAGAAGTTGTCATGAACCGTTTAACGCCAAAACGAAGACCGCAAACGAGAAAGATCTCCCGAAAGCTCGTATGAGAATGATATCATTCCCCGATACCGAGGTTTACCCTGGACGAGAAAGTGGACGGTTGATTAGGGCGATTAACGAAGCTCCCGGGGTCTTCGATTTCGCAAGAGCGGTAATTAGGAGATGCCGGTGGAGGCCGATGAGAAAGCCCCGGAAACGTGGCCGAGGAAAGCGACTTTTTGGACCCCTGGGGACCCTGAGGTCGATAAACGGACTTCCGTGATCTCGTTTCCATCCTCGATCTCTCCGAGAGGGGCGATCGGGCGAGCTTTTTGCGTTAATTACAGGAGAGAAAGAAAAAGGGACTCCGGGACGAGCCGAGTGTCGCGTTATCGGAACCCGTTCCTTACCGGCGGGACTCTAAGTGCTTACTCGATGTGTGATATCGATTTAAGTTATTTATGGCACTCTGTCTTTTCGGATGGAGCCTGGAAAAGAATATTAATGGTAATCTCCGCGAGCGGCCACGTGTGGAGCTAGGTGGTGTAAGGGCGACTCGGATTCTCGTGTCTCCACCTCTCGGAGCATCTAAATGTTCATCTTATACCCGCTGGTCAAATGTAGGGTTCTTTATGTCGCCGGAATGCAAATATTCGACAACAAAGTGAACCCTCGTCCCGTTTGGACTCGCCGACTTTGCCAAATGGATTCGAAGAAAAATGTATTGCTGGGTACGAGTGCCTTCCCCATATTCAGTGTATGATCGTTAAGGTGGAGTGAAATCGGTCGAGTCTAATAACACACTTTTTTCCTTTTTTTTCTTTTCTTTTTAAGGGTATCGCCCAGTCGATTCAAATGACACTGTTTCTTTTGTGTGCTCAATCGTTCATTCAATCGAATATCTGAATTCTGCCAGTCCTAGTCAGGAACAGGTGCGGGGATAAGTATCGAAAAGCAATTGTTCGGTACCTGTCCTCGGTACGGAGGGACGGTAATCCCGATTCGAATCGACGAGAACATTGACAATTAATCGAGATTCTCGAGTCAGCCTTAAGGTAGCTACACGCGTAACGATAAATCGCGGCGATTTGTTTGCGCCGTTAAGGGGATGCGAAAGTCGTATCCGAGTGGTCTGTCGTTCTTGTAGCTTTTCTCCAAAATGGGTGTACCGAATTGTTTCGCACTTTACAACGTGAATATGGAGGCTACAAGGAAGATCCTGATTCCTTATCGCAGATGTGCAGATACACCGCAGCGATATATCGTTACATGTCACCTTTGAGGGTACACCTCTACGTACTTAATATGACTACACACGTAATGATAAGCCATATCGATTCATATCCCGTGCAATTAATTCGAATTCCACTGTGACGCCTCTTAGTTAAATCTATGTAGATCGGTTTGCGCAGATTTATCTCAACGATTTATTGTTACATGTATAGTCACTTTATGATAGATCAATGCGAAAGGATCAATCTAAGCTGGACAGTTCCTAAAAAGCCAGGGGAAGATTAGTTATCATCTCGCGTTCACTATTTCGGTATCTACCCCAATTTAACACCAATTGCGATCGTCAACTTAAACGAGTACGTCATTGTAAATAGCGTCGAGTGCGCATTTAGCGAGCCTAGAGATATATCCGACTTGATCGAGTAGGGTCACTATTAATTTTTATGGATTTATTATTAATAAAAGGAGGACGCACGCACGCACAAGGTAACCCCACTCGTGTACTTATGCAATAAAGTTTCGTTTCGACGAAGTGAAATCCGAGTTGCTTGGATCGCTCGAGAGGCTCTTTTGTGGACTGTGTCAACATTGTTAATACAAGGAGAAACCCCGCCCTGGTCACGTTGATTTAACCCCCCATGACGACTACCCTTCCACCTCCACCTTAGGAAAATCACCTCTACCCTAGAGGTGTCAAACTGCGCAGAGTGCTCCTGGAGAACCGTCATAACTTCCGTTCAGTCGACTTCCGACTATCGGCAAAGCCTATTTCCAATTTCCTTCTTTCGAGGAACAAGATACAATTTTTTACGATTTTTCTCTCTCAAGTACATCTCTTATCACGTTACTAGTACTTGTGCGCCAAACTGGAAGATAATCGTGATTCTACTATCAGCCGTCACTTATTCGCATCAATGGGTAAGTTTGCATGGCCACGGTTTTATCAAATTTGTTTCTTGTTCTCGATCCAGTGATAATAAGGTTTGTTATCCGCGTCTTTACTTTAATTGAAAAATTGCAAGGAAATCGTATAAAAAAAATCGTATAAATCATTTTTGATTAAGAAAATCTTCATTGAGGGGCAATTGTTTTTAATGAATTATAATTTACTACAGGAAGAACACTACCCACTCCAGTGGCTTGCAAAGTATGTGGAGACCGTTCTTATGGTAAACATTATGGAGTTTACTGTTGCGATGGTTGTTCTTGTTTTTTTAAAAGATCCATCCGCCGAGGAGCACTTTATACCTGCATAGGTGTGTCCACTTTATTTCATGTAAATTAAAGTCCGATAAAGAATTATCCGTGAATTACCGCGACGAGTCTCCATAAATTTAACTAAAACTGAAGTGAACCGGAAATGTTTATTTACAGCCGGAAACGGCGCTTGTATAGTCGACAAAGCTCGAAGAAATTGGTGTCCACATTGTCGGCTTAAAAAATGCTTCACAGTGCATATGAACACAGCAGGTAAGGCATTATAAACAATTTTTTATAATATATACCAGACAAAACGAAACAAATTATTAAAAAAAAAAAAATTAACAGGTCTCGAGTACTTCAGATCCCATTGTTCGAAAGTACAATGTATACATTGAAATTAAAAAATGAGGACACTAAAGCTCTTCGGCTAATTTTTCTTCAAATATTCAAACATTATGTGTACACGCATAATTAATTAATTCTTGATTTAATGGGGGCGTGTTTAAAAGAATAATTTGTCAGGGATATAAGAGTGATAAGAAATATAATTCGGTGCACCCAGTTTGGGGAAAAGTTTGATTTGAATTTTTTCGCACGTATATATCAGACTTTCATACCACCTTAGGGCATTATGCAAATACGTGATATAATGAGGGCAAATTTGAAAAATAATTCGTCAAGATCTAGCGATATAAGAGACGGTGGCAAAATGAGGAGGAAGTCAGGTTTCAAGGCAGGTGCGCAAATCGAGCGAATCGAAAGGATGCAAACACTGGCACGCGTTGGTCACGCGACCAGGCCGACTTGTCAACGGATTTAATTGACAGCCGAGTCGTAACTGGAGCGGATGCCACTTCAAAATGCACTCTCATATATCCACCATCATAAAAGGAAACCAGTACCTCCGCGATAGCGCGCTTCGCGGTACTCTAATTAACGTAATTAAGAATATCGAGCGTCATCCATCGGGGAGAAATCCTCGAGTCATGGGACTTGGATTTACAGTCTTGCCATTTTACGATAGCTTTCTACCGTGTAAATCATTTTTGGATCCCATGCCTGATATCGTTTGCACGAGTGACCTGCATATATCGACGTGAAACTTCAGTCAGTCATTGTTATTGTTCAATAAGTTGCCTTATTACATTAATCATTTTACAGTTTATTATACATCAGGTACCGCAAGTACATAAGTTCTAGAGCTCGCTTTTACGTTACGTTTACTTTACCACCACCAGGCTGTGCCATGTACACGAGGAAGCCATTCATGACCGCCAGGGTACATAGTTTTATTTTTAAACAAATTACAAACAAATGTATCGTTAGTGCGTGTGATCGACAGTCGTACTTTCCCCAGTTTTGCATTAAGAAAATATGAATTTCCATATTTTCCCATGACGGCGGACAATCTCGGAGCGATATCGAGCTATTGACAAAAAGTTGACAGGACGGACCGACTGACATGTCAAACTTAACAACGATCAAATCACATCGAGTATGTCACCCTCGGGTCGGCTTTATGTACACATGAACTCACCCTTCCCCTTTTGGTTAAAGGAACATTCACACGGAATATCTCTAGAATATGAAAAGAATGGAAACATCGAAAGCTTGAATATTATCCGAAACATACATACATAATAAGCACTGCATTAATAATTCACCTTATAAATCAACGAACAATTTTTAATCAAACAATGAATCTTGTAAACGAAAGTACATAAGCTTGTATGCATATCGCATTAATAATTAATCATATATAATAACAACATCGACCGCAGATTATTCGCCGCCTAAACACTTAAGAAATTGCCTAGTTCCTTTTTCCATTAATCCGACATTGTTTAAATTAAATAATTTCAAGCATAAAAATTCATGATATGGTGAATGAACAACCCCTCGATTCAAAAAGCACAGACACGAACGATGGTAAAGTAAAGCATCTTGCAGCAGTCCAAGAAGAGAGAGGTCCTCGTTCCGGAAACAACACTTCCTCGACGTCTTCGTCAAAATCCACTTGGGATGCAAAAAATGACTCTTCAGGGAGTACTTCAAGTTCTGCGGCTAATCAGCCACACAAAAGGCAACGTCTTCGTACTCAAAACTACATGAAGTCGTTTCTTAAAGTGCAGGCCGACGCACATTTCCTTTACCCTCCTCTTCTATGTCCGCCGCCATTTTCTGGGATCGTTCCACCAGGTAAATCTAAAACTAGTAATAAGAAAACGCCTCAAGATGTTACTATATTCACCGTTCACAGTGCGGTATTAATTTAAGTATACCGTGTTTCAATTTCAATTGTCATTCTACCAGAGGATGCCGTCCATTACGAGATTTCCGCCCAAATCCTCCTGACGACGATCCGGGATGCTCGTCGTCATCAGGACTTTTCCATCCTGGACGTCGCCGAGCAAAACGCGATTCTTCGTAGGACTTGGTCCTCCCTCTACATCCTTCGATCTTGCACCTGGCCGATCGATATTTCCGATCTGCAAAGAAGGACCACGAAGGTCTCAGCTGCGACCTTGAAAACTGCACGCACCCTGGTGTCCCAATTGCATCTGGACCAGGTGGAGTTGTCGGTCTTGGAGACTTTCGTCCTGTGTCGACCAGGTAAACACCTCCGAGTGTATTTTTTATTTCGTTAAAACCAGAAGGAAAAATGACATCAACGGTAAACATAAGTTTATACAGGCCTTTCAAGAAATAATTGCTCAAATTTTAAGAAGATATTCTGAACGTCTGATAAAAAATTCTCGCTTAAGGTGATATCAAAGGGTTATTAATATATAGACTTAAATATTAATAATAATAATGTAATGAACCGTAGTTTACATCTCAAGCGACATTGAAAAACTCGTATATGTCATGTTTCATTTGTTTTCACGCATGTGATACAATTACGATAAAATGAACTGGATTTAATGACGCCTTTGACACATTTTCCGTTTAATTTCTGACTTGCAGAGTTAGTAGAGACAACGGAGAGCATGAAGATTCTCACGAAGGCGAGGAACTCCGCAATTGATGTTTTACTTCGACATCATCAAGACCGAAGCGACCAAGGCCACCGAATTATACAAATCATGCTTATTTTACCATCCTTAATGGTTAATTATCCTCGAGAACTCGGGCAGGAACTTTTTTCCCCCATTATTGGGGATGTCGCATTAGACCATGTGATCGCCTCCATTCATTAAGTACTAATAATTGCTTCAAAGTGCTCCTCTTAATTTATGTAATAAATAAATTATGTATGTATATATATATATAGTCTGGTTCTTTCATACCACCTTAAGTATTCCACTGGTTAGGGGAAAATAATAATTTTCCGTATTGTCGGGTATGTAAATGTTCAAACGTACCTATTCGCCTGTAAGTCGGTTCCGATGTTCTTCGGAAAATGGCAAGAATGCAATTCCGCCGATCTCGGAGGTTAAACCATATAAAGAGTCCTTATCAGGAGGTATAAATCGCAAAGTTTGTAAACCGGTGCCAGGCACCGAGCTGCGTTTTCAAGGTGCATTTTGCAGTTCAATGTGAACGGTTAATTCTAGTCAGAAGGTGCTAACTGCCTGTTCCTCGTGACTGATATTTCTCGGAAAATACTTCGCAATTAATCTCAATTAATCCGAATTAATCTCAATTCCACATCGACCTGTGATATTTGACCGACTGATGTGTAATAGATAATACCTAGAAATTTTTGATACCATAATGTCAGGACTGACGAAATTGTCGGTGGCATTTATGGTGGTGGGCATTAAATGTTTACTCGAGAGTAAGTATACAAAAAAATACCATTCAAATAGAAAATTATCTCCCATTCTATCCATTTGCAAAAAAAGATATAAACGATTATTACAACATCCACGAATAGTTCATTATTGAGATTATTACATTTAAAGGAATTTAATTTTATAAGAAGGTTGACTCGATTCGTGAAATGTTTAAATTTTTACTGCTTGGTTTATCAGCTGGAGTGGATGCAGGTTTTAATCAACAATTAGCACCGTTTAAAGGTACGTTAGGTTTATATTACCTTAACTTCACTTACTTCATTTTGCATACTTACTACATTATTATGAAATATATTGTCAAGCACTATCAAACATTTACTTCTTACAGAAAGCTACAGCTGGAATAAAAATGTATTTACAAGTGACATATGTAAGTTTGCAAAATCATTTATCCATCGAATTAAATGATTATTGGTATACCGTGATATTTATATAATGCAGGTAAAAACGAACGTCAACCGGTGGTTGAATATTACAATTTAAAAAGAAGTCAATTCCTATTTTTTTCTCAACGCGTCACTTGGGAAGAGGCTCGACTTTTATGTCACACGTACAATGGGAAATTGGCAATTCTTGACACCATGGAAAAAGCCATGGCCGTTGCCGGTGCATTAGCAGACTCGAACATTAGTAAGTTCCCCCTTGCCACCATAAATATTGAAATTACACTTTTAATTAAAATAAATCTATCCCCTTTTCATTCAATTACATATAAATAATATAATATAATCATATATAATAAAATAAAAACAGCCCATTTAAATAAATCCATCCTATCGATTAAGTGATGGAAGACACATGGATAGGCGGCCGAAGACTCGACTTCACCTGGAGTTGGATCGACAACGAGGCCGTGTCCTGGAGGAAAAACGAAATCCCCATGGAATCGGACACAGAAAATTTTCCACCATGGAGTAGAGAGCCTTCTCGACCAACCAAAGAATGCCTATCCATAGACAGACGTTCCCATTCTCATCCAAATTTCATCGACCTAGACTGCCGTCTCCAGCGTCCCTTCATTTGCGAGAAGAGTGAATATCCCATTCATAACGACAAAGACAGGAACAAAAATTTCTAAGCCAAGATCCTTTCTAGATCTTTAATTAACAATTCTTGAAACCTTCTCTCGCAGAACCGGAAGCCTCCCTAAAAAATCCAGTTCCTTCAAAATGGGTGCAGATCCACAAAAGCATCTACACGCTTTATCACGGCAGATTGACATGGCCGGAAGCAGCTGCATTTTGTCGATCTCAAGGAGCTCGATTAGCAATAGTCAATAATCGAAGCACCATTGACATCCTCACCAGCAGCATGACCAAAACACGACCAGGTGCATTATACAATATTAATTAATATCGTATACCCAGGAATGTTACGGCGAAGTGTCAGACGTCGAGAAATTTGATCGAATGTGTTATAATATTTTTATTAAAGATTTCGAAGCTGTGTGGATCGGCGCCCATTTTTCATACGGACAATGGATGTGGATATCAACAGGAATGATACTCAGTCCTGTTATGGGAGAAAATGGGTATCCACCATGGCAATTTGGTCGGTCAGAAAAGAAGAAAGGATGTCTCCTCTTAGACAGACACATAGAGGCCAGCGTCCATTTTGTGGAAATTGCTTGCGACAGGAAGCGGGACTTTGTCTGCGAGGAGTGTAAGGTTCTGGATAGAAATATATATAATATATGTATATAATTATATTTTCAATTATCACGGGATATCAGCGTGAAACTCTAATTAATGGGAACGATCGGTTATGCGATTTGCAAATCTCGAAACGATTGCAGACTCGGAGGACGAAGAGGACGACTGGAGGAACGAGCCCGCCAAATTCTCCCACGATAACACGACCTACATTATTTATCCAGCGGATAAGACCTGGGAAGATGGTCGGAATTTCTGTGAAGAAAGGGGAAGTATTTTGGCATCCTTGGATAACATGAATGCAACGAATCTAATCGTGGAAGCTATGGGTGATCATCCAAGAGGTGATTACATGAGCCTAAGAATTATTAGTCGGTACATATACAACATCGAATCTGAAAAAACATTGAAAATATTCTGTTACGTCTTCTTCTTCTTTTTTTTTATCAACAAGTTTTCTGGAGCCCGTTTAGTACTTCCTTATTATAAATAATTTATAATCCACGCCTACGAGTCATTCAAATTGTTACTACTTCGTCGCCCATTATTTCCCCAGAAATTTCACACGTCTGGCTGGGAGGACATTACAACAGGAAATATAAACGATGGCAATGGCTTAACAATGAGGAAAAAATATCCACCGAAAAAGATACAGAAGGGTTTCCACCCTGGGCAAATATAGACGCAATGGAGGATTATTTTCCCGGCACATCGATTTGTTTAAACATGGACCGAAGCGATCATGTCAAGCCTCATATATACGGTCTTGACTGCGAAAGCAAACAACCGTTCGTCTGCAAAATAAGTATGTATATATGTTGGGAATTTGAGATGAATTGAGAATAAGTGTTGTAGAAACCCTTCCGAAATAATACTAATTTTTTTAAATTATTATGTCGTATGTTTTTAGAGTCTTTGGCACAAGATAACGCTCAAACAATTGCTAGTTCGGTGATAACCGAAGTTGTAACGGAATCGAGTCAGAACAACCGTAATGAATTTTCCAATACATTACTGGCGGAAAATACAACGATTGTTGAGATGAGCGAAAATCAAGCGGTTAATAAATCTCAACAAACATTGCAAGATGAAACGCAGAGAACAGATGTAGAGAAAAAATCAAAGGAAAATGTTTCTTCGCAAACGGAGGCTGTCACCGAAACATTACAGGATAAATCACCTACAGAACAAATAACATCAGCAATTACGGAACAAATAACATCAGCAATTACAGAACAAATATCTGAAATGTCAACTAAATTGCCACCTGTGACTGAAGAAATACAACATGAGTATCCAAAGGATTCAAAAGTAACACCCACTGGTAAGATAAATAAATAAATGCATCTTTTACAACACGTGACAGTAAAATATTATTGTAACAAAACATAAGAACAATATAACGTTCCAGATGCACCGATAACTGAAAATTCAACATCTCATACAAAGACACCGGAAACAACCCTGGAAGCACTCAGCGATAAAAGTTGATTAAAAACCATATTCCATGCACAATTCCGTGCCAAAATGACTATCGAAAACCCCCGTTTTCTTTGGCACTTTATTAGTTAATTTGTAACAACTTACAAAATTATATATATACATTACCTTAGAATAATATGGCGTTTTTTGAGAACAATGTGATTAACACGTTAAAATACCTACACGTGGAAGTGATATGTATTAGAAAAATCATTGAAAACGTCGAGAAGAAATAATTGGCACGACTCAGCTTACAAATTACTTCTTTAAATAATAACAAATCTGTCGTTAAAAATACTTGAAATATGGCGTAATTAGATACCTCAACTGTAATCGACGTTCGTAGTTTTCTCGACGGTTAATACGTTTCTGATTTATAAATAATCCCAGCCAATTAAAGCAGCACTGTGTGATCTATAAAATTCAATTTTACATATCTCTGCTGGTAACGATATAAATCTCGTAGACTTAAACATTTTATATATCTTGGCGGACTTCGTTATACGATTATCAGAAAATGATTTACTATGCTAGTGTAAGCGGCTTACCTTGAACGAATATATTAACAGATTATAATAAATATTATTAGTAAAAAAAGAATACCTAAATATGAATAGCACGGATAAATTGAGAGTCTGTCCTTTGCATTATTTCAATATTAAACGACTTATTTCTTAACGTGTTTCTTGTGCTTTCGTTTCATTACCTAGAACCATTTTTACAACCTCTCCATCCTGCACTAAATACGCATTAAAAAAAAGACCCATAAACGTTGCATTCGCATAAATGCACGAGATGTAAAAACAATATCTTTTGGAATTCTTCATAGAATATTCGCCAACTCGCCATGCCGATGCAAGACGTGCCAAGAGTGAAAATAAATTCCAAGTTTCGCAATCGCCAAGAAGATCCCATTAAAAGTGCCTATAACACGTACATCCAAAATACTGGGATTAAAATGACTTTGAGAAATAAAATATTAAACAATTTTGTTAAATTCCCCAGTATCCCCAGCTCGAAAACTAAAACCGTGCTTTTATAAAAAGTCTCCATGTAAAAGTATTTTTTTTCTTTTTTATAACAAAGGCAACACAAAGGCATGACGAGTGGTGAGAAAACATAGTCGACAGTTATCGAAGTAGAGCCTGATTGTGCGATAACGTTCAGTAATACTTTTTCCTGCACTTGCGGTATCTGTCCTCCTCCGATTGCCTGCGCAATTGGTTGATTAGCTCCCTAGGTACATACCACAATTTCTCAATGTTACGAAGTAGAGCCTCGGTAACCCTGCAGCAAATCGCGGCCATATTAACCTGGGCGGTTAAGTCGGCCCGATCCCGAGGATAAACATAACGTGGCGGAAACAAAGACGGTGCAACAATCATGGCCACGTTATGAATGGACATTTTGTTCGAGGTCTGATTGTCGATCACCAGCTTGAGAAAAGTCAGCAGCGCTTTCAAAGTACATCGATGTTCAACGGGAAGTAATAGTACCAGTAAGTTCAACGAATACGAGAGATCATTAGGATTGCTGACACCTAAGTGAAAACCAACGAGTTACAGGAACTGCGAAATATCTCATTTGCATACTTGTGAATTAGGGACTTACCATGGCTCTGATAAAACGCATCGATCAGCTCTACTGTGAGAAGGGGCTGAGGTAGATCCCGCAGCAGTTTCTTCAAAACGGCTGACAAATCATGGCACGGAGAACGTTTAAATAATTTATCTATCTCCTTAGGCTTGGAATAGAAATCCGTTTCCAACTCGACGCAGAGCATTTCAACCTGAAGTCATGAAATAATATAATATACAATAAAAAGTCTACTCCTCTGAACAGCGTTTCAATAATTTAAGGTGAAGTGAAACACAGGAACTTAATCTATGTCGGTAAAGATTTACATCTAAATACCTATGTTTTTCAATCCAATACACTTAGAAAAAAAAATTGTCTTATTCGTATCGACTGATTTGAGGGAGGTTTCACTTCACCTGAACATTTTTGTGACGTACCTTTTGCTTATGACCCCCAACACGCAGGATGCCCTCTTCCTTCACTCCTCGTTTCGTGAGTTCGTCGAGAAGTTTTTGGACTATGAGAGGAATATTGCTTTCGTCGCTTGTCAATTGACTGTCCCTCAAGAGTAAGGTTGACAGCGAGACCCCGAACAAGTTTCCAGCTAAAAATGATCTTTTATGAAGACTGCTGATTTTTGTTGGAAATTAAGATGTTGAAAATGACGTTTAAATGTATAAAAGGATCCTTTCATATCACCTTGAAGGATCAATTTTACAAACCTTTCCTTCGACGCTTGTTCGGTTTCCGTTTGACCAGAGGTATATTGTATTTGTCAAAGACTGCGCTAAGTTCAAGCCACAAAAGTGGTTGCAACCTAGTAAGATCACGTTGAGATAACAATTCCGCAACTTGTTGAGGATAACCATCATCAGCCATGAGAACTTCCGAAGCCCAAACTTGAGATTTGACTTCATTTGCTCTGCACATCTCCTCGAAACTGAGATGACCATGGGAAGATGTACGATTAAGCGGATGTGTAATCATATTATCTGCAGGTCTGGATAACCCGTACAAACTACTGTGGCTTCGAGTAACGGTCGCATGACCTCCTGAACTCCTCCTAAAATTGTAATTAAAATACCAATTGACGAAACCTGGTTTAATGAGCACCATTAAAGGGTAAACACAATGAATAAAAACATACCTTAATGTTGAATCCTTATTTATGTTCATTTTACGAGCTGGTTCTGGATCCAGAACAGAAGGCACAGAATTAGCCACATCGCCAGGATCTCTATCGCTATGCCTCTGAATAGGTCTCGAAAGATGAATGGTTCCTAATCTATGATAGCCAGTCAGCTCGATGCCCTCTGTCACAACAAATCTTATATTATTTCTTTCCAATAAAGTTATCCTTATTCTTTCCTATATAATTAAGCATACCACAGTCGTTGGCGACGTCTCCTCTCTGAGACCAATGCCCCGATCTTCTGAAAATTTCTTGAATTGGCAATGGCGCAGGAGCAGAAATTGAGACAGGCTGCGCAGCCGATGTGGTAGGTCCACTAGGCAATCTATGAACTGCATCCTTGTTATCAGGACGTGTTCGATGAAATATCGATACAAAGCTAGGCACGTTTACGCTGTAAAAGGAATTAGTAATTTGAGACGTAGTAATAAGACAATGACACGTATATAAATACATCTAGTTTTGTATAAACTTACTTTTCATGGTGAGGATCGATAACAGTAACATTTGGAGGAGACGGAGGTGAAGCATTTTCTGGTGTTTCACCTGATACGGAATCCAAGGAATCTGGCGTTGCACTGCGAGACCTTGTTCCAGTACTTGACACCTGGTTCAAAATACATTCATATTTTATTATCTAAATCAATCATTTGCCTCCCATTTAAACAACTTTCTACGATGCCATTAATTTTTCAATAAACATCTAAAATTAAATCAGCTTACACTGTACTTACTTCGACATCCTTAAATACATCTCTGATGTCAGGCTTGCGTACTCTGTGACGTTGATTGAAATGCTGCCGCACCGTATGATTAAGAGACCGAACCCGACGCTTAACAGCTTCGGCTTGAGCTCGAGACAAAGGCCTCACCGCAGCTCCTAGTTCCTCCGGTTGGACCTCTCTTCCTGCTTTCCAAGGTTCGGTTAATTCTCCTAATCCAGCTGCACGTAACCATTCTGCTTCTTCTTCGCCTTCTGGAAATATCAAACGAATAGAACCAAATATATCCTACGCAGAACTTGAAGATATATTTAATTACCATTATAACTTCGTGGACTACACTCTTCTTCCAGATAATCGTCGAGCATTTTAGTTTCCTCGATCATTTTCTGGTACTCCTCCCAGTATTCTTGCAGGTTTGTGTCCCCTCCCCCAAAAGTGGCTCCGTGCACTTTATCCATTTTGTAAACAAGTATTTTTCACAGACCATGCAAGACTTTCTCCAAAACCAACCTTTAGATGGATTGGTCAAAATGCTTTCTTCAACCTAAGGTAACGTACTCGAGATCTTTAAGGCCCATCTTCATTTCTAAGCACTATCTCTCCTTACATTCCCTAAAACAATATTTGCCATTACATATCACAATTTTTTATGAACATTTAAAGTTCATAATACGAAATCAAAGCTTAACTGTACACTTGTTATTAATAGCCAGAAATCATTATTAATTTAATAACAAACACGGCATTATAATAAGCTCTTGCTCTGTTCTCGACGTACCAGGTTATTGCGAAATCTAACCTCACCCATAAACGGGATCTCACGGTCCGATCCTTCTCCTAAATTATATCAATACTATCCGCCTTCATGAATGGAAAACCAATATTTACAGCCACCTGCACGAATCCTCTACCAAACTACACGCCGCGTCGTTTTTTCAAACATAACCTTCACTACGAGGATGTCAAGTGAGCGTTTACATAAAAAAAAAAAGTCATCGCCTCGAAGTTGCCCACGTTCAAGGATGCACAAGAATCCAGGGTTAACCTCCAACTGTGGCAACGTAAATCCACCTAAATTATTTCAAAGTCAATATTTTCCTCCCTTTAATACTATCGCGCCCAACTATGGTGCTCAATCGTTGTTTTCCCTGGTTACCTCCCTCGCAAACCGAGAATTCACTCCTCCGACAGACCGTCTCTTGACAAGGCACCCACGTCACGCGCGGTTGGGAAATCTAACCTCAAAACCTCACAACGGACCATACAATGAATGAAGATTTATTTACACTTTGCATCCGTTTACAAACGTCGCGTCGTGTGGCCCGGCATGAAGGTCGCGTTTCAAGAATGCCCCACTGCGAGGAATGTCCACGGCGTGCGTCGTTCCGGTGATAAGAGATACCATCTCGGCTTCGAAGGCGGAGGATGTCACTTGACGTCGCCGAGACCGTATATACCGTATACGCCCCGCCAAAACTCGAGAAACTCTCAAGTGACGCTCCGCGCGCCCGCGTCTGGTTTTTCGCGAGCAACGGAGGTTAACTGCGCATCGAGCTTGTTAATGGGTTCCGCAGGCGAATATTACTGGCATACCATAGGAAATAGACAGAATGTAATACTGTGGAGGGGGAAGTTATTGAGGAAAGGGTGACGAGTATTTGGTGCCTAACTTTGATTGGCTAATGTTCTGCGCAAGCGTTATGACGTAATGCATTCGAAGTTTTGATAAACGTGGTAAGCAGGGTTACAACGCGGTTGAACATTACGTATGTTACGTTTATTCCCGTGGGATACAGATCATATTAGAATGATTTAATTATCAAATGAAAAGGGTACTAGAACTGAAATTACTGTTTACGTCTATGTGGAAAACAAGATGAACCTGGTCTACGTGTAACATCGATCAGTGTATAAAACGTGCCTCTACGTTTCTTTAATAAATCGATATAATTTGATTGCTTTATATAATTTGCAATATTGAATGTCAATTCTATGGTTTAACTTCTGTTTGCACGATTACCCCAGCCGCGCCTGTGTGTATCTTTATATTCGTCCATGGCACGTTTACGTTCAAGTAATTCAGGATCGTCGGATTCGATCTTACGTTCCGTTTCTTCATTTTCTATATCGTCTTGAGATCTACTATCGGTACTGCTATTTCCTTGATCTTGCAGACTTCTTCCATTAAATTGATTACGCTGCGATGGATCGGGCCAGCTGAAGGAAAACGATAATCTTCAATATTTTGCAAATCTTTGAATTTTTAATTATAACTGTTTACTTACTCTCCTTCCTGTACCCTCTTGTCGTAAAACTCTTGTACCGTCATGACTGGAAGACTAGGATATCCTGCACCGTATACCTTCTTTTGCACTACATCTCGAGTGATAATTATCGGCTTCAATGGAGCTACGGATGATTTAACTTTAGAAGAATTTTGTGAGGCCATAGAACTTGCATGTCCTACTCTCTTCATATGTTCTAAGAGTGGCTTCTCTGCAGCGATGGAAGCAATTTCATCTATTGCTTGATTCACGTACACTTTCAATAGCGTTACAAAGTATTCTCTTTTTGCTTCATCGTCGATATTGAGATTACTGAAATTCTTCTCCAAAACGTTTAAACGATCTTCCAGTTCTTTTTTCTCTCGATAATGCTCTAATTTTGCATTTCTTGTAGATACCTACAATGGATAGAAAAAATTACAAATTATTTCAAATTTCATCGAAACACCTTTTAAGGCAGTTAGACTTAAAACTAATCACATACACACCATTTGAACAATCATTTCAGCATTTGATTTGGTCCCGGCACAAATATCTTCGTCATCGTAGTTATCTTTAGATGTTTCAGGGATATTAATATCGATCACTCCGTAAGTTTTCAATCTCTTTAGAAAATCTAGAAAATAAATCTCTGCCACCCGCACGATATGCATTCGATCTTCAATGGCACATATCTTAAGAGTCAGGGTACCAAGAAAAGCTGGCAGCAGAAAATACTTGACGTTCTCTGTAGAAACTTCATCAAAAGTCTCATTTCCACTGAACATATCCACTATAGATACCAATTTTGTTACATCCTCGAACATGTTCATAGCACGCTTGACGTCCGACTATAGTAATCCAGAACAAAAAGAAAATTAGCCGTTTTCCAAGCTCGGAAAGTAAAGTAGAACTTTAAACATAATTTATCGCAGTCTCTCAGTAAACATAAAATTACTGGCAACGGTTGAATATTTTCATGTGTTAAACTGTCAAAAAAGATTGCACGCAATTAAAAACTAACGTCTGTCATATCCATGCTGTATTATGTTCATTCCGAATAATGATTATAGTCAACTGTATGAAGTACAGTAACGTTTTTTCGCACACCTAAAATCATTAAATGAAAGATATGCAAACTTCGTTTAATGTTAGGTTAGATTTTACAAGTATCGAGGCGTCACCTGCACTTTAGGGCTGTTTGTGGCTTCATTCGTCTTGTTGATCTCGTTAAATAGTGCAAATGCACTGTCGAATAATTCCGACAAACTCGAAGCATCTTTACTTTCATTTACCGACTTACGTTCACTGATTGACATTGAAGTTTCCACCTTTTCGGCACTCATCTTTAACCGAGCAAGCTTGCCAAACAGGACGAATCGTGCGCAGAAGTCTTGCGCATCCTTCTCTACAATGGCGGATTTTACTAAAAAAATGCAATTGTTTCGGCGTTACATCGGCGAGATTACGTTTAGACTTATCAAGTACATCGATATTTATTTAAATATAACCACACGAAAATCCTATAAAACTGGGTAAATGAAAGTAAAATCCTCAATGTATATATTTGCGAAAATGATTTATCCTTAAAACGCTTTTTCATTATTTCACACAATGGAGAGCATTCGGTCTTGTAATTACCTAAATTATTTACCATTGAAAACCTTACTAAATATAGTCGAGGGCGACCAAATGTATCGTTACAAAAATAGTTCATTTCTAATACTGCAAAGATTTAGCGATCACAAGTCAGGACGATATAACGGTTACAGGACATGACGTTTATTATTAATAAACCAGTTTGTTAATATTTTCTACCTTTCAAATGTTGAACTTTCAATTCGCGCTAAATGTAGAGTTTCTGATTTTTGCATCGATGCTCTGTGTAAAAGATAAGAATTAGAGCCGCCCATATTTTACTTATATACAGTATTACATAGTAATACTTTAACAATAAATAGCGAAAGTAATGATTTATTAAGTAACATATTGTCGTTGGATCTTAACAGGCCGTCTTTGACTTAAGGCGATATGAAAGAATAATTCTATATATATATAGAACGATCCTTTCACATCACCTTAAGGCTGGCAAAAACAATAGCGCGTTTTTGTAAACGGTGTCTGCGTGTCTTACAGGTCTACGCAATGAACATACAACAAATTCGCAATTCTACGTGATCTGTCGACTAATCGACACAAAGAATGACGAGTCGAACGGGAATATAAATTTGGATCCGCAAACGAAACTCAGGATCGGTTGCATCTGGTCGCTCTCGCTAATATAGCGATGCACCTACGTACATCGAGCACCGTGTAAACCACGCAATCACGTCCTTCCTATGCATTACAATTTATTATAATACAATTTGATAAAACGTACGAAGGCCACAAAGGACGAAGATCGAAGTCGTGGGTCCCGATCGAGCGGTAGCAGTCGATCGGGATAATCCTCTCGTCCCTAAAACTTGAGCACCGAAATTTCGAACTCGGTAACCACCAAGCAATTGAATAGTTGACAATTACTCCGGGGTAATTCTTGCCTCGAATGGGACGAGCTCGTTGAATACTAGGACATGTATGTACATAGGATGCATTACTGTGGCGGCGACTTGCACTGCTTGCAGTTCTCCATGTTCTCGTTGAACTCCTCGATCTGAAGGGTCATCTCGAAGAAGTTGTACTTGTCGTGTATGTTCCGCGTAGCCGTGCGCAAGATCTCCTGAGGACTGGTACCGGGTACTGGAAAGTAAAAAACAACAATGCCAATGGAACGCACGTAGCCGATTTAACGATTTTGCTCCAATTCCAGTCGCGCAACGGCGGATTCCTGAAAAAGTCGCGGGATATCCTTGAGATATCTGGAGCGGACGGTCACGCTCCATTATCGCAACTCGTGTTCTATACGAAAATGCTCACTGATAGCGAGGTGGGCCGACAAGGCGGTTTTGTCCAAGGAGAGGGCCCAGATCCGCAGATTGTGAACCTTGACGACTCCGTCAATCTGCATGAACGTGCTCTCCACTTGGGAGTACTCGAAGCCTTTCGGTATTCCTTCCATTAGCACGTTCATCACGTCCTTTATGATGGCCACCGTCGTGAAGAGGACGAGGACGGAGAAGAGGAAGGTGCAGATCGGGTCGACGATCTGCCAGCTTGGCTGGGAATATTAAATGTGGACTTTTACAACAATCTGGGTTGGATGACATTTTTTTCCCCCCTTCGTACGAGCACTGAAAAATATCGGGAGCACTCACCTTGAAATAAATAATAAGAGCCGCGATAAAAACGCCCGCGCTCTGAATAAAATCCCCGAGGACGTGTATGTAGGCTGCCCGGACATTAATGTTTTTCTCGGGCTTGCCATCCGTAGTGCCGTCTTCGGGATTCTTTTCGTGATCGACATGATTTCCTGCGCCATGACTATGCCCGTGACTGTGACTATGTCCTCCGTGACTATGTCCATGGCCGTGCTGATGCAGGGTCAAGCCCATCCTGGAAGAACAGATTTGTCTCTAATTAAATAGAACTAAAGAACAATCAACGGATGGGTGGAGTAACCACACTGATAATAACCGACGGGGAACCTACATACATTTTTACAGAACTTAAGTTTCATATATTAAGACGTAAAATTTCGGAATTGCGAATTGGAATATGTACACACCTGGTATCGTATGTTTACCGAGTTGGGGAATTTTTAATCGAATTTAATGTGACATTAAATTTATCATTTTACTGCGATTTATCCTCGCGCCGAAATAAACAATGATCGAGTGTGTACATTTACATCGGCATTTTTATCAGGGTGGAGTTACATTGCTATTTCCGGGACCGTAGGAACGTCGACGCTCCTAATTATCAGTACGTTATTTTGCAACTCGCAGGAAACGAACAATCAGGAATACCGGGGAGATTAGATACTGCCAATTGTCAGGGAATCATCCCACATTCGTAGGACCGACACTCGGATTCATCGGGCTCGCATTAATCATTATTAACATTACTAATAGCACTAACACCAGATTTACCGCAACACCGATCGCAGAGGTGATCAACATCACCGAGGCATCCAATTCGAAGTTACCATTGGCTACTCGCTCGATAGCGAGATAAAAAAGAATTCCAGTAACGACCCATATCAGTAACACTGAAGTCAGCGCTCCGATTACCTAAGAGAATTAAAAAGAATATCTGGTTAAAATCGTCATCCTCGCCACTTTCATACCATCTTAAGGGGATATCGTTATAAACTTTACAACGTGAATTTCCTTATACCCTCCATATTTATATAGTAAAGTTCGAATCGATTCGGTATACCCATTCCGGAGAAAAGTTTCATAAACGAGACCTCTTTGACGCTACTATGACGTCACCGTAACCCACGTACCTCTGCTCTGTACCAACCGAATGGCATTTTTCTCGTTGCAGGTCTGCCAGCTATATATATGGAGAAGAGAGATATCATAAACGATGCGAAGTCTGTCAGTAAATGAGCCGCATCGGTTGCAATAGCCAAACTGTTCGATAAGACACCTCCTGTAAGAAAAACGCACATTTTAAACGTACCTTCCTTATACAACCATAGTCGTAAGTTATTGTCTACCTTATAGCTTTTCTATCAGATCAAACTATTAAAAACCTTTATTGTATTACGTACCGACGATTTCACCGATCATGAAGATAACGCAGAGTATGCTGGCGATGATGAGCTTCTTGCGCGCTTTTTTATCTATCTGGTCGTTCCTTTCTCTATGGCAGTGATCCTCGGCTGAAATCGATAGATTGCCTGCAACAACGACAAGGCATTAGTTTAGGACGATACGGTTACTTCGGCACTTCTATCGATAACATTAAGATGATATGAAAGGCGCTGATTTACCGAGGGAGGGATTCTGCTCGTACTCCGGAGCCGGGTCCTCGTCCCCGGCTCCACCTTTCACGACGGTGCAGCATCCCGACAGCTTCCCGTGGACGCAGAATATCACCTTCCTCGGGGAGACCTCGATCTCCTCGTGTTCATTGTTGTTCGGCGGGATGCTCGTCCCATAGCCGAAGACCGCCTGATCCTTGAATCTGCCGGGAAAAATGGTTACATGAACATCCGCCCGTAAAATAGGAATATTGCGGGAAATAATGTCGCAGCAAATGACTCCGCGGTTGGTGCAAAGGAGAGACAGGGCAATAAATGCAATTTAACGGAAGATTGTAGAACAAAAATTACGTAAGCCGATAATAAATCTCAGATCAGATTACGTTACCGCAAGTGCAATTCGGACGTGAAATATGTCTCGAGTCGAACACTTCCCGTGAAGGCTCATCAATGTACGGGAGATATTGGAATACGAGAATTTAATATTAATATGTCTTTTACGCAGTGCAGATTTTATCCTTAGAATTATATACACGAGTACTCGGAAGGATCGATATGGGATCGATTCTCTGCGTTGGAGGATCGATTTAAAGCGATTTGCTTTAACGTCGCCTTTCAGGTGGGTGTTAGTTTGTGGTAGTAAACTGGACGAACGATTAATACTTGTTGACCGTTAACCGGCGCAAGTCACACGGCACTTATTATCAGCAATGCCTCTGATTGCACCTTCTCGATAGCGACAATAAAACCCAGGAGCGGGGAGGCATAAATTAAAAATATCATCGAATGTTCTCCCTTCCTCGAGATAGGTTTCAATTCACATCGTCTGGAACCGACAAGCAATATTGCATTGTATAAACAAATACCGCTGCCCAATAAATATTTTGGCTCTGATCTGGACTATGTTAAACAATTTTTTTTTTTCTGCAAAAATCCAAATTTTAAAACTGTCAGGATAATTCCTAGGTGCTCACGAGTCACGTGTCAAAGTTTCAGGTGGTTAGATTCAATTCTCTTAAAAAAAGTGTCTCATTAAAGTCGACCGATTTGAGGGGGTTTCACCTTAATCCGAGAAATCTGGATTCTAGTTCGCGAACTCGCGTGACGCTAAGAGTACTTCCCGATAACGATATGAATTAACGTCAATTCATGAGGTCCCGTTACATGCAAGGATTGCTTTTAGATTATGCCTCGACCCAGGACAAGATCGGGAATTACGTGTGATCCTGTTATCACTTCGTACCAGGTTTACCCGGACGTAGCCAATTATTTTCAATCATCTCGATTGAAGGTCACGTCAACTGCTTTCCGAAGACAATCTCCTAACGACCAGAGTGTACGATAATTGTCTTTCATAATGCGAACTACCGGTAACGAGCATCGTAAACTAATTCCATTACAAGGAACAGCTCTCGTATGACTCGTGTAGAACACTCTTCCTGATTCCAGGAATATGACGGCAACCTAACGTTAAAAAATTCTGATTATTCACAAATAAATCGTTAACTGGTAAAGAATAAGGCAACTATGAATAAGACTAAAATGTTGCAAATATATTTTAACTCGTCAGGATTGCGGTTAATGTTTTAGTATTCTTCGAAAGGAGGAAGATCCAACGTTAGAGGTGTTCAGGGTTCGATTCCAGATTTCTTCAGACTTTTCCCGATTATTCTAGAACCGGTTGTCCAGGTTCAAGGTTGCATTAAACATTTCTCTCCCCGTTACCTTGGACACGTATCATACCTGCGTCACATATTTCTATTAATTTTTCCCTAACTAATCTTCCACGAGTAAAAACACATTTATGGCAAATGAAGGCTTAATATTATATAATTTAAATGAAATTAATAATTTAAATGAAATTAATAATTTAAATGAAATTCAGCCTATTTCGCAGAAATCTCGTTCCTGACTCAAAAGAATGCCTGAATTTAACCTGAGTCGACCCGAGACGAGGCTTTGCGAGTCCTGGTTATGTCCCGGTTATGTCCCGGTTTAGTCCCGGATCGGAGTACCGCTCGCTTCTCTACCGTTTCTTCCCGTGTAAACGGTACGCGTGCTCGATAAAGACGGAGAGAGCGCAAATGCCTAACGTTACCTTGAACCTCTACGAGCCGTTCTCGGATAATGACCAGGGTTGGGTAATTACCCGTTTTCGAGGTTTTTATCGCGCATTACGTAAACCAAGTAATATTACCGTGGGCAGTATTTTTAAAAAATCATTTTTCGTCCGATAGGTGTTTTTATTTCATTCGAGGACCAAAAAAAGTGATATTCACTGCATTGACCATGTACGCGAGCCCAGTACTCTTCAATTTCACGTACTTATTCAATTATCATACGAAATTTCCCGGCGAGAGTATGACATTTCAATAGAACGTCTTATCAATTTTCCCTGGGCTTATCATAAATAGCCGACCAGAGTATGATGAACTTACGCGTCGCATACCGTTAGCAGTCTCATTTTTTACCCCTCGAGTCCCGATTTCTTGCAATCTACTCCCGCGTTTCCGTTTCGAAAATAACCACCGCTCCTACTTCTCGATTTTTTTTTACCATCTTCCGATACGTCGGAGTGTTCGTTCCATTGCGACCAGTCGATCGCAACTGGTTCTTTTTCGAGTAGAATCCAGGTACAGAAAAATCGACTGAACTCTACGCGCTCCCCGCCACAATCGATTTAACTTTAACGCACGGGATAAGAGGTACAGTTCTTGGCATTGCACCGATCATCGGCATCGTGTCGTTAAAGTCGTTAGTATTAATTAAAAGATAGGTCGAAACGTGCCAACGAACGTAAATGCCACCTACACGAAGAAAGAAATATGGTTAAACCCTTCCAACGCGACCACGACCCCCGGCAGAATATAGTTGTTCGATATGAAATTGCAGATTTTACCTACATCGTTAAGGTGATATGAAAGGCGCTGAGAAATTAAATCGAGGTCGATAAATTAAGATTCATCTACACCCTTTTTGGTGGGAAGCGTTCCACGTGTCATTTCTTTAAAGTAATGACGAAGAGATCGCTGTAAAACCGTGGAATTCATTATTCTAACGACAGGTTAGGACCAACGTCGCCATCTGTGGCGTTTAGCCGCAACTAAATTTTTCCTCTAGAAATACGTGTTAGCCCCGAGACAATCCAGCATTCCCTCACAATCTGTGGTGAAAGTATTTTCCATATTTTCCCATCTGGCTCTGTAACACTCCATTTCTCCTACGGTATTCTAAATAGTTCGAGCTACGTCCTGAAACTACCACTACCACCCGTGCTATAATTATATCATTCGTACCATTATTTTATCCAGTGTACTATCCCCTTCTCCATCCCTCCTCTCTAGATGAAATTTCCCGAGTTTCGGGACCCACTTTAAGGCCCTCATATTCACGTGGTAAAACCTGAAACGAATCGGTCCGCCCAATTCGGGGAATACTTTCACCAACGATTAGGCCTCTCTGATGTGCATAGACAGACCCTTTCATATCACCTTAAAAGCGGGCTCCTAGGTCCCGATACAAGTACAATAACTCATACCCCTCTCTCCGTGTACTCGAAGTGGCAAGAATCGTACCTCCGCCCGCGTCCATCCTGGTCCCACTTTCTTTTCGGGGTCTCTGCCGGCCGAGCTACGCGAACCCGAGCCCCGCCGTCGCCTTCCCTCCGAAATAACCGCAACGGCGCCCCCTCCCCCCACGCACCCCTGGGTCACTCACAGCTCGACCTTCTCGAAGTCCGGCCCGTCCATGGGCTGCGCCGCTGCGCTGCGGGCCGCGGCGTCGACGGCTCAGCAGCGTCGGCGCGCGCGCGCGACTCTTGGGCCTCTCGGAGCACTGTGGCGGTCCCGGCAACGCCGCGCTCTGTCGCGCTGCGGCGAGCTGCGCCTGCGCGGAGGCCCGCGCCGCGCTCTGTCGCGCTGCGCCGAGTCGCGCATGCGCAGTCGCATGCCCGACCGCTCCGGGTTAAAGTTCTAAGGTGAAGTGAAACCCCCCTTAATACGGTCGATTCGAATAACACTTTTTTAAGGGTATTCGATAGAACCGCCTGACGCTCGCTAAGTATTTTTGTTTTCTCATCTGTTAGATATTAGCGTGAAAAGAAAATCAAAAAGTGGATTGAGAAAGTGTATTGTTTGTATTAAAAACGAAACGGGTAACTTGTCGCATTTAGGACTGTACCCAGGAATCGACTTGTCGCCCAATAGAGAACTTTTGTCTCCCCTGGTCGAACACAAAGGAACGGCCACTTTCGATTATTATTCTCATGGACGGCCTTTCTCTTTTCCACTCGTCTTGCCTTCAAATTTCCACGACCTATCGGCTTTTCTACCAGCCAACGAGATTTAAGGTGATATGAAAGGGTCGTCGTTAATTGGAAATATTTATAAGACTTTTCGTGATTTCCACGTTTTTTTTTTTTTTTCAGTTTCATAACACAGAAAATATATAGGGTCGGAATGAAGACATCTTTAGAACAATGTTACGTGAAAACGTTATGAAGAAAGAACGAGTCCAAGGATCTTAAACGCGAGTCTTCTGGCGCAATAAAAATGGCGGCCGATTCGAATCGTTCAAACCGCGAGAAGTGCCACGCATCCTGAATAATTACGTTCTCCATTACCACAAATTTCATTTTATAGGTAATTCCGATCAAGGATTGCATTCTGCATAACAACAAGCAGTTTAAACCTACGTGGTGGATTTTCACTGAATACTGCTGGGAATGATTTCCCAACTGAAGGAAATAGTTTCCCGTTAAATAGCGGGCTCAATCGACCAAGTAATTAATCCTTTACGGTTCGGAATAACTAGTTCGCGCCGTGTTATTAGCCAATACACCTAATTGATCACTATTTAAGTATTCCAATGAATCACCTCGTAATTACCTAAGTGAATAATAATATTTAATACGCATTTAATATTTTCACCGGTGGTTGAGCACGACAGAACGGTATACACAGGTAACATAGCTATATTAGGAAATGGTATGAAATACTTGAGATATTTTCATGTTTAATAAACACATAACGACCCTTTGGTATCACCTTAGAACGCCACCATAGTGGCTTTTATTCTCGCCCCTTTATTCTCACGTATTAAAAGCGACGAAGGAGTATCGCGATATAATAAAATATTAGCACTCGGTCCGTACCATCCGGCGTAGTTAAAGAGTTAACCCTGACTTACAGCCTGATTCTCTCGGGGTCCATCGGGAAGGTCCTCGTTTCCGGTAGCTCGACTCGGGGGCGGAAGGGCGAATTCGGCTCAAACGAGGCTCGAGTCTCGCCAAGAGCGGAGGCGTGGAAGGACTGCACACGTCACTGGTTAAATAAACAAAAGGCCGCCGCATGTCGCAGCTCGTAGACGAGAAGAGTGCCCGGCAGCCCGTTGTTTGACCAGATAACTTAACTCTCGGGAAGATATCGCCGCCCCCTCGCGTCCGATTCGAGAGGTTACTGGAATTCTCGACGGTGACCGATCGAGTCGAGCAAAAGCGATTACAAGCGATTACAAAGCGATATCGGTGAGAGATATTCCGACCAGGCTATCTTACGTTGGATAACGACAATTTATGAGTCACTCGAGCCCTTCCTAAAAGCCACGAGTCCCTTTCTACGAGAGCTACCGGATAAGTCCCTGGACCTTCGAGACCCTGAAACATAACCTTAACTCAACGTTTTCCCTACTATTCATCATCATTTATTGAGGCGACAATTAATTGACTCGCCGTTTAAAATAATATGCGTAAGCCACTGATAAGGCTAAACCAAGACTGTGAACGGCACTCAATACGTTTCCTCGAGGCTTAGGCATATCATTTTAAAGAATAAGCCGATTATCTGCGAATCTACCGAAAATATAGACTTGTTAATAATAAAAAATAAGTTCGTCTAATTTCGCCTCCTAGAATTATACACATGTATTTAAATTCCTCCTAGGGACCGATACTCGAGCGCCGGCCGGAAGGCCGAGGGGCGCCTTCGCGAAAAAGTCGTCAGGTAAAAAAAGAGCGGAGGGGGCGAACTCGTTAACGAGGTAATTGGTGGGTCAGAACGGATAAAGGTCGCAGATAAGCCGGATTCGGATCCGCTTCGAAAGATGAGTCGGCCGAGACTCGCCGATAACTTATGCTTTGTGTTTAGGTATCGATATGCGCCGAGACGACGGGGTGGAGGCGCCGATATGCGCACTTTAAGCAAGGGTCATTGATAAGTTTAAGTTCACGTGCAATTGAGGAGATAACGCGGAGCGGGAGGCTCGTCGAATTTACCGACGAGCGAAATCGGTTTTGGTGGAGGGTCTTGCAAAAAGGGCAAGAGGTAGACCAAGAGTCGAGTATGTATATTAGTAATACCAAGACCGAGTGAGTTTCTCGTTACAGTCCATTGTACTCGTTTAAATCGATGCAGGGAAAATATTAGGCAATAAATATGCCGGAGGAAAGTTTTACTAGGCGGAGGTATATTTTTACTTACCACGATATGCATGGAAATTTCTTATGGTTATTATTTGAACCGGTGGAGGAAATGTTATGCAATTCCATGAGAGCGTCAGGTGATAATCGACATTTATCACCTGGTTTCTTTTATCGAAATCGTGCAACCTAAAACGACCACTCCTGATATAACATATCTCTTGTTAAGAAGATAAAGCGCGCAAGATTGTAACAAATAGCTCGACGGTCGAATTTCGGAGATAAATATTAAGAATAGCGTTAACCTTTTAATTACTCGACAAATGGTTCCGTCAAAAAACCAAGCAATTATAATTCCTACGTTTTCCTTCATTTGTCCTACTTTCCCTCCCTCGAAATCGTGAAATAATTCCTAAATTATTCCTAATCGTTTAAAAGTGGGACATATAATTTCCAGCGACTAAATACGAGAACGATCTTGTACTTGACAAAAAACAACCCACGAAATATGTTTTTTTTTTACCCCGTTGAAAGTATAACGCCCCGAATGCCATTAACGCTACACCTAGGTTTCTATCGTATAGCGATAAAAATTGATAATAAATATGAACAGGAAGTACGCTAGTTAAGATTATGAACACTTTGAATAATTTATGCCCGCAACTGGCGAACTCATTCTTGCCGTGTGTCGTACATTGTATTTTATTTTTTTCTGAAAGGAGTCTTGTAAAAACATGTCGACATCTAATTGAGTTAGAGGAACGACTAGTGAAAATGTTTCGTCAGTAAACCTTGAAATTACTAAATATGACATATCGCTTATGATAAAGTCTTATAAAAAGACGTCGACATTTAAATGTGTTGGGAAATTCTAATTGAGTTGGACGAACGATGAGTGTGTCTGTAAAATTTCTCGAGCATAGATAGGATATCATCAATACACGGAATGTGTACATGTACAGGTGTACCGAGAGAGGACACTAGACGATATGAAAGGTGTTTCGAAAGATGATTGGAGGTATGGAATGTAAAGAGTTTATCGCTCCCGAGAAAGTGTCAAGTCCCTCAGAAGCGACTTACTAAAAACAAGACCGAAGTCATCAAAACAATGCATTTTAATCTTTGAAAAAAAAAAAGAAGAAATTATGAGACACCTTTCACAGAAGTAAAATTACCGAAACATTAAAATCGCCGAGACGATAAGAACAACGACAGAAATATGAAGAAATATGTATTATACGTGTATGCAAATATAAGTGAAAAAAAAAATATGTTCGACACTGTGATAAATTTCCGAATTGATTAACATGGATTTTAAGAGCCCCTGATTCTTTTTTGCAAAAATCTATCGGCTCGATAATTAAATTCACAACAAAAGATCTATTTATCGCTCTCAAGCTGGCCATGAAAAATCCATTAACCGGAGAGGAGAAGTTGCAAAATGTGAAAATCTGACACGAAGGACGGGCCAGTAAAATAGAATCGAACATTGGAAATAATTTCATTCTACTCTCGTATTCGTTGTCGCGGCTTCGAATAGAAACGCGGATTTATCGTAACACGGCAAGCACATGTAAAAAAATTAAGAATTCAACGGATAAAAGGAGAACAAACCTTTAACTCGTAAAATTAATCCCGCGAATATTCAGGATTAATTTCTTATAATTATTAATTAATAATGACCAAATCCGAATAAAACATCCGAAACGTGTATCCCAAACATCTCGACTTTGTTCATCAACGAGGAAGAGGAAAATAATGTGACTTAAGTCGCAATAAAACCTGTTATCGTGAGAGGAGAAATAATAATATAAGAATTTGCGCGTTAATAATTTACAATATCCCAATCCGAATAGAACTTCCGAAACGCGTATACCACACATCCCGATTATGTTTATCAACAGCGAAGAAGAGGAGAATAAAGTGACTTAAATCGTAATAAATCCTGTTATCGTGCGAAGAGAAATAATAACGTAAGAATTTACGCGTTAATAATATATAATTCCGAAATCCGAGTAAAACTTCCGAAATGCGAATCCGAAACATCCCGATAATGTTTATCAACAGCGAACAGGGAAATAAAGTGACTTAAATCGTAATAAATCCTGCCATCGACCATAGACTATCGAACGAGATCTCCTCTACTCGGGAGAAGACTCGCCGAGAAATAATAATTATAAGAACTTACGACATGCGTAATTAGATAATAATCCCCAATCACTTTTAATCAGGAGCGCGGCCGACCGTCCGCGAAGCGTCCAACTCGCTCTCGAAGGAGACACAAGGAATAAAATGCCCGTAACACTTACGTGGTGTATTTATCGTTTTCCAGTCCGTCCATTCTTGCGTCGCGACCCGATCGAATGGAATGAATGGTGGAAAAGAATCACTAAGAGAAGCCGAACCGCTCCCCGGCTCGGATCTAACCAAACAATCGTTCGAGAGAGCCTCCTATAAATCCGCGCCTAAAGATGTCATTACTGTTTGTTGACCCGGCTAATGTTTACCAAAAATGAGCCGCGGAAGATAGTTGGCACTACTTCCAACAACGGTGACCCAAATCGACTGTCGCGATCCTTTAGAAAGCGCGCCTGATAAAAAGGCAAGGGCGGCGGATCGCCGAGGCTCGGGGTGGGGCTTGCTTTTCAATAAAAAAAATCTCCTTTATTTCTGTGTCAAGGTGACACCTCGCTTCCTGGCGGAAGTGATTTGCTCCGGAGCACAATTACGGTTTTCAGACACTAATCGCGGAATACATTTCAGGCCTGGCGAGAGCCGGTCGATCCTTCTTGTTTTTTTTTTTTTTCCCTCTTTTTCGGCTTATCGATCACACGTCTCGATACCGCCGGGTTTTATTGATGATTAAGATGCATCCTAATTCATCGAGATCGGTATTAAAATGCATCCTGACACTTCCGCATAATTTTACAACGTCGCGTTAAACTTTTCTCCCAACTGATTGCGCCGAATCATTTGAATCTTTAACACGTGATTATGGAGGCTCAAACAGGGGATATAACAATACCCACAATTAGTATACCTATAAGAAATGATAAGGACCAATGTTTTTCATTCAATAATATTCTCTAGGAAATTTCATTACTTGACTTTCAAGCAAATGAGAAAATCGCGCGTACCGTTCCATACTTATATCAGGAATCTAAACAATGGGACGGATTCGTCAATGACAATTTATACAAATATTACGGGTTTATTACTTATAGGTATAATGCTCTTCTATATCACCCTTCGCGTTTTCATAAACTCATGACGGCGACAAGACACGAATTATGCGTCCGTTATAACGGGACCACTGACACTATTAACGCCCCCGATGAATACTTAGCTTAACCCTGCTTAACGTTAACATCACTTGTTTCTCAGAATGTCCAGGTTTCATAGCGCTCTACGGGATTACGTGCTGCAAAGAGGTGTTCGACTCCTCGTGATCTTAAGGCGACATGAAAGGGTCCTTTTACATACATAAGACCTCAAAATATTTATAAAACATTTCTCCAAACTGGGTGCACCGAATCATTTGGAGCTTTAACACGTGATTATGAAGGCCCTAAGAACGCGTTCTCAGTTTGGAGAAAGGATTTTCTAAATATTTTTATATTCTATGTATATAGAATGACCCTTTCTTATCGCCTTAAGGATAAGGAGGCTTTGGCATCTCAACATTTACGTTGAAACATCCTCGAGATTTTCCGCTAGAAACTGATGACTATACAAAAATTCCTCAATAGATTCCAAGACGAGCGTAGAAATACATTCATCACAGTGCACCAGGAACGTCTCATAATTCTTCGTGCTTGGCAGAATCGTTGACAAGTTCTGAAATCAGATGGAAAAATAAGCTTACCTATAAACGCAATTGACTTTTTAATGTGACTGAAACATCCTACAGATGTCATTATTCCTCGTTAGGAATTTACGCACCTTCGACTTCCTTTTCTGCCTGCCGATTATCATTCTCTATTTTCTGTTGCAACGCTTTGATCTCCTCGTCATATCCAACCCACTCTGGCAAAATTCGCATAGCAGCTTGTAACTTGGCTTCCTTGGTCATTGGATTGTTACACTGAAGATAATATAACATTAATCGAAACGTTAATAATGTACTGCTGTTCTGTTGTAAATATTTACCAAATCGATGGTTTTCGCGTATTCCTTCGACTCATCGTTGCACCATGTTTCGCACCATAACCACTCTTGAGGCAAAGTTTTGATGGCTACTTGATGAATCATGTTATTAGGTAGATCCTATAATATAATAATTGTTTATTATATCTGATTCGACATCTGATGAGACATTGTTAGAACTAAAAGCAATCGAATAAGCTTATTGAATGGAATTTAATTTTTATCAAACTTCCACCGTGGCATAACACCTTAATAAATAATTTCCGACATAAACGTACTTGATCGAGATTTGACAGACTGTTCGGATCTTGACTTAGTGCTTGATATTGACCCCTAAGACGATCACCAGCAGCGATACGTCGAAAACGTTTCAGATCGACCACATAAAGTGCACTAATGTGATAAGAACGTCCTTGTAAATGATTCCTCCAGTACCCTTGTTTCCAAAACCTGTTACAAACATAATATGATAGATATACCAAAGAATCTACAACGGAGATAATTTGTCTAGTTTCATTACCTGAATCCATCCATTTCTTTCCTACTATCACAGAATGGTGTATATGCGTAAGGAGCACCTTCAAGATCTAGCGTAGCTAATTCTTTCAAATCTGCTCGTACAACCTGACAAAGCAATAAAACAAAAGTCCCCTTATCTTCCTAAAATCGGGCATAATTATTATAATCACCTGATCGGCATCGACGAAAATAATCTTCTTCACATCCAGTGGAAACAATACATCCAGGAATAGAATTTTGTACCCCCAGATGGTTCTTTGCTTCTCCGATTGCTGGTGTAGCCATCGAGGCCACTTGTACTGAACAAGTTCATATTCAAAACCGTATTCTTTCGCCATATGCGGTAGAAAGCCCTGTGAACGTGTAAATACTGCAATTCCATGACCTTTGTTTAACAAACACGGAAGGAGGGTTTATAAAGAGTTAATTTACCTTCAACGTGGGCGATAGATAATTTTTCAAAAACCAGAATTTAACAGGAGTCTTCGTATGCTTAATGACACTGAGCATCATAATCTTCAGAAATCTTTCATATAAATGGCCGGAGGCAAGAGAAAAGATATTCAGCTTATCGTCTTGATCCTTAGGCTCATCGGTGGCAGTAAATGTCCTGTCATCGAAAGATTAAATAATATATCATTAAGATATGCTTACAATGATTAAGAAAAATCAGGTATTTTAGGTAAAGATTCTGAAGACTTATTTGCGAATAATTGTAATATATATCGGAGGGAGAAATCAAGCAAAGGGGGGTTAAATTTATGCGAGCATTTTCAGTGCACGATAGTCCAAATAACAAGTATACAGTCTGAATCGGTTTGTCAAGTGTGACTGTATTTTGCAAACACACGTACTAAATATCTACGTAGTATTCAGTAGCTTACCAAAATATGGAAAAGCTAAAAAGAGAGAGAATAAATGAAAGTTAAGATGGAAATATCTTACATACATTATTTTATAGATCGACGTTAAACGTCATTCGGGAAATAGATTTCTGTAATCAGGCGTACTACTATTATTATACCTGGAAATCGAATTCCAAATCCCAGAATTCTGGTCATCATCGGACAGAAGATCCATTCCGATCTTGTCTGGCTTTTTGGACACTTTTAATTTGAGCACATGACTTCTCAATGAACTTATCAGAACTTTAACTTCGTTTTCTTGTTGAATCACATCTTGGCCGTCCACACTAGAGATATCGTATATCTCAGCAGATCTACCTTGCCGAAGTCTTAATATCCATTCCCCTGGATTGGCTTTCAATTGGAAATATCCCAAATTAACCATCACGATTGTATCAACCATAACTGGTTGAATCTCCGTGCCCAGAGTAATTTGTAATCCCCTTGGTGGATTACCCATTACTGCTTCGAAGCAATGACCCTCGAGAAGTAGATACTCCAATTCAAATTCACTAAAAGAAAAATTATTGTACACAGAAATTATATACAGGCTGAAAAGTTCTACTTCTTGCGAGTTATACAAATTTAACAAACCATAACATCAGATATTAAAATTGCCCATACCTGTGTACACCCATTGCGACATTATCAAGCTTAATATTATCCAGATCGTAAACGCTTTTTACGACTTCTACCAACCAATTTTCTGGTGCGTGAATATATTGCGTCAATAACGAAGAAGTTGGCAATTTTGTAAACCTGACAATCGCTTCGGCTAAATCGCCCTCCGGACTAAATTGTAGTTCTGGTTCGATAACAAAACGATAGAAACTGAAAGTAAAGCATTAATTAATAAACTGTAGAATTTTTAGATGTTTCTTTCTTACAGATCCTAAAATATATCTAATGTACACAATAAAATGGAATGTAACCAACCTCTTCAATGGCATATCACTGTTCTTTTCTAAACAATTTAAAAACACCTTAATCTCACAGTTTAACGATTGTTGTAAAGTGTTCAATATGGGTCCCAATTTTTGAGCACCACGCGATACAGGATCAACAATGGCTACGAGATTGAACGCTACGCCATCAGAATCCGATGCAGGAATTTTAATTGCACTGAAAATAAAGGCAAATGTATTTTAATACAGGATTATACAGAAACGGTAATGTGACATCGTCACAAATAAAGTCCATACCTATGTTCATCTCCATGAAAAGGAACGTCGAAACGACGTCGAGTTTGTGGCCGAGGCACCAATAAAGAAGAAATCTTCATAATCATGTCATCTGTCACATCACTTTTCTCTATTAAAAAATGTATGTTGTATAATCAGCAGTGGAAAAGTAAACGACATATATAAGCATTACAAATAATTATCATAACCTTACCATATTCATCATCATCATCGTCTTCGATGTCATTAAACAGACGACTTTTGATTAAATTTTTAAACAATTTGTCACCGTAGGTACTTTGGCTAAACCTTTCTAAAAGAGAGAAATCTTCGGTGGTAAAAATCTCATCTTCGTCCAAAGGACCAATAACTCGACCGTTGCATACAATTGCTCGGGCACCACTTTCGAGATTAAGAACATTTCTGGCATAATGTCTGTGCACTGCGAGCACAAGGTCTTGTTCTTTCATTTGATTTTGCACTGCTTCATCCTGAATAATTAAAATATTGGATTACATATGACAATAAACATGCCAATCGTCAACAACGAATGCATAATTCAGTGTCAATGCACCGTACATCATTTTTAATTTACCTGAATGACAAAGCTACCCTGTTGAATTAGTTTGACATTATCTTCAATAATTAATTGGTTTACATAATCGACACTCTTTTCTACTGGCAATGCACTCAAAGCAGCGATAGCTATTTTATTAATGTCCTGCCCAAAATCTTGATGGGGTTCATTATTTACTAATATTGTAACTCGAACATCTGTATTCGATTTCTGGAAAAGAATGTTCATGTCTTATTCATTTTATAATAAATTAATGAGTAACGGGATCAACTTCATAATAAAAGTAACACCAGCGATACCCGCAACAGTAGTGAATTAAATTGATCGCTACATTTTAAGTACATACCAAAAATTCAAGTGCTTCAAGTAGCAGCTCTCTCCCCGACGGTTTGTTTAAATCGACAGCAATCCAAAAGGAATACAAATGATGCAAACTGCTACGACGTGGAACATATAAATAATGCATTTTGTCCATCAGCCATGTGAAAGCATCTTGAGCACCCCATTTTGTGAAATCTTCATCCTTAGGAGCTTTCCCGATCAGATTCAACCACGTACTTTTCTCAACTCGCAGAACTCGTTCGTTTAACCTGCATTTCAACACTGTTTTAGAATCATTTATCAGGATTGAGTGGATTTAAATAATTCGATTAAAATGACAATTCAAATCATCGATATTAATCAATTGAATTGCAAAGACAATTGATATTTAGAGTAACACTTACCGTGGCATGACATTAGGCTGATTCATGATGAAATCAATTATGTCATCCCCTTCGGTTATTTCCCCCCGAATAACCGCTTTATGCATCATTGGGATTTGCGACATAATAGTTGACAGGACAGCTTCTTCGAAGGACTCTGCATTCAATTGATCCGGTGGTAAAGGCATACCGTTCAGCAGAGCTTGTGGAAAGGTTTTAAAGCCTGTCCGCTTTACAAAATCACTGGCTAGGTGACGACCCACATCATATTCCGACTCTTCGCCAAGGATATAATTTACATTAGCGGAAGGATCACGAGTCTTGATTGCTTTTTTCACGTCGCTTACCCCAAGACCATCTTTTCCAATAAAACCACCTACCTAAAGTAGAAAGCAAAACATTTTTATGCGCCTTTGATGTCATCATTTTTTATGCGTCTTTAATATTTTAATTTTTTATTTGTCATGGACTAGAACCGAATATCGATCGGACTTACATCTATCAGAAAGTTAAGTGCATCCTTAGGACCTCTTGTCTCCAAAAAATAATGAAATGCATTATTAACTGCAACACTGGGATCCGACAAACCAGTCACCGATGGATCATAATTTGTTATGAACATAAATCCCAAACGTAACGGCGTTGTGTGTAAATACAAAGATTCCATCAATGAAACGAGAGCCGTGGAAGTTTCACTTAATGGATCAATAATTAATACCTGATAAAAGAAATATTAAAGAATCAAGAAAATGAGATTTCACAGAATAAAGTCAAGTTTTGTTCGGTAAGTACTCACTAAATTGTACATATTCCTTCTGATATTTCGAAGAGTGCCGGGAAATGTTGGTCTTAATAACTCGTTTAGGTACGGTGACCATCTGCTGTAACGAGCATCATTCTCAATATCATTTATCCATATGATTGCGGAATCTCTTATATCTATTGCAAAATCTTGGCCATCCGCACCACTGGACAAATCTAACGCTAATAGTTTGCCCATTTTTTTACTGTTAAAACCTAAAAAGAACGTCAATAATTGAAATGAATTCCGTTCAAACTCTACCAATAAATCATTTATATATATAAGACGGACCGATCTTATGAAGAGCTTCCATTATGCGAAGTTCACTCCGTAAGGCTTCTAATAGAGTTAGTATATCAATGGCATCCAAATCAAAGAATAATCCATTAATAAAAAGAGCGGTATCGGTTGGTTGAATACTTAAGCTCGCAGAGAATAATTCTTGATTCAATTTCATCTCTTTTTTCATGTCACCACTCACCTTAGTTTTTATTAGAGACTTTGCCTACGAAGTAAATAAAAAAACATTTAGACATATTTAGATATATGTTATGTGTAAATATATGAAATAAAGTAAGCGATTCAACGAAATATTTGTCAAATATACCTGCATAGGAAAATTCTGAGAAATATCAATAAGGGCTTTAATAGCCTCATCGACAGGAGAATTCATTATTCTCTCCGCAGCTTGATGACTCAATTCCTGAAACTGCCATACTTTCAGCGCTCCTATTTCATGACTCGTTTCAAGTAGGTGCGTTTGCAACTGATCTAATTCCGTTCTTTTATCTGGATACAAATTTCTGAAATAATACAGTGATTAATAGCAATGAAAATATTGTTGTACCAGATACAGATAGTGCCTCTGTAATAACCACCTTACTTTAGAATAGCAAAATTAATCCCATCTAATTCATCGACACCATCATTTACAGATTCTGCATCTTTTCCTGAATTATCCTTGATATCCGTATCATCGGTGGCTTTGTATTCTGTAGATTTCATTTGAAGTTCGACACCATATCCCGAGAGACGAAGCTTTCTATCCAATCTGTCCTACATTATTTAAAACCAATATTTAATGGATCGTAACAATTCGTATCATTTTATTGTAATATCTTCTTACTTTAACATAATGGCGAAGGATGTAACCAATATTTTTGGTTTTCACAAGAGTTTTTAATCTTTCGTGATATTCAACAAATTCAGGGGTACCCAGTTCTCCATAAAGTACGACAAGTCTATTAGAATTTTGTTTTCCTAAATAGTAATGATCCACGCTGTATGTAACAGCTTGAGGCCACTCGTCCTAAACATTACGGAATTCAATAATTATTAGACGCAACCATTGTACATTTTATACACATTTGTTTCAACAATGATATATAATCAAAATAAAATCCTTTACTTCTTCAATTAGCTTCTCCAATTCATCCAATGAACACGTGAACTTCCCACCAACGTCAAATACATTATTGCATCCCAAACCGGAAGCATTTCTGTTCTGAGCCATTTGAGAAAACATTTCTATTCTTGCCGAATAAATGCGTAATGAAAGTCCCAGTTTTAGAACTGCTAATTCTGCCGGTGATAAAAAATCACTGACGATTTCCATTAATATGTTATATCGCTCTCTTTCAGTTGCTGAAAAACAATATGACCTGTATTGCACCGTAACAATGAATCGCAACCATTTCAAATGTTATTCTCACCACTGTTTGCCAGATCATCTGTTCTATTCGATACTTTGTCTATAAAACTCCAAAAGTAATTTGAATTTTCATCGTTAAGATACTCAGCCACTTCCAGTACAAGAGGAGTATCGTTCCACTTAGCGTTGATTAAAGTGGTCACATATTTGTTAATTTTTTTATCAGCTAGCGTGTGACTTGAAGTTATAAGTAACGAATACAGAAATATAAAAATCCACATCTACGGAACAACATGTTTTATAAAAATCCATCCTCGGACTCTTAAATGTTAAATCATTAACACAAAAACGTGGCGGTACCTCAGCAAATGATTATTTAAAAACTTAAAACGCCTTTTACCATAATTTAGCACGAATGTAGTGAAAGTAATACATGTTCTTTAAAATAACAAACTTATAGATCTGTGAATATAACCTCTAAACACACGACGCATGGAGATATTTTTTCATACACTTGCCTTGATATTCGATTGAGTTCTGTTATTTATAAATAACATATGCGTGGCGAAGACCAATCCATGAAGCACAGTGCCGATTAGTGCCACACAATCACAAGAATTGAGACAGATGTGAAAAACCTCAGATAGCACAATGCGTATACCGGTTAATCCATTCGCGATGCATGTATGCTAGCGCGACTTACCTCGCATTTCTATTGGCTGTTCGAGCGGCACACAACCAATAGAAAGGCAGCAAGAAATTTCCAACAGAAAGTATGGAATAATATTTTTTATTACAAATATCACAAAAAATAAATTTCGATGACTACAAGGAGGATTGTAAGGAATTAGGTTGATAGCAGTTTCAAATTCTTTCATCAAAATCTATTTTTGATCAATTATTGGAATAACAACAATTAGAGAGAATTAAATCACATCCATCGGTTTGGAATAACATATAATTATTACAATAGTGCGTAAAGGTACAGTCCTTTCAATGTAGATCTATCACTAACGCCCAGTCACACAATCGAATCATTTACTTAATTTATTCATAATAATGTAAGAAAATCTATAAATCCTGTATGTTTTAAGTACTGGTCCAAAATCGTTATCTTGAATCGGTCTGGTTATCGTAACCTCCAAAATAACTTCAGAATCTAATTTCTCTAACTTAACATTTACTTTATACATAAAATATATAAATTGATATTTGTAAAACGGAATCAACGATATTATACGAACTGAAATTCTCGTGTAGACGTTAATGACTGAATTAAAAGAAATAGAACCCAGCAATTCCTTGACTGTTCCTTGATGTTTTTGAATAGTTACTGCTAGTGGAATGGAGAAGATGGCACAATAGGCCTACACTGACTTGCGATTAAAATAGTGTTATTGTTCTTCAAAGGTATTCATTGACTTAGACCTTATTGAACGCTGCTATATCTACACTTTGCACATAAGACTCGATCTCTTGAATTTTTTCGGTGAGCCAGTCCACTGACACTTTATCATCCTCGACGACACAGGAGATTTGAAGTTTATGGATACCAAAGGCCAGTGGTACAAATTTAGCTACGTACAGGAAAACATTTTATAGTTCATCGTTAAATTAAATGCTATCATATATTAATATACAATAAATGTAATACATACAGGCACCCCATAAAAGACCATCCGATTCAATTTTTCTAACTTCATTGTTCATCGCATCCATGTCGGTCTCATCGGACCATGGTTTAACATCGAAAATTATATTAGATTTTGCAATCAACACTGGTTCTGAAAAACAAGTTCCATCAAATTTCACCCAATTCGGAGAATACTTTCACGAATGATTTGATCTCTCAGATGTATACAGGCTGACTCTTTCGTATCTCCTTAAAAAATGTGTAAATTAACACTCACTGGTCGACTTCTTCGCAGCATAGGCGGCTAAACGTTCTTCTCTAATTTTTGCAGCCTCGGCATCTTCACCCTATCGAGTTACATCCCCAATTCAAATATATTCTTACGTGTACAGTGTATCGCTAACTCTGGCTAACAAATGCAATAAAAGCATTAGAATTGAATCTATGATTTCTTAAACACATTCAGGACGGGTAATTGTCACTTTTGTGTATCATAAAAAATTATTCACGTTCCCCGCGTCCAGAATGCATTAAATGAGTCGAGTTTTGGGAATATCTGGTGCTGCATGATCGTGATGCAAACTCTATATTAAAAAATGACTATCGATGAGTAATGAATTATTATCTGCTATGAGGATTGCAAGAAATATAAGAACAGTAACGGACTTTCGAGTTACCATACAAGTTGCCAACTTATCGATACGTTGGAAGAGAGGCAAAAATCATAGAAAAGAGCCATCAAGGATTAAGTATTTCAAAAAATAACCATCAAGGATTAAGTGTTTTAAAAAATAACACGTATATCTCTGTTTCAAAGCTCCGTTCTCACTTGCCTCAGAGTCAGACCCAAATAAATCCAAATCGTCGTCGTCGTCGTCCTTATCGGCTGAAGTTTTACTCGAAGCTTCCGGCTTAACAGGACACACAGCTGGCTCGAGAACGTAAGACAAAGTCTTCTCTTCTACTGCTTTAACTCGTGCATCCAGCTTGTCGATGATATTTTTCAATTCCTCTACAACTATTTCCAGACCATTTTAATTATACATAGACTTCGTAAAATAGGTTTGTCAATTTCTACAAAGACACTCTTTCGCTTGCCCCGTTAAGAGCTCTGCACAACTGTATATAACATGCTCCGATAACAGCTATAGATAAAATCATTATACATACTGTTTCTAAGATCAAGATTTTCCTTTTCTAAGGTCGCAACGCGTGACGTAATTTCCTGCCCGGAGTTTTTAGCATGAGCAGCGATACCATCCATCTGTAATCACACCGAAAAATGTACCTGCTGATAACAATTTTTGTAAAAAGCAATTTATTTTCATTTGCTTGAACAAATACCGTTCAAACTGATATCATAGTAACAGGAAACCTTAACAAATTATTATGCCGTTTCAATAATGTTTCTAATCCCTGTTATACATTAATAATAATTACTGGTCCATTGAATGGTACTGAACAATTTGAAGAATTAAATCAAGGCAAACGGTGCCTTATAATGAATCATACTTCCTTTAAAAAAAGAAAATGTTAAGAAGATAAGAAAGTGATCGAGCGTGACTTATCGAATGTTGGCTTAGTATGCGAACATAATATGCTTATAACTGATGATATGATAAAGGAGTGAGCAAGGGTAACAGTACTCACACACTGTAAAGACTGTTTAATGTATTCTCGAGCCTTGGCGACCTCGTTGGCCAAACTTCCACCGGCAGGAAGAATTGGGCAAATCGACTGTTGGTTTCCCTGCATCCACCGATATTAAAGATCAACTCACACCAGGCAGATAACCCACCAAACTTACATAATAAGTTGCAACAAACAGGTTATTTGTTTAGTGGAAGGAAATCATGCAAGGAAATCATACAAACATTGAGCATCATTTGCAAGATGAATGTAAATAAAGAAAAGCATACAATACAATTAAGGTTTAAATAATTAGCGAAGGGAAAAGAAGCATGGAGAAAATAAATGTTTACTAGTAATCGAAGACAGGCAGCATCATAGTATAAACTCGTACAAGGTTTATAAATAAAATGCGGCTCCTTTAAAACAATATGTAAGAGTGCATTTCGCTACCGAGTGGTTTAAACTTAGAAACATGCTCACTTTTGCAATTACTAAATTATAAAAATAAGAGCAATGAAAGTAAACTACTAGAAACAAATGTATAGTTCGATAAACTTGATTATTCAATATACATGAATAAACTAAAGAAATCCAGTTTACCTGATAAGGAAACTGTTCTTCTTCTTGCTCTTCTTGAACTTCGGCAACATTCTTAGCTTCTTCCTTACTCTTATGTTTTTTAAAGACTCTATTCTTCTTTTCCTTCGCCTCTTTAGCTTTATGTTTCTTAGCATTGTTATTAATTAAAGCCTCTTTGTCTTCGATGTCTAGATTATCACTTTTCTCGACAAAGGTCACCTTTTTCGAGTCGTTATCATGTTTTTTACCAGTCTTGACAATTTCGACGTGGCATTTATTATATGGTACACTTTTTAAGACAACAATTGTCCCACTTTCCTGAACGAGCGATTTGGATGTCTTTATATATATGTATATATATTAAAACTTTGACTTTAAGAAGGAAGCAGGATTTGTTAGATTAGGATCACTAGTAATAGGCGAGAATTATACAAGCATCATTCCACTAAGCTCAATCATCTCATCACGTATTTAGTCTACAGAAATAGAAGGAAAGTCCCACAAAAGAAATAACTCGCATATCGTATAAATTATTTTATATTACAGATGTTATTTCAAACTAACGGTAGTATCTATTACGTATCGTTAACTACATTTACGTAGAAATGCATCGAGTAACAAAGCAAAAATAAACCAAGCATCGAATTGATTAATCGTATGAACATAATTTCTTGTCACGATAATTCAAAGTTATAGAAATTTAATAAGAAAATTCACTTGATATATAGAAGTCATTTCTATAACAAGAAACATGACGTAAGCAAAGTGGATGATTTCCATTACTGCAATTATTTACTATGGTATGCAAAACTACAGAAATTATATACAACGTATGTATTTAGTATCTTCAACCACCACCAGATATTCCCTAAAGCATTTGTTAAATGTAACAGTGATGTTAATGCATAAAAGCATGTCTCCGGGGGAAACATCTCTTAGACGTGGATGCTGGGGCCAAGGGGGATGGTTAATGATAGTTAGAATCACTGCTCTTAAACATTCCAGAATTTTCCCAATAAGTAATTTTCAAAAGCTTAGAAAATTTGGTCTATCGTTGCAGGAAATATGCCATAGTTGTTAGAAGCATGTTTAAAAGCAGCGATGGACTCCGTCTGATAAATTTCAATTCCATCATTAATATTTCAGGATGTCAGCATAGTTGAAGATCGCATAGCTTTCAGAAAGAAGTCTCTTACCTTTGCGAGACGTTCGTAATGAAGGCATTCCGCTTTATCATAAGAAGGCTTATCCAACCATACTGTTTCTTGGGCCAATGCAATTGCTGCCATTTTCTAAAATACTTATTCTTCGGCCACAAATTAACGTTAATTCTGCAACATGGAGTGCAACATACAAATATACTGTCAAATTATACACAAATACAAATATTTTAGCCAATAAACATAAACAAACAATATGATTAGCATTTATTATATAAAAATTTAACATTCTTCTTAAGTAAAAGAACGAGTCTTCCATCAGACATTTAAATATTAATATATATATATATTATAAAATTAATGTATAATTGCACTATACATATGGCATAAATTAAGGTTATCGTATATTTATGTTATGAATCACTATTTTCATCATCACAATACTCCTTATTATTACAATCTAATTTAACGTTTTTAAAACGTGGTAGCTTAATACTACACATTTCTACCTCTGGAGTTTGTTTCTTTAGTTCTTTTAGTATTTCGGACAACAAATCCTTTTGATTATCACTATTGACACATGGAATAACATTATTTGCATTGAAGTATGTAATGAAATCCTTGAGTTCATTGTACGAAGAATGGTTTGAGTAACAAACATTTATTGTATTAAATCTTTTATCATTGCGGGCTACTACTATAGATGTATCTTTCCCCTTCCACCACTGTACCGATGGTACAATTCTTAAAACATTTTTTGAATAAACTTTTCGACAATTTAAGTCAACAAATTTTCGTTCAATACAAGCATGGATGCGTGTTTCGTTTGCATTATCTGTAACATAATGATTCAATTCCTCTATTCGCTTATATTTTTCATAGACTTTTTCTTTCACATGAATCTTTGTTTTAAATGATCTCGATACGTTCATGAATAAAAATTCAGAACCATAGTTAGCGGAACACTCCAAGAGAATGACATTCATTGGGTTCTCGTCAAGCCAGTCTTGTATTAATTTGTATATCTGGTCCAGAGCTTCCTTCCTACTCGGTAAACTCTTAAAATGTTCATTTAAAAATGTGGTATCAAGATACATTGCGTCAAATTCCCGTGGAATAGAACTTCCAGGGAAGTGCAAGGGCTTCAATTTTGAAATATCACTGGAATGAATTCTAACGTCTCCGGTATACAACAGCGTTTTGGTAGACTGTTCAAAAAGAAACATGACCGATCCTGGACAATGTCCGCTAGAAATGCTGCATACAGATACGTATTGAAACAAACCACTCGGATCTTCGTAACGTATAGAAGTTGGCTTGCAATCTTCCAAAGCCATTATTCTGTCTGCAAGACGACTTGGTAACCTATGTTCATCTTCTAAAATGAGTTTACTTATACTACTACAATAAAGATAACGATTTCTTCTTTGCAAATGTTCAAAAAATTCAAATCTGAGACCTCTCATATGGTCAGTATGACAGTGACTAAGAAAAAAGGCAGACGAATCTAAGTTGTCGGCTTCAAAATGATCCACTGAAATGCCTGGTAACTCCTTGACGAGCCCATCGAAAGTTGACATTTTTGGCACCTGGCTGTGGATTCTGTAATGCAGAAACCAAGCATCAAATTTGCCGTGTTTGGAAGAAATCTTTACCGTAACGAGAGTTATCTATTGATGAACGATAGCAAAAACCTTTCTAACGTTACTACGTTCTAACGGTAGGTGATACTGTTTTCATCTGAGTTGAACATTTGTTTATAATGCCGTAAAAATGTATTAATTTTGAGTTTGCCATGTGTCTTATTGATCAGTCCATTTCCAAGTTGACTTAAACTGCCATTAACACTTAATGCAGATAAATAGAGGAGATACTGACGTACTTTTAACTATTTTATTCTTCCTCGTTACTATAAATACCTTAAACGTGAGTCGAAAATCGAAGATATTAAGTCAATAAATAATATACTGCAATATCTCTGCCAACAACTCGAAATATCAAGTAACACTCGACTGTACCGGATGTTTGACAAGATGGCGCAATCTTCGCCGAACCTGACACCACGTGACGCGATAAGCATTTCCGTTGATTCTGCGTGTTTGTATCTAAGACTAGAGAGAAGCAAAGAATGGCAAAGCCATGCTCTGAGTTTTCACCGCAATTGTGACCCAGAGCTTATAGAAACAGATACTATGTCTCCACCGTCGCTAATAACCAGAGTTGGGTAAGTAAAATACCCTAGGAAATTTACATAACTTTGTACAGTATATTATTAGGTATTTTACTGTACAAATAGCATAAGCGATGTAAATTACATAAATATGGTCTTTATGTTTCCCAAGTTCTTTATGTTGGGCCGAGACTGCTGGCGGCTCTCTGATTGGACGAAGCCGGACCAATCAGGGACTGGGCCGACAGCCGTATGGCAAGTATTCTACGCGTCGCTTTAGGCGGTGGACGCCATATTGCGTGACTCAGTGAGACTTCTAACGCACAGTGAGAAATCGGCCGAATTGGACGCGACACGCGACGTCCATGTGGTTAACATAAATATTTAAAATTCTACGTATCCAAACCAACGGTGGTATTGAATTCATCTTTTGGTACGACCAACGAAGGATGACGAAATCCCATTCAGAGTGAAAAGAAGGAGCTTGTATCTTGAATCGAAATCCAGTTAAACAGTGCAAAGTGTATGTAAATAAAAACATTGCTCCTAATACGAAAGTTTGGAGTTCGCTGACTTGTTCTGACTTGTTTCAACTCGTGCATAAACCATGGTTCCAGTTATCTAACAAAAGGTATTCACGACATATATAATATACAGTATTATTTTTACAGATGATTAATCATGGCTGATTTACACGAGGATATAAAAAGAATGACGCAAATACCATCGACGTATGAACCTGCAACATTTTATCCTGTAAAAGATCCGCGAAGGGGCCAAAAAGATAAAATTCACAAACGTGGACACCGCCAAAAAAATATAGAAGTAAGTCTTATATCTGTTAATTAAGATCCATCATTGTTAAAGCATTTAACAAATTTTAACTGTACGCGATATAATAAAAATCTTTCTCAATGTAATGTATGTTTTCCAGTTGATAGAAGAAAGTGACACAAGTGGTCCAACTATGGTCTCGGGTGACTTTCCATTTGAATATGAAATCACATCTAGCATTAGAGCAGTAAGTCAATTTTGTTTCGTGGTTTATTTCGGTTGTAAGATATTTTTTCTTTTATATATTTCTTTATTAAAATATATTCTTAAAACCGTCTGTTTCATGAAACAAGAAAACAGAAGAAAGTGCATGCGATTTATAATATCGATATTGAAAATGAATATTTCACTACAGGCAAATGGGGGAATGGACTATTCTAATCAGTTTTTAGAAAATGAGTGGAAAAAGAATAATTTAGAAAAAAGTTTAACATCGGAGAGTTTGGACACCTCAAGTTCTTCGGTATCGCCTGATATACTGAGTTGTAAAGAAGATGATAATTTAACTATGGAATGTGAAAGAGATAACAAGAACAATACCACTTTCCGCTACAAACGAAATGCTTTGATAAAAGGACTAATAAAGAATAATATAATAACGTTATTGGAGCTTGACATAAATGAGGAACAGAATTCTTCGTCGTCCATAAATAACAAAGAAGGAACTAATGGGTTGGCTAACGACAATGAATTCTTCAATTCAAATGATCCAGGCTTAACTGAAAGTGATACGAGTGTTTTAGTGCCTAATCCTGAAGATGAAGATTTTTATTGTACTCCGTTGCAAGCATTTGGCACATTAGACAGTAACGGTGTTGACTTCACTGTAGAATATGTAGGAAGAAAAGAAGTTGTTACATCGAGGCGATATCTCATCAATCAAGTTGATGATTCATTTTTTGAATTTAAGAAAAAATCTAGACAGAGTACAAATGAGCCACATACCAACCACTCTACGTAGTAACAGAAACAACGAAATAAGTTTTATTAGGAATATTGTTTAATAGTTTTATTCAACTTTCTCAGTATGTTTAGAAATAACAATGTATTCTTTGTAAATAAGTTGACAAAGACGCATGTTCAAGCAGACTTATATGTATAAGCATATATACTCAGCTAATATCATGTAGGAAGTAAAAAAAAAATTGCATTATATTTGACAGCAGTCACATAAAAAATCTAATTTGACCAAAATTATTAAATATTCGTAGTTGGCACAGTTTGTTTTTATATCTCAAAAATGTCATCTTGGGTTAGAATCTCAAATTTTACTTCTGTCGAATTCGAAGAGTCTCTCAAAGGACTTTCTAATTTCGTGCCTTATACGATATATAATTGATAAGAGAAAGTAGGAGTTATAATTAAGGTTCGACTGAGTATAAATATAAGTTTGATAGAATGTTTAACGTTTTTAAACATAAAGGAATTTATGTCAATATATTTCATAATTCCGAGGGAAAGTATGATTAAAGTAATTATTATAATTGTAATAGACGCAATAATGATGATAAAGAAGATAATCGTAATCGAAGTTTACCACAAATGTAGACGGTGTATACAGGGTAGACCAAGATCGTAGACCAAGCGAACAAGAAATACCTTTAAATTGTAGAAGTTTATATTCAGAAAACTCGGTAGAGTTTCGCGCCAAGTACATTTAAAGGCTTGCGCAAACGGCACTGAATACTTAACGCCAAAATTCGGCACATCAATTCGATAAATATTTATTTATCAATTAATACATCGACACTGTACAAATATTTTCAATCATTACTCGATAGGAGAATAAACTTCTACACCAATGTATTTCACAAAGAATATATTTCTGCTGTTATTCAAGTGTTTCATGTTCGTAACGTTGTATCATTGTAATATTCTTCATCAAAAAAATACTTTTTAAGTTGTTAGGATAATACATCCCATCTTATTAAGTAGCTTTTGTTTTTTATAACAAGCGGATATTTCAGATACATGAAAGAGTTACTTAATTTATGTATTGTCGGCAGTAACTGTAGCATATCACTCGAAAATATGAAATCTATATCAGCAGGAGAAAAGCTATCGTTTAGAATGTATTTTCATTGAAATGATTCAATTGACTTATTAATAGTCACGTTTTTACAGACTCCACTCGCTAAATCATATCACTATACTAGTATTAGTTGGTGAACGGTATGGTTATTCGCGATGTATAATCATAACATCTTTTGACCTTAACAATGCCCGTAATATAAATTCCGTCTCTGAAATGTACAAAGTTATTACTCAAATGTTCATACATGTTCGGATACACATTTTGTGTATATAGAATGACCCTTTCATACCGCCTTAAAACAATCGGTCCGACACAATGCTCAAGCTCAAGATTTCTGTTGTACCGATGGTCGCAAGTCGGGGTGCCGTTTTCCTAATTTCCTATACTAAGTGAAAACTATCATTACGAGCAGATGAAGGCATGCTTGGCGAACAATGCGGTACTTCGAACAATGACGGATCCGTATAAATCGGCTCGCTGGGATCGAAAACGTTCCTTCGATTAGTGGATAAGCCTGCCGTCCTCTCGAGTGTACTGAAAAGAAAAATTATTTTAAGAAATATCCCACCAAACACGGTCACTTAACAATAATATAACTGTTATCATATCATGTTATTCCATTGTTATAGTGTGCTTGGTGGGATGGATCTCGATTTATGTGAAGAATGGAAATATTGTAATCGCTTACTTGGACCGAAATTGCTTGTGAAGGCCTCCCGATAAAAAGGAAAAATTGTTTTGAACCGGCGTACTACTGCAAGACCCGCGATAATTGTTACTTTGACGAGTCGATTTGTCCAGTATCCGGTTCTTGCGAATTACGGAATACACGTACTTCCTGCAAAGACCGATAAGACCATTTAATGCAAATTAACGTGGATTCGCGTATATGTTCAAGTACGATTGTGACTATAATTTACCTGTAAACAAATATGGATAAAACGACAACAGATGACAATAGTATGACAAGACCGACAACGGCGGTTACGAGTCCGTAGTACTCATTCGGGGCGATACAAAGTGTCTCGATTGGCTTCGTTTGTTTCTCAACAATGTTGTCTTCTAACATGTCCATCCTGGAGTCAAAGACCTGGGAAAGTATTTCAACATTATAATTTGTTTTGCTACGTAAACGTAAGAATTTAGGAATGAGCGTGAATATCGGTGTACATGAGTACGTAGTCTCATTACCTCGATCATCTCTCTCACTTGTTCCTCTTCGAGTTCTTCCTGCATCGACTCGTCGTTTTCCATGGTATCGTTACCAAGACTCGGAAAACTAGTCGAGCTTGCAATCGTTTCATTTCCTAGATACAGAGTCTCGTTATTCACGTCTCTTCGTTTCCTGCCAAACGAAGGCTCGCTTCTTCCGGCACTGCTCGAACAATAAGCCGGTTGACATCCGTCTCTGCAAGTCTTAACAGTCGCCTCGAAAACTAAGAAATTCGACTCGGGTATCTTGAAAGCATTGAACCGAGCCTCCAGGCTGTCTCCATTTCGAAGCCGATCGAGACCAGGGAAGACGTAATTATCAACCGGGCAGCTGAAAAATAGAATTTTATCGATAACCTTCTGGCCTTGCATTGAGTTTAACATCCCCTTAAGGTTGCTATTTGGAATCGTATTTTCTATGTAAATCAGATCTTACCCGTATCTGTCGATCAGCTGTACGCTTCTTCCCGAGTACGGATCCCTCGCTATGACATTAGTGGCGAAAATATCAGTAGGGTAGTTGTACCTGGAATATCAATATCCATAATTTTTTAACTGCATCCCCTTCGGTATTCTATCAGGAAACTCGGTAGAGTTTCACGGCAAATACATTTAAGTGTCTGCGCGAACGGCGCCGAGTACTTAACGCCAAAATTCGGCACGTGTCGATTTTTAATATCCCGATTGATAACGATATGAGTATATTACCCATCTTGTGCTTCTAGTCGGAATGTTAGTGGATCTCCTACTGCGATGGTCGTGGTGGGCCTTCCTTGATAAAGAATCATTAATCTCACCCGCGAACTCAAGGTATTCTCTGCTGGGAGATATTCAATAGGTATCGGCGATCCGGACCTGCTGATATTTTGTAACAATAGTTAACAATAATTAAGTCGAATAATAGAAGATACGGGAGTTAGCTTTTCTACGAAGATTGATCTTCCTCATACCCTGCACCGATGTAGCTGGAAGTGACAACCGCTTCTCCTGGGCCACGAAATAGACACGTTAAGTTGAATCGCTTGTCTCTTCCGGTTTGCACGTAATCCGAGAATTGTACCACTACAATGTTCGTCATTGTGTCTCCGTACTGGAAATCAGAAAATAGTATGTACATCTTAACCAGACCTTATCGTAGTTGCAATGGTGCACGATATGAAATGAAAAATTATGCAGAGAAATATACCGATGTACGCAACGTCCTGATACGGCTCTTACATATATATCATGTTAAAAATATTATAATTATATAAAATATCTATGTATATATATTTGTAACATAGGGTGTTGGTGGGTGGAATCGGGCTGCCTCGGTACGGACTGAAGGTTGTAACAAGTGTTCCGTGAATTCGCGACAGTCATCAGGAAAGCTATCTTCCAGAATGGGTAATATTTAAAGGGCATGCGGAAATAATTCAAAAGATATAGGTACCCGTTGCGTGCCGCATTCGGGATATCCTTGAGCCCCGCTAATTCGGAGGACGTTTACGGTCCCGCCGTTTCCGCGGAAGAAGCAGCGATCGTAATACCCGTAAGTGTATATCCTGCCAATAAACCCTTCCGGTGTCCTCAGGGTAAACTCCATGCCGTCCTCGCTGCAAACCTGGCTCACTGAAAGGTCGTTAAAATTCATGTCAATTCCGCAGGTTGACTTTCCGCGATCCGAATCTCCTACCACACACATTTGTACTACCCAGGGATAAACTCCAGAATCGTTATAATGAAGTTATAAAGAAAAACAATATTTTCGACAACTACTTAAGGTGGAACACGTCGGTATTAATGATTTCTCTGAATACCTACCTTGCCGATGTTCGTTTTTATATACTAGTACCGTGTCGAATTACATTCGGTATAGTACTTAATAATAAATGATATGGAAGTCGAGGTTAAAGAAATATGCAACACCAACCGTCCAGACACTCTCCATCGGGTCCTTGTCTGCCATTATTGCGCTCGTAGAAGTCGTAATCCGAGGTGGAGTCGTAATATACGGGATTTCCCATGTCCATGTCTCTAGAGTCTCGGTCGCTTAGTTCGCAGTTGTCCCGCTCGGCGCCGAACGGCGCTGCGTACGGCCTGAAATTGAACGACCGGCAGACGAAGTCTCTGGCGTCGGCGCATTCCCTCTCACAGTTAACCAATGTAGATGCCGTCGTGTATCGCCGGATAAACGGTTTACGGACTCTCGTCCGCTGTCCGACCTGGCGGAAATTCTCCTGCTCGTCGCAACGGGATAAAAGAGGCGGCCTGCCGATTATGGGACCGCCATTAAGGCCGGAGGGCCGAGAATGGTAAACCCCTTCCTCGCCGACGTATCCACCCCCGACGATCCCGTCCCCGTATCCGCTGTCGTACGGCCCTAAAGGGCGAGCAGACCCGTAAGGCCCGTTTCCGTAGTAAGGACGATTCTTGTAATCTTTCACCCCGTGCACGTCGTCGTCGTAACCGCTGGGGTAGGGCCCGTGGCCACTTGCAGCATATCTGGAATGATGGTAAAAAGTCAAGGAAGGTCTAGTCTAGTGATAGGGAACATTCGGACCTCTGATAGGATATTTTTAAATGAAATGTGGTGTATTAATGTCTTTCAGGATTTTCGAAATGTATGCACTGAGGAATATCTTATTAGCAGAGGACGAGAGGATAAGAACTTACCGGTCATGGGGAACATATGGACTTCTGATAGGATATCGATCACCAGGTGGGGGGCGATCCAAGGGTGGCCGGCTACCTCCTGGGGATACGGGGTAACGATCCGGGTGGTCATCCGAGACAGGATAACGATCCAGAGCCGTTGGATAACGATCCCCACCAGGTGGGTAACGATCCCCACCAGGTGGATAACGATCCCCACTGGTGGGATAACGATCTACACCTGTTGGATAACGATCCGATCCCGAGGGATAACGATTCCCAGGACCAGAGGGATAATGGCCTCCTCCGCTTGGATATCTGCTCGATCCTGGATATCCTCCATATGGATGTCTATGCACCACCGGATACTGACTCGGGCCGGATGGGTAACGATCGTCCGGTATCGGGTAATGATTTCCATCCGGATACCTATCGTCTGGATATCGGTCGTATGGATATGGATAACGGTCGGGATAACGATCGGAGTAACCCACGCCTTTACTTCCCGCGTACCCTTTCTCGTAATCGTCTCCGTATCCTTAAACATTCAGGGTCCGATAAGATATTGCGATGCACTTAATTGCGGTTTAATTAAATATTGATACGAGCTGAATTATTATTAACGGAATTAATGGAATATGTCTCACCGGGTCTTCCCAATGATGGCCGGCCGAAATTCGTGTCCTGTCCCAAAGGATCCGGTCGATATCCTGGACTGTCTCGATCACTTTCTAGATATTGATCTGAAATACAATAACCACGGAAAATTAAGGTGATATGAAAGTGGCATTTTTTTTTTTTTTAATGAAAAATTTTGAAAGTGTCGATTAACAAATTTTTTTAACACTCGATTTGGAGAAAAGTTTCATAAACGAGACTCACTTAAGCATCATCTTAACGGCGATCGTTTCACCCTCTATGTGCGAAATGGATGTGACGTTTACGGAGAGGAGACGTCGTTAAATCTACTTAACTAATTGCAGTACTTAATTCCGTCGCGGGACTTACGCATCAGGTTCTCGTAGTAGTCATAATCGGCGTCGTAAATTATTCGGTGGCCATCTCGCTGATTGAAGCGACTCAGACGGCAAGTCTGAAAGTGGTCCGAGTAAACTGCACTTCTGCATTGGAAACTCGTCTGTCTGAGACATTCGTCGAGACATTCGCTGAGACTCCTCCCGGTGATCTCCGAGTGAAATTCCCCGCTCAGTCGCGAGTTCCGGAAACGCTGGAAAGCCGTATCCGGTCGACGAGGTTCCCCGAAGACGTGGGGTGATACCGTGTTATCGGGATATTCCGATCCTCGTGCTAGGGGTGGATCTGCGTTTCGTTAGTGAGCACTGACAATTGACAAGGGGTAGTTATAAACACTGAGAAAAGCAAAATGTTGCCTTGGGCAGCTGAGTAGAAAAAGGCATTCGTCACAAATCGCTCTTCTCAGGGTAATGGACTTTGTACAATTTTGAATTTTTTTTTTCTTGCGTTTTTGCAATAATTGGGACCCTTACGGTTGTCAAGACACAGGAGGTCGTAGAAATGGTGACTCGGGCTAGTGCTGATTCCTATGTCGTCCTTTTGCGATACCGAATCCTCCTCCGAAATGACGCATTGTCGCGTCTGCTCGTCGAATTCCACGCTTCTGCAATAGTACTTTTCCGCCCTCAGACAAAGAGACTGGCACTCTTCTAACGTGAGGTTCGTGTAAATGTCCACTTCAAAGGGACCGCGGAGACGCTTGTTCTCCTCTTTAACGAAAACGGTAAGACCGTCGCAACGTCGCTGGGCTGTTTAATTACGAGGAGGCGTAATGCAATTTGATTAGAAGAACAATTCATGTATTAATTGTAGAGGGAAAAAATTTATTATCGCCCTGTCGTACCATTCAGGCAGGTGTTCTCGATGTAGTCGGAGTTGGGGTTGTCCTCCAACAATTCCGGATGAGTTCTTCTCGTAAATCTACTCAAGGTGCAACTTCTTAAGGCCGCGTCGTAAGAAGCTGACCGACACACGAAACTGAATTCGTTCAGGCATCTTCGAAGAGAAAATATTTCCGATAAGGTGTTAGGAAGTCTCAATTTTTATATACCTTTATATACCCGTTCTGACACATAGAATGACCCTTTCATATCACCTTAATGCATGACATGCTTAAAAATTACTGATTTATGAAATCAAATTCTGATTTTATCCACTACAAGTGTAATTGAGGTAATTACCGATCCTCGCATTCGGTCCTATTGGCTGCGCTGATTTCCTTGATATCTGTTATCGGCAGTTTCAATTTCTTCCGAGGATGCCTCTCGAACACGTATCGACGATTCGGGCACTCTCTTTCTATCCGATTTGCTTGAACAAGAAATAATAACAAAAACCCATAAGGATATATTTGATGGTGACTGATTTGATATTGATATAGTAATGACGAAGAGGTCGACTTAAAACGAGCCAGCGTTCTCTTGCAACAGTTGGTGAAAATATTTTCCATATTTTTATAGCTCTAAAATAAATTATACTCACATGTTAGGCACACTTCTGTGAAATGTATGCTGTTAGGGACGAGCATAAGATTTCCGATGCCTTCTGGCTGAGCTTGTTCTCTCGTTAGATAACAAGTACTCTCCTCGTATTCGGCAGCGCCGCTGAAAGACGCTATTTTGCTACCTGGTTGAAAATCAAAACTAGTACACGGTCGTACTAGATTGTTGGTCGCGGTTCTGTCCCGCAAGCAAAGTTCCTGGCATTTTTCCAAAACCCTAAACGGTGGAGCCGAGTCGCGTACCTGTTAAAAAAGAGAAAATATTTCGTTTACGAGCCCGGATAAGAACGACCAGGAACGTAATTCCTTAAAATTGAACCATTTTTATGACGCTATTTGAAAAATGTCTTATTAGAGTTCATGAAACCGAGGTTACCACTTCATCATCGAATCCTTGGAGCTGATGATCCGGAAGTCTTTCATAAACAACCCGGCCGGATCCTCCATTACACGTTGTCTGAGCTGAACGATCAAATTTGCATTTGTTATTAAATAATATACCCTCGCGTAATACCCATCAAACGGTGAGGACGAAAATGAAAATGATTTATTAAAATCTTCTATAAAGATTTTTATTTTTTCTTCGACAAACTTACCGTTCGCCAACATCTTGAGAATTGTGAGAACAGTGATAGCTTCAACCATGCTGAACATGTTACCAGTACTTTTCATTTTGTTCAGCTCTAAGTGCGGCAATCAAGCTGTCATGTTACTTGAATGGCTAATCTGAAAGCACAATTGTTCCGTGAAAATCGTGGAAAGACGTGAAAAGCGAGGAGAGACCGTGAAAGATCAGAAAAAATCGCGTAATATGGGCGGATATAAAATCACTCCATGAAATATGAACGACTCCGTTATAATATCGCGTTCGCGTACGTTATATTCGATAGTGATCTAGTGTCCCTGTTTAGTTTCAGAGCTTAACATTCGGCGAACAATGGTGCGATTCTCGGAGCTATTTGTGTGTCGCTATCTAGATGTACCGCTTCCTTTTCATTTTTCAATATTTCGTAATGTACACGTGGAGTACAGGGAGCAACAGGTACGAGTCTCGTGGGCGGTCAATTCCGGGGGAAATAATTACACGAAGTGGGAGACGTCGGTCGATTTTCACTTAAATGTTTCGTAATTAATAACACCGCGAACTTGTTACCAGTATTTCGTATGTATGTACGCTGAGGGAAGGAAAAATATCATACTGCAATAACGCCCTATAATCAAATAAAGTACTGCCGTGTTCCTAAATTTTCTTGTACATCGAACTACGTGAATATTCGTGTCGTAAATTGCGCCTGTGCACATACACGTAGAAAAAGAGGGGCGAGGTATTGTTACACGTTACGTCGCTCTCGTGTGAACGCAAACCGTAAACGCTTGTCCCAGGAAATAGTCTGAATGCCCGCAAAAACCATTATAAAGCGTGCTTTCCCCCGTACCGTAAAGCTCTGCTTTTTCCGTTTTAATCCATTCAAACTTATCTTCACGCATCCAATTTATTAATCGATAGCGATCTTAATTATCCACTGCCGCCGTATTTCCTAGTAAAGTGTCATTACCCAGGCAGAAAGCCAGCGGAAGATGGACCACGAAAAATTCAATCGGTTCGGCCAAACGTGCTGAAAGTGGTACGAAGCCGGTGCAATTAAAATGTGGGGCAATATTATCAGTCGTGGGAAATTATTTTTGTGGATGCATAGATCTAAACTAACTCACTCTTCGGTTTCTATCGGGTCGTCATAGAGCGAAGCGACAAAATAAATTCCCAATAAAAATGTGAGGCAAGTGCAAAAGTCGCAAATCGATCCTTATCAGTCGTGCGAAATTATTTTAGCGGATGCATAGATCAAAACTGACTCACTCTTCGGTTTCTATCAAGTCGCCGATGAGCCAAGCGACAAAATAAATTCCCAATAAAAATGTGAGGCAAATGCAAAAGTAGCAAATCGATCCTTATCAGTCGTGCGAAATTATTTTAGCGGATGCATAGACCGAAACTAACTCACTCTTCGGTTTCTATCAAGTCGCCGATGAGCGAAGCGACAAAATAAATTCCCAATAAAAATGTGAGGCAAGTGCAAAAGTAGCAAATCGATCCTTATCAATCGTGCGAAATTATTTTAGCGGATGCATAGATCGAAACTGACTCACTCTTCGGTTTCTATCAAGTCGTCGGTGAGCAAAGCGACAAAATAAGGCCGAATAAACCCGATAGAGGTGCGTGTGAAAACCGGGCGGCGTGAAAACGCTCCACGCAACGGATGGCGTTAAAGGAGGAGGCCCGTCCAACACGCGGGGCACCTGTAATCAGACTGGCAGGTAAAATCGGGCCGTGGCTGAAAATAACCCGGTCCGCAGGGGAACGAGAATCGAGGATCGGGAATCGAGGATCGGTCCCATGGGGGGCGACGGGCACCCGCAACGTTCACGGGGGGCATCGCGAGGGTAACGCATGGGGGGTCCGCCCCACGTCGGAGTTCTGGCCTTGCGCACCGCCGGAAGCTCTCTTATTGTCTCGGACTTCCGGAGGGCATCCGGGAAAACGCATAGCCGCTCTTCGGCACCCGATGACGTCGCTCTCTGTCACGGCGGAATCACGGATTAGAGACTCCGCTGGTATGCTGGGGTCAGCGAGGACATTGTCGTCCCGTCCGATCGATTTTAAACTCGATTCGACACCTCATCTTCGCTCGGTTTTTACATTTCAAGCCCTTCGGCACTTCCGATTAGACCCCCAGGTGTTTCGCGTCGTTGCGTTAAGGTGGTAAAAAAAGGGTAATTCCATTGGATTCGCGACTAAATGATTGCGGATTTTCTCGATAGGTCCTTATCATTTAAAATCCCCAATCACTTAGCTGCCAACCCCATAGACCCGCCACGTATACTTGGGAGAAATGGAATGTCCCCGATTCCACAAGAGTAGTAACTGGAATAGCAATCTAATTAGAGTCCGGAAGATTACTTTCACGCCTACAGATGGGCCCAGCCCTTTTGCGGAACTCACGGCCCGTTTGGTTACCGGAGAAAAATTGTTAGGGGGGTGGCTCTTCTCTGTCGAATTATTCCGACGCCCACTCGCACCTCTTCATATGTGCGATGACGATGTTGGTACTAGGAATGGAACTAGTAAAACAATGGCTAACGACCGAGGGTAAACGAATCGTGAAAGCCAATCAACGCTGAAGTACACCCCTGATATTCGGCACTTTTTATTTTATGTCGGGGCAATCTGTTTTTTTTGGGTTACAAGTTAAATATCCAACGCGGGACGTGTCCATCTCGTTGCGAGTTTCATCGAAACCGTGTATGAATGTTCTTGAAAAAAGAAAATTCCGCCCACCTCATTTCACCCTTTGCAACACTTTTCATGTACAAACGTTCATGAAAAGAGATTCACCCTTTGCAACACTTTTCATGTACAAACGTTCATGAAAAGAGGTACATCTCGTTTCACCCTTTGCAAGAGTTTCATAAAAAGCATGTATAAACGTTGACGAAGGGAGGTCCATCTTTGCCCGGGCCCTGGAGTGACATCGGGGTAACATTGGGGTGACATTAGGGTGCCATTAGGAAAAGGGGCCGGAGTGCGTTCGATCCCGGGCACGCGGAGCACTGCAGTGAAATGATGTACGCATTGGCGGCTAGTAGGCGGCGGCCGGCGGCGTTTTACAGCGGTAGGCGGCTTAGGGCACAGGGACGGTAAACACCGAGTGCGGCCCGTACAAGCTTCGGCGTCAAACGGCCGCAACTGCAGAAACGGCGCCTCGTGCTCCTCCGTACAAAAAGCCCTGCCCCCGGGAGGAGATGCTCAGTTCTCGCGAGCGACCTCCGACCCGGACCTCTCCAGGACCTCTCTAGGACCTCTCCAGGACCTCGAGATATCCTTCCGCGATTTCCTCGGCATTTCGTTCGCGATTTTTACCTTTCTTCTTAAAGAGCGAATCGGCGCGCACGCCGACGCTGCGCGTCCTGCGCACGTAAGTATGGACGTCGGGGCGGGACTCCGGATTTTTTTCTTTTTCTACCGGTTGAGGAATAATTATTATTCACGTTTATTACGTCGTTTATGTTACGTTGGTCGAGGCTGAATTCATTCATTTTGAGAATAAGGGGTCTTTGAGGCGAGGAGACACTAGAGGGTCTCGTGGGATTTTTTAGGAATTTACTATGAAAAGAGAACTGGGAGGAAAGGAAAAGATATTCGCTGCATCTGTTTTGTTAAATTACGCCGAATGAGATTTCTAATTGTTAGAGTGGTGGAACGGTGATAATTAGACACTTTGTGCTCTCGCCGAAGAAAGACCGCGGCCAGAGGCTTCATTCGGGAGAAGAAAGAGTGAAGGGAATTTTTTATGTTATTTTCGTTCGTTTGCTGTGAGTTACGACTGTTAAAATTAATATATGGACAAAAGGTAGCTGTTTTGGTTGTTACGTTATTTTTATTAAATTGTATCAAGTGTGCATCTTTATATTTTCAATCGTTAGGTTCTACAGTAAAGTGAAACGTGGATGCCTCTGGACGATTTTTGTAATAAAAGTGATTCATTAAATTTGCATATTTTCGAGGACGAAGTTGTGGAAATGGCGCGTCCCGGAAACGCGGTGATAGCTCGATCGAGCGAACCTGATATCACCTAAAATATCTACAACAATGGAAAAAACTCGATAGCTTCTGGTCACATAGATGTTTTAAATATTGACTAGGTGTCAGAAAACGAGACATTCCTTTTGTGCTTAACGTAATTAATAAAAGAACGTTCATTCGCGTCCTACATCCAATTCAAGATGGCGTCTTCGATCGTTCTTAGCGAAGTCTTGACTAACGTACGAAACAAGGCGTGGTCTCGCCAATTCGACCAAGAAAAACGCTGCTTTCCGAACCTGTAAAGATCGGCAAATTACTTAAAAATATATTTGCTTCTAAATTGCACTTTGGTTTTAATGATTCGTATATGATTGTAAAATGACACTTTTAAGGGCAAGAGCAAAAAAATCCATCCAGTTTTACAGAATATAAACCTAACAGGAAGTCTACTATAGGAGATAAATACTTATTCTAGATTACAATTCGAGGGAGTATTCACTCGGGAAATCATGGATTTTAATGCTCGATATCATGTGGAAATGATTTTGAAATCACAAGAGAAATGTTTGAAAATTATCGAAACGGAGACGGAAATCGCTTTCATTGATTTCCGAGTGAATATCCCTTCGTTAGAATTTTATTTGCAACAATTAGTACATGTCGATGAAGTGGCACATTTAAGGATATCTTCGTCATGCATTCTCCATTCTTCCAGGATACCATGCGTTTGGAAATCGCAATTGTTCTAGCAATCCTGGGGCTCCTCGTAGTGGAAGGAGCGAAATCTCGTAATTCAGATTACTCTAAGCACCGTACAAAGCCGAGGGAAATTCGGGGCTTTAAACCAAACATCTTGTCAACGGCATACGGCTTTGGGAAACGAGAAAGCTCCTATGAGCTTTCGAAAAACGACAAACTCGAGAGAATCCTTCTTTCCCTGCTCCAGCAACTCCCGCAAAGGTCGGTACGCCACATTTCTGAAAATCTCTGGAAAGAAGAATAATCCCTACTACCATAGAATATTTTTTTCGCTAAATATCTCAAGCGACAGATTTTACAAAGATGTCTCCCGGATTTCGTTCGATGACGCCTAAAGTATTTCTTGAAAATCTCAAAGACACATTTAATTGTGGCACATTTAATTGTATGAATTCCGAAACAAGAAAATGAGCAGTCTCCTCTTCCAGGAACTTCCACCGAGGCTAATGATCGTTCCAAAATATGTACCAGGCATTACACGCATTTTCTTTTTTCTGAGAAAATGACATCGGGCAAGGTCGTCAGAATTTCCCAGAATTTGGGCCCTCGGAATTATAATTTCCTCAGAAGATGTCTCCTGAAGATGCAGTCCCTGCGACGAAATCACCGTTGACCGTATTTGTATATTATATTATTAATTTATTAATTTATGTTTCCTCTTGTGTGCCTATTTTATTTATATATAAACGTAACGATAAACATTCCAATGACACAAATGTGAATATTTCGTTTAGAATGTAAGAAGGCGAGCAAAAGGAAGTATTAACGATTGTTTAGAGCTGACAAGGACAATATTAATGATTATTAATAATTAATAGCACTTCGTTATTAATAATTAGTAATCATTTAGAAAGTATTAACGCTCACGCACGAATGCGCATTCCCCGGATTAATAGGATGCATTATAATTAATTAGAGTGCTTTTATTAATGAGTTGCGGTTTAGGCCGATCAATGTTCCTATTTGAGAAACTCTCCGACATTAGACATTCTGTTCCTTCTAAGTTAGAAAATAATCTCCTCGAGAGTCCTTAGGAAGCGAAGTAATTGTTTCGGCGAAATGGCGAAAATGTTTCCTCCGTTGCATTTCCTCTATTCTAATTATATGCAGATTTAATTGTAATAGCTAAATGACGACTGTTATGTAGTAACGAATGTATGTATTATATTGTGTATCCCACGCAACATGTATTGTTTAGCGACGGCATTTTCAACTTTATATCATTTTGATACGCTTATTTTTCTTATTGAACGTTATTCTAGAGTCCCATTATGTTAATTAAAAATTCAAAGCTCCGATCAAATCCGCCTTCGTTTCATCGCTTCAATTGGATCCCTATGAAAGTGTTCCGCTCGTTTTACTTTCACTGTCAGAATTACTATGGCATCCTTTCTAAGAATTTCAATCTGCATTAAAGCTTTATGAATCGATCGTCCTTCGCAATTCAAATCGGCATGACGCAAGAAGAACTTTCCTGCACTTTGGTGCATAAAAAAACATAAAGCGACATCTTCAAAGGTGTCACAAACTATGACGTCAGGGTTGGGTAAATAAAACGCCCTAGATAATTTACGTAGTTTCTTTACAGTAAATTACTAGATATTTTACTTAATAAATTTCATATTTGCAATTTATTATTTCCTTTGGTTAGATCCTATCGAACTTAGCGATGTGCGATGCGATACGATAGCCCTGTATCGATATTTCTGTTACGGTCCGTATCGATACGAGATATCGATATTTTTCGAAAATTGGCACATCTCTATATCGATCCAATAAATGGCAGCGCTGGACTGTAAGCAAACCGAAGAAAGACATTGTAAAATCATAACGGAAATTCTCAGGTGAGAAAACAAAAAATACGCGTTCCTGTTGCACGACAGTTTCCAACGGTAGCCAATAATCTACAGTTTCAGCAATGCAAGAGGAATGCTGCATTCTGATTGGCACCTGCCTTGAGGCATTGACCAATGGCGTCGCTCCAAGAGCCGCTCGAGAGACTGTGAGTTCCCGTCTACCTTGCTCGGTAATCCGTGGAGGTGATTCTGGCAAACGAGAGAAAACCGTTTGAAAGTGATTTGCGTAGTAGAAGTATCAGGTACGAGTTCATTCCGAGTATTTTCACGCGAATTTCAGTTAAAATATTGATTATTGTCACACGTCTCGACGGATAGGAACGCTCGACATATTTGGACAGGATGTTTCAGACGAAGAAAGACGTCGACCGACACGTACAAGAGATATTCCGGAAATTGAAGACCGAGAACGAGGTAGGGTTAGATTCGTAGAGAAGGCCGACATACCAACGGCCACCCGGCAGCTTGTTCGCTTCTGGCCGATTAATCCTTCCTATGATTATACTTTTATCGTGCAACTTTTTCTATTATCACCACTTGGCATTGCCGACGGTGGTGCGATACACGTCGCGTCTATTCTTAGAATTTGACTTAATACGAGTCAGTTAGGCACATTATTTTCCCCGGCTATGTACGATTCTACATGCGGATTTCGTCCGTGATGCTTTTTCCACGGCGAATCAATACACAACATGTGATGAAACATTAAGGGATCACCTATCACCGATTTTCAATATCGATCATTCCATTACTTTCAAATTCATGCCTACGTCGAGCCATTTGCAAATTTTGTTCGAGTTATTATATATGTATACTCAATCATTACGTATCTATATCGAGCTCAAAACACGAGGCGTTTGATGTTCGTACAGATAAATAAAGATCTCTTTGGCAAGGAAACAAGATAGATGCTCTTCAACGACTTTTTGTGTCCGATGCCAATTTGAAATATAGTAACTTCCTTTTTTTAATAATTACAATATAATAGTTTTCCATGGTTAGATAAATCGATGTGACACGAGATAATCAAGAATTATTTTAGCTAAATTATTTTCCTTAATTTCAGAGGAATCTCCGTTGTTACAACATTGCTAAATTATATTATCAAGTACGAGATTATGCAGCAGCCAAGAAATATGTATCTAGTTATTTAGAGATTCGAGAGGAATCTGCTGGAGCACACAAACTTCTTGGTCAGATTCATGAAGGTCTCGGAGACAAGGAGGCTGCTTTAGCGGAATATAAAACCTCTCTTTCACTTGATAGAGCTCAGAACGATCTTGTTTTGAAAGGTGGGCATAACATAAAAAGTCCTCCGTATATGCAAACAACTAGTTTACCTATTATTAAATTCATGTATTGATAAATGGTTTTAGTATGTGAGCTATTAGCCGACATGGATATAGGACTAGACATAAAAAGTGGCAAATACTGGTTGGAAAGAGCCGAACGACAATTTGCACACCATCCTGTTGTTTTTCAACTAAAGGAGAAATTACTCACTGTGGATAGTTCCAATGGCAGTAGTGAAGACTTAGAAGCTTTAATAAGATGTGGGTTTAATTAATTTATCCTATACTTAGTCTCATCTATGTCGACAATACTAAACCGTTTAACAAAATTCCAGCTGAATTATCTGCAAGGCCAAGAAATGTCGATCTGCATGTAAAATTACTCAACCACTATATCGATAAGAAAAGATTAGACGAAGCATACAAGCATGCTGCTCAAGTTGAATCAACACTTTTACACAGGAATAGTTTAATATGGTATCAAACTCTCTGCGAACTGCTGCCAAAATGCAAAAGCAGTAAGCAATCCGACTGGTTATTTTGGGTATTATGTGTTTCGGCATTTGAAAGATATGCTGCACTTTCTCTAAAAGAACAAGGTGACGGGCCAAAGAAAACCATACCCGAAGCTGCACAAGCCATCTTTAGGTATAGACATCCCTTTGGCAAATTACATTAAATTTTAAATTCAAGAAATTTCATATCAAAAGTATTTATGTTATCACTTTGATGGATATCCTTTAGAAAATTAAATTAGTAATATTTTATAATATACAACTTTTATGTACAATTTCAGTTTCGATCAAATTCTGGTGGAAGCGAAACATCAAAACTTAACGCAGAATGTTGCTTTCATCGACTGTATGTTCACACATATGTGGGGTCAAGTACATTTACATCTAGCGTGCTTGCTTTTGAGGAAGGCAAAGCGTGAGCAAGGCTCATGGGCTGAAACAGGACGGCTTTGTGCACCATTGTTACTTAGTGCACTTCACACGAATCCAGTGGATCTGACAGCTTCCTGGGTATCACATTTAAATGATCGTTGCAAGGTACAGATAAGGTTGTGGTATAAAGAAGGATCCTACCGATGCAGCCAAGCAGGTATATTCCTCGTAGTGATACTAAAATACGTTTTATTTTATGAATTCTGTATAATATGACACATCGTTCTTAAAATCTCTTAGGTCATATCCTGTATGATTACGGAAAGGACGATGGAAAAGCACTTTATGATAAAATTGATAAATTCTGCACCGGTGCATGGAAAGAACGTATTTATCAGGTAATTAAAAAGTACATATTAAATACTCATCATTATAAGTTATTAGTAAGTAGTGTTTTTTAAAATCCATCCGTTTTTCAGAGAATATTTATAAGCAATCTACAACAGAAAATGATGGGGACTTCTTATTTTGTCACTGCTTTACCATTGAATCATCCTACTAGACTTTGCTCTCATTATGATCTTATGCACTACGATGAAGGTGAGTCAAAGATTTTTTCATGTATGTCATAACGTTCAGATGTACATCTTGAAATTTCATAACATTATATTTAAAGGTCTTGTCTATCTCTATTAAATATTTATATATTTGTATATCAGTTGCCGAAGAGGTGTACCCGTCGTCACTGCACCATCAAGTATGGCTTGGCATTGCGAGTCGAATTTACCATTCACCTTCGCATACAACTTCTGCTAAAAACAACGGGCCCTATCCCAACCGTCATTCCCATGTTTTTCCCAACTTGCAATTATCTGCATACAATCTTAGTCAAGCTGCTGCAGACACTTTAAGCCAGCTTGATATTGATGCATTTCTAAATGCTACGGGTTAGTAAATTAAATTGCTTATTTACTCATGTTAATTAGCTGTCGTAATACGATGCTTTTGGATTGATATTAAAAAAAGTTATTGGGGTATTTACATGAAATTTGTGTTTCCGTACAGTTTTGTGCAGTTCCGTAATCGTTGAAGAGCAACAACGTAGTGGCTATTTGAATCCACATAGATTATCTACTTTGCCAGCTGATATTTCTAAAGTATTGTGCACTCATATGCAAGAAAAATGGTGGGTTTTATATATTTTTATCTGTTGTAAATCCAAGGACAATAAAGCTAATTATTATTTATTTATATAGGTGGTCAGCAGCGTACAAGATGTACTGCAATTACAACAGTGATGACCAAGATATCGGTGAAATGAGACAAATTATTCAGCAAGGCTTAGAATCCGTTCGCTGTATTGGCAATCATGGATTGCATGCAAATATTTTGGTTCATCTGGCTCGAATGTTTCACCACAGGGTTAGTATACGTAATAAATAAAGTACACTTATTATTTCTAAAATGCAAGGTCACTTTTTATTAGGCACAGTGACAAGTACTAATAAAAAGATTAAACTTACCTTTTTATGTATCATAGGTCAAAGTTTTAAAGGAGAAAGATAAAGAACACCGTGACATTCCAGCGTTAGAAGCTCGGTCTGAATTATATTGGACCGCAGCGGTCCCTCTTCTTGAAAGACTGCAAAACAATCAGATTATTCGAACAACGGGCTCAAAATTATTCGATTATCAAGGGTTAGTTATTTACAATTCTATGCATGTGTAGATTATATGTACTATATTGCATTATTTTTTGTACGATAATTATGTACTTTTTCGGGTACTATCATTTATTTTGAACGTGATAATTTTCTTATTCAGAAAGGAAATGAACAGCGTGGAATTAACTAATGCCTTGGAAGAGGGTAGATTATTATTGGCTCAAAGGCATCTAAGAGAGAAACAATACGAGCTGGCGATAGATGTCTTACAAAACTTGAAGTGCCCGGATGCCTCTTTTCAACAAGGACAAGTAAGTTTTTCTTATAATGAGCTTGCAATAAAAGTATAATTTCAATCTTTTCCATTTAACTAAATCAATTTGGAGAAGAGTTTTATACATTTTTTAACGTTTTTTAAACTATATTGAATTTGCAGATTTACAAGATTTTAGCCGACGAATTGATCAGCTCCGTACCTAAAGAGAATTTAACATCCGAATTGAGGTCTCAACACGTTATCATGTTATCAAAAGCACGAGATTGCTTCTACTTGACATTGGACCGTTTACGCAGCCCAGGAACAGATCCAAAGCATCCGTTAAACTCTGACCTATGCGAACATATTTCAACTATCGAAAGCGAATTGAAAAGAATCGATCCAGATGTGTGGCAGGATGACAGTAAGTATTCATAGGCGGGATAAAAAAATGACGTTACTCGTCCATTACATTTTTTTTTTTATTTAATATCTTAACAAAAAAAGATAATTAAAATAAGTGATCACGTAAATTGTGATATAATCTATCGCGTAAATTGAGGGAACGACGATTAACAAAACGTATAATATTCTTTTTGCAGTGAACAGAAACGAATGTGAGGGTGTCTCGGAGGACAGTTTCTCTTCTGCTCACAGTGGTGGTGAAAAGCCACACACAAATATTGGTTTAAGTAGTACAGGGCACATATTAAATACACCACAAAGGAACATGCATCGTGCCCCGAAGCAATCCAGTACACCATGCAAGCCACAAAATCAGGAAATCCTAGAGTTGTCTCGTCACCGTACGGTATGTAGTAATTTCTTTGTCACAAGTACCAGTTAAAGATAGCAAGATTAAGGTTTCAATTCACATCTAGGAAGCAAGGCCGAGTCCGGAAAGGTTGGACGCGCAGATTCGACAATTGATTCACTCCAGAGAGAGCGCAATCCAGTCCATCGTGGAGCAAAACAAGATCATCCTGGAAAATCACAAAGTCGTGATGGAGTCCTTAGAAGAAGTTAAGAAGAAGGTGAACGAGTTGTGCTTAGAAACGCAGAAACTGCGCTCGCAGTCGACCGTAAACCCACCATCGGAAAGAGACATATACGTGTACCCTGAGGAAGAGTACAGCGAGTTGAACTACGACAGCACCTCGGCCCAGGCATTGGGGCCATCTTCCTTCCGAGGTGGGATATTCCCGACATCCCAGAGGCATCCAACCTACTCCCAGTTGATGTATCCACCTACTCTGCAAGGGTATTACCAAGGAAACTTGCCATTCAACGATCCAAGTGCTCAACACATGCAGCCGTTGTACCCAACGAGCGTTTACGCGATGCCTCCGCTCTATCCACGTCCCACGGTTGATCAGACCATCCCACCGCTGCACAAAATGGCAGACGGAGTTTTGCAGCAGGGATTATTCGCTCAGAGGGTGTCGAGTCAATTGACCGATCTCGTGCCTCCACCACAACCGACGCCGAGTCAGCCAAACCCGTCCCAGATGCAGAAACTCGAGGTGGCGAGGAACGAGATCATCATCAAGAACACTCCGGTCAACAAAGTTCCTCCAGTGAATGTCGTTATCACGGCGTCGGACACGCTGCCGACCACAGCGCCGGCGGAACAACCGACGCTTAGCGTCACTATACCACCTCAGTACAGATTAGGTACTATCGCGACACCAAGTGCTGCTGTAAGCACCACATCGGCGACTTCTGGCGTTATTTCCAGCACAACGGCCACCGCAACACCCGCCAAAGCTGCCCACATGTACCAGATTTCGATGCCTTCTCAAGCCACCATTCCAACAACGGTGAACCTGCCGCCCTTGTCGATTACTCTGACCACGGTGACGTCTTCGCCTTCGGTCTCGGTTACGAGAGACGATGGCAGGCTCAATGCCAGTTCCCGGTCCACGGGGTCGGCGAATGCGTCCAACGAGTGGAGTGGCGAGGTAGAACCCGACCCTATGCCGCACTTCGTCCCACTTATTCCCCTTCCGGCGGAAGTCGATGTCACCACTGGGGAGGAAGATGAAACCGTCTTGTATCAGGGCAGGGGGAAGCTCTACCGCTTCGTCAACAAGGAGTGGAAGGAACGTGGAATTGGCATCGTCAAGCTCCTACGCAACTCCGAGGGCAAGGTCCGCCTGCTTATGCGCAGAGATCAGGTCTTGAAGATCTGCGCGAATCACCTGATCACTCCCGACATGGAGCTGACGAGCATGTCCTCGAACAAGGCCTGGATATGGGCGGCCAACGACTTCGCCGATGAGAAGATGCAGCTGGAGAAGCTGTGCTTGAAGTTTAAGACGGAGGAGGATGCGAAGCAGTTCAAGGAGAGCTTTGAGGAGGCAAAGGCGTCCTTGCCTCCGCCGTCTGGCTCCGCAAAAGCTGGGAGCAAGGAGGAGACTAAAACCAACGTCGTTGCGACTACGGTTAGTATCGTTCCGGAAACCACTGTTTCAGAGACGAAGGCTGAGGACACTGGTCCGGTTGTTCTGGGCGGCTTTTCGTTCTCCTCGAAGCCGATCCTTCAGCCGCAGAAGTCGGTGGAGGCGAAACCTGTGCAGCAACCTGAGGACGCGGCGAAGGCCAGTCCCTTTTCCAAGTTCTCATTCGTCAGGGCGGATAATGGGAAGACTGAAGTGCCAACGGGGACTGGTGCCTCCGGATTGGCCACGACTTTGCAGCCCACTGGGTTCTCCGCTGTCAAGACAACCCCTGGTAGCTTCTCTTTCGTGAAGCAGAGCTCTGCTCTGCCTGCAGCTACGTCTACTCCGACGGTTCCTACGACCGTTGACGCCACCCAAGGGCCACAGGAACGGGGTACTTTCCAGAACACTCCTGTGCAGGCTTCGAGGACCCTGAGGAGGCCCCATGCTCCGGCTCCTGCTGATTTGATCTCCGTGCAAGCTTCGACGAAGAAGGATTTGGAGATGTCCGGAGATGCGAATCCTGCGAACGAGCCTATTGCTGGGACCGACAAGGAGTCTGTTTTGTTCGAAAACAACGCCCATCTTAGAATCCGAGACGCGTCCAAACAGTGGAAGAACAAAGGCAATGCGCTCACAAAGATTCTCCACAACTCGAGGACGGACAAGACCCGACTGCTCATATGCGGCCAAGTCGTTTCTAAGGTGTATTACGATAGGGTTGTTCAGCCGAACGTTAAGTTCAGCTACGTGAACAGCAACAAGCAAGCGGTGAGCTGGTCTCCTGGGGATGACCCCAAGGGACACACTTTTGCGCTCCATTTCGAGACTGCGGAGCTGGCGAAGATCTTCCTGAGGGTCCTGACCAGCAGTCAAGAGAAGATGAAAGCTGAACAACCTGGGGAAAATGTCTCCCTTGTTGCGAACGAGCCGATTGCTGGTACCGACAAGGAGTCTATTTTGTTCGAAGGAAACGCCCATCTTAGAATCCGAGACGCGCTCAAACAGTGGAAGAACAAAGGTAACGTGCTCACCAGGATTCTCTACAACTCGAAGACGGATAAGACCCAACTGCTCGTATGCGGCCAAGTCGTTCCTAATGTGTATTACGATCGGGTTGTTCAGCCGGACGTTAAGTTCAGCTACCTGAACAGTAACAAGCCAGCAGTGACCTGGTCTCCTGGGGATGATTCCAACGGACACACTTTTGCACTGCATTTCGAGACTGTGGATCTGGCGAAGACTTTCCTGAGGGTCCTGACCAGCAGTCAGGAGACGATGAAAGCTGGACAACCCGAGGAGAATGTCTCCCATGAGGCTTGGGAAGCGAAGAGCATGGGAACTCCCCAGGTGGTTGCGAAAGAGACCTCATCTGGGAAGAATCTGAAACCCTTGTCGGAGCTCTTCAAGTCTCCAGTGGGTTCCTGGGAGTGCAGCGCATGTTATACCAGAAATGATGCTGCGAAACAGGAATGCATCGCTTGCAATGGTCCTTCTCCGGAGGCTGCGAAACTTTCTACGGAGGCTGCAAAACTTCCTAGGGAGGTTGCAAAACCAGAGAAGTCTTCTCTGGCTCAAATGTTTAAACAACCTTCCGGATCCTGGGAATGCAAGAGTTGCTACATCTTCAACGACTCGTCCACTTCGGAGTGCATTGCTTGTGGTTCAGCTCGTAATCCTACGCAGACTGCGAAGTCGAAAACTGGGGTCTTCGATGCTCTGACTTCCACTTCGCAGTCGATACCTGCATTTTCTTTTGGCATTCCTCCAGATGCAGCCAAGGACGCTTCTCTGGGAGGCTTTACTTTTGGCATGCCTAAGTCTACTGATAATGCTGTTGGTGATACCGGAAAATCACCGAGCTTGACTTTTGGAAGCGCTGCTTTAAAGATCCCAGAACCAACAACAAAGTTCACCTTCGGTATCCAGAAAGAACCACCAGCGGAGAATCCATTCACCTTCGGGTCTCCTGGAAAGTCCTTTGACTTCCAGTTCCATTCCAAGTCTTTGGTCAAGTCTCCTGGAAGTGGAGATGTAACCGAGGAGGAGGTCGTCGAGAGCGAGGACGTATATTTCCCTCCGGTCATTCCACTTCCTGATAAAGTTGATGTCAAGACCGGAGAGGAGGACGAAGAGGTGCTTTATACTCACAGAGCGAAACTCTTCAGGTATGACTCAGGGAACAAGGAGTGGAAAGAACGAGGCATGGGAGATATTAAGCTGCTGAAGCACACCAAAACCGGGAAACTGCGGCTGGTTATGAGAAGGGAACAAGTCTTGAAGATATGCCTTAATCATGTCGTTACATCGGACCTAGAACTCACGTCAAAGGATGATAAGTCTTGGCTTTGGGCTGCTGGGGATTACAGTGAGGGTGAACTCGAATATGTGAAATTTGCCTGTCGGTTCAAGACTGCAAATGTTGCACAGGAATTTAAAAATGCTATCGATAATGCGAAGAAAGATTTGGACAAGTCTTCGGATGATCAAGACGTTGGATTTGAGAGTGCTGGTACTGCGACCTCGGATTCGCAAGATATTCAAATCGTGTACGAGGTCATGGTAACTTCTGAAGACAAGGCTGCTGCCTTGAAGCTTAAGCTTCCGGAGAACTTTTATGCCTACAAACAGAAACCAGATTGTCCTGGATGTCGAGGCTGCAGGGAGCCCGAAGTACCTTTGTTCGATGGTACCGATGCTGCAAAGGTATCGACTACTAAAGATCAAACAAAAAGTCTTACTTTGACCACCACGAGTCAGTCTTCACCTGGCGTCATTCCGTTTGGTGGAGCTTCGGCTCAACCAACATTCGGAACCAACAGCTGGGAATCGATTGGCAACAAAAGTGCTGGGTTTGTCTTCGGAGCATCGTTCACTCCATCCAGTACCAAGAGTACTTCAATGGCCATCTTTGGGGGAAATCTTGCGACCCCAACATTGGACAAGTCTGGCAACGAGCCCTCCAATGCTACAAAATTAATGTTCGGCGGGAATAGTGCCTCGACTTTGGATAATTTAAAAATCTGTAGCCCTTCCGAAGCCAGCTCAGAGACTCCTCGAATAGGCTCCTTGAACTTTAGTGGGACTATATTTGGTAACACACCATCGAGTATTACGCCTATATTTGGCGGCACAAAGACTACTTCGATTGATGAGACGAGCAAGCCTTTATTCTCTGGTACGCCAGCTTCAGGTGCAGAAAGCGCAAAGTTGACGTTTAGCAATCTGCAAAAGGCGGTTCAGCCAAGTTCAGCTGTTTTGAAACCTCCTAAGCTGGAAACAGCTAATGCCAATATTTTTGGGAACTTCCCTAAGACTGCTACGTCCCCTCCGACTAGCGAAGTAACAGTGATCGTAGAGTCAACTGAAAAAACTCCACCTTCGCTAAGTATCTCCTCTACAGAGACCCCAGTGTTTGGATCCAGTGCTCTGCGAACCAGTTCAAGTGCTTTACCTACGTTTGAATCCGAGGCTAATAAATCAATGTTGTTCGGCTCACTTCCACCGACCAGTCAAGTCTTTGGGACTACGACTGCGACGTTTGCTTCTAAACTCTCGTTCAGCAGCCTGTCGAACAGTGGTAAGACAACTACCAATGATGGAAATACAAATGTTGGTGGCAACAATTTCTTCGGACCTAAACCTGTGGATACAAGTGCCGTAAAAGGAGACATTGAAGCCTTTTTGCCCACCAAAGAAAATCTTACGTTTTCTTCATTTGCTCAAGCAGCACAGCAAACAGGATTTAAAGAAGGTAAGTGAATATTGTTATTTCTTATTATCTAATTTATATTTCTCATAATTGGATTTCGTGTTTTAAACGTGAAAACAATAGTTGCAGACACAAACTTCACGTTTGCCGGGGCTGGGTCTACAGTTTTTGGCTCTACGTCAGCTGCGAACAAGTTATCGGAGTTGAAAGAAACAAGGAAAGCTGAAAATAAATCCGAAGCGAAAGATGATGCAGAGGAAGATGGGTATTATAATGACGATGGCACGACAGAACACGATCCACACTTTGATCCCATTATACCTTTACCAGATGCAATCGAAGTAAGAACTGGGGAAGAGGATGAAGAAAAAGGTAAAGTTATTCAGCTTATTGTAAATAAATCTATCTCCTTTTTTCCAATTCTACGTTTTAATATAATAAAAAAATTGTGTCGAAACGAAAATACTTAGAAAAATTTCATTTGCCAATTTCAGTTTTCTGCGAGCGAGCGAAGCTGTACAGATACGACACAGCAACAAAAGAATGGAAAGAACGAGGAGTCGGAGAGATGAAGATTCTACACCATGCAGGCCGAGGCACCTACAGATTCCTGCTGCGCAGAGAACAAGTCTACAAAGTTGTGTGCAACATTCTGTTGACCGCAGACCTGGAGTTCCAGACATTGTCGACCTCCGATCGAGCCTGGTTATGGGGTGCCATGAATTATGCCGAAGAGGAGCCAATCCTTGAAAAGTTGGCCATAAAGTTCAAGACTCCGGAACAAGCTACGCATTTTAAAAACATAGTCGACAGTGCTCAACAAGAACTAAGGGAAAGGCAAAATGCCGGTTGAGATGTCACGTCTGAAAAGGAACTATTTATTTTCCATTCTAAAGCCATACCTTTCTCTTTATCTTTTCCTATCACCGTACTTACATTCTCTCGACATGGGACTGATTTAATTGGACCTATCTTATCTTCAAGACATCCACGGGATACTGCAGTGAGTGATAATAAGAGGCCAAAGTCAAGGAATCGTTTCCAGGGCATGCAAGAATGAAGTTTTGTGGTGGCGGAACTTCAATGAGAAGTAGTGTCTAAAGTTTCCGATGGACAAGTGATCGTAACGTTCGGCTGAGCTGACTTTGTTAAGGGTATTCGAAAAGTGAAAATAAAAAATTAAGCGTCACCCGAACTGTAGCTTGGTAGAAATAACCTGTATGCAGAAAAAAGCATGATGTGAACGGTGCTTGCAAACATTGGAAGGTTTAGGTCGAGTCTTCTCGACTGGATGTCATCTGGCGGGATGTGTACGTTTTACTTATCTATTAGCTGTACTCGTAATTTTACTAGTATCATCGCTGACAATGTTACGATAAAAATGTTTTCCTTTTCCTGATGCAATTGTTGGTTTCCTTTTTAATTAGAGAACGTCGGGGCTTGCGGAAACGGGTAATATTTATTCATCTATTAGGGATTCGGTGTGAAAGAATATATTACGACTTTTCTAGACTTCTACACCCAGGTGGTTTGTTTTCGTTAAGAGTGGAGGTTAAGAACCAGGTAAGAGAGATACAGAAAACCACGAAGGATCGCGAGAGAGTCTACGATGAGTCGCAAGGTGGAGTTCCACTATTTCTCTGCAGCCAATCATAACCTCTTAGGCCCGCTTCCACATCTGGAGTTAACCAGAGTTTATTTGCTTTATAGCAGGTTTAAACGAGGTGTAAACTAGTTAAACTTCAATGAACCGAAGTTTCGTTGGTTTACAGTAGATTTAAACCTGGTGTAAACCCGTCAATCTCCGGTTAACTTAAGTTGAATCGGGTCTAAATGTACTAATCGCTACTAATTTAAGTCATTTGACTGTTATTCCTTTCCCCATTAAAGTTATTTATTACAAAAGATTTTCCACCATTTCATTCTTTTGAGAAATACATTTTTCGTTGAAACTGCCGTTTATGGTATTGGGTTCCACGCATGCGCATTCTCATTGTAACGGTTGTATATAAATTATTAGTTTGTATAGTTTGTATTGTTAATAAAACCAATGGTACGGGGCCCAAATTAAGTACGTCGAAATCCAAACGAATCCAGTTAAAGGTAGTTCATTGTTGCGCATCATCGGAGGTTAGAGATCAACAATGGCACAAAACAAAAATTATTGTTGCATACAAGGATGTTATGGTTCATCTGGTGACCATTTCTTTTCGTAAGTAACGCCAGTAAATAGGAAATGTGGTTAATTCATCATAAAAAGTATAATGTTCAACCGTTTGAGGTGGAAATCATTTATTGTGATAATTATTAGGTTTTGTTACTAAATTTGTAGGTTTCCCAGATCTCCTTCTATACGTCAAAAGTGGATTGAAGCAATCGGAGCTAATTCTAAAACGCCTATTCCACAAAAGAATACTCGTATCTGTAACAAACACTTTGAAAAAAAATTTGTTTTACATTCTTTGCAAACGGGAAGAGCTCGCTTGACGACAAATGCCTTGCCATGTTTACATTTACAAATACCGACAGCAAGTGAAGAAGAAATGGTTCAAAGAGCTAAAGAAAGTAATTTGACGTCACAAAAAGTAAATACGCAAGATGAAACAATTAATAATAAGGTTACCGATGCGAGGCAGAATATCGGTCACGGTGAAGAAAAATTTGTGTTACATTCTTTGCAAGTGGGGAGGGATCCTTTGACGACAAATGCTATGCAATGTTCACATTTACAAATGCAGACAGCGAGTCTAGAAGAAACGGTTCAAAGAGTTCAAGAAACTAGTTTGGCCCCGCAAAAAATAAATACACAAGATGAAACAATTAATATTAAGGAAGATAACGATGTGGAGCAGAATATCAGTCAAGCTATGTCACCGAGTTATGATACAGTAAACACGTCACAGCTGGCGTTGACTCCGAGAGAAAAGAAATTACTAAGACAAGTTAAAACTCTGAAACAAAAAGTAGCACGAAGGGATAATAGAATAAAGTCTTTGAAAACTTTGCTCCAAGCCGTGAAATACAGTTTTTGTAATAATTCCGATGAATTTGAAAATATAATAAAAACTGGTTTGTCTATATTTCTCACAATGCGCAGTGTAGATTTTGATATGTCCGATTCTGAATAAAGATGTATAAATGATTTTGTGAATATTAATGCTGGTTAATAATAAACTTTGCTGCACATTGAATATAGCATTAACTAATCGCGTATGAATGATGAAAATGAATTTATAGTAATGATATTTATTTAATTTAAGCTGAAATGTTAAATGGTTAAATAAATTGAATTTCTTTATATACATTATTTAATTATTTACAGGACGATATATATACACACACAAGTATTACACTGATTTTCATTGCATACTAAATGTACGAACACAGCGTTACGTGATATCATTATTATACATCTTTAATTATCAAACAAATAAATAATTGTCAGTTGGGTGTTCATAGTTGCATTCTTAAATTTAACTAGATTTGCTTATCAATCATACGTGATTCTGATTAGTCATAGCCTAGTGACAACTAAAAGTTTGACGATTGATCTGTAGAGTGCGTTCACATCGAACCCTCTCTTTTCAATTAATAAGCGCTCGTATGTTGGTTTCTTTTATTTATGCATAACGTGACATTCATTAAATATGAATTTTGAACTCGATTTGATAACCGATTCGACGGGAATGAGTTAAAAATTCTTATTCACGGTGCCATAACTTGAATGAATGTAACAAATATTTTTTGTATTCTATAATTCATCGTTTTTCAAACCCTTATCGATTGTGACAGACGTTCATCCGTGTAAACAGGTAATGAAGTTTTTGTAAACCGGTGTGTCTTATCTATCTACCGAAGTTATATTTTGTTGAAATTGTGCAGTATAAAAATCTTTGGCGTTTTTCTACGTTTGCTTCATTTTTTCAGCAAGAAATATCAAGAGAATATGGATTCTATCGACGTTGACATGTTTTCATCGGATGATGAAAAAATGGTAGAGTCTGTATCCGATATTAACCCAGTAGAAGAATGTCTTAATAAGCAACTGCATGAAGTGCAAGATCACATTAGAAGTACTATGAGCGAAATTAAGGATGTCCAAGCGATGACGGAAGGAGTACTTCAGCGCTTACACTCACGTACTTTACATGGAGAAAGTGCGAGTTCTGATTCTGACGTCGAAGTAAGATTTTTATGAGTACTGTCCGATTAGTTGCAATTATAGTAGTTATTTAAGTCTTTTTCTAAATTATGATACCACTTTTCCTTTAATATTAAAAGTTAAATCTATAATTATTTGTATTCCAGTGGTACACAACAGTTGGCAAGCCAGTCCTCAAGAATAGCAGTGAACGCGTTAAGCGGCAGTCACTCGTTGTGAAGAGAACGTGGCAAAACGTCATTGATGATCACTGGATATTAGGGGTAGTTCTTCGTAATGCTACAAAGCGGTAAGTACTGATTTGTTTGATTTGGCCGTTACATCTTAAAGATACATAAGCCTTCCAAGCATATAAGTACCTTAGTATCGTAAAACGTATATTTTTAAACGTTGGGCACGTTAAGATACATTTACATATTTACAAATTAATAACAACATTGGTAATGAAGATAATGATATACATGTCAATTAAGATTACTTGAAGACCAGACACTCGTGGTCGATCTTCAAAAGTTTAAATACCTCCAAATGTTCTCAGTTTCTTATCCCTACAAACATGATATTAATTACCAATTACTAAATGTATGGTAGTAAAAAATTAAGTCGCTAAACTTAACGGTATCATTACGCTACTGCAAGTTCAAGCGGGAATCCACATTCTGAGACAACCCATGAAGAAGAACCAATATCGATGCATAAAACATTGCAAAATTTCCATAACATAATTATCCTTCAGTTTCCAACTCCAATAAAGACTAATAAAAATCCTACATATATTTTCACTATTGTTCAACACTAAACCTAAAAAACCGATGCACTGCCGAAGAAAATTAAGGCCGACAAAATGGACAAGGTAACGTGTCTACAGCCTAGCTGAATTCTTTTTTCCTGTTCAGTTCTTGTTTTTATTATACGTCTATTCATCGCTATGGACTCCCCACTTACTTAACATTCCCTTTGAAGGTTCATTAAATCTAGGAGAAAAGTTGTGCGATAAAACACGAGATGGAATCCCTTGTTAAGCGACGCGACAAAAGCAGAAGTCGCCGATAGCTCAACAAAGTCCTAAACTTAATAGGCCACTTGCTTTCAGGCATTCGACAAAGTTTCGCGAGGAAGTTGGAACGCTTTGGAGTACGATGTAACTCCTCTCTAGAATGCGAAAAGTCCTGTCTTATAAAATTGCTAGGAATATGAGTCCAAAGAATTAGAGATTAACAATTTACTACATCCAGTCGAAGAGCCATTCGGTTAAGATGTCATCGAACCCTTTGGGCTCAGACTTATCGCTGCATTTTACAGATTGCTTAAAGCGTCCGTGCCAATACTGTCAATTTAAAACAGCCTGGAATTGAAGCCCTCTTAGAAACGCACACGGTCATCTCAAGTAAAAGTGGGAGGCGAAAGTGCTATCGAAACAACGCAGATTACAGAACAATATATTGTATAAGTAAATTGACAATTAAATGGCGTCTCCACCCTGGGGCTCTGAAAGACGTCCTAGAGATTCGTGCAGGATTGATTTTGCTTCCAGGCCGTTACACCACACGAGTGGGCACCTACTTTCCTGAACGTTCGTTGTGACAATTTATTTGTTTGTTACAAAAGTGACGAGTTAACTCTCCTTACGGACGAGGGAACATCGAGGTCGGGAGCAGAGGACTCATCTCCGGGTTTATTCCCTAGTCTTTGGTGTCGCGGCGTCGTCGTCCTTGCCAATTGCCACGTACTCATCCGGCGAGTAGTCGAAGAGGACGAAGTCGTACCTGAGGAAGAGAATGAAGATTAAAGAAAAGTCAAGAAAGAGATATCAAAAGTTGGACGAAGTGGCGCCCCGAAGAATGGCCATGCCTACTTGAACATGTCGTAGAGGTCTTGAATCTGGGACTTCGTAAGCCGAGCGAAGTAATTCTTCATGATGTCCTTCGTCTGGACCCCTCGAGTTGGATTCTTCCATTCGGGCTTGATGATGTGCCCCACCCGAGCCTGTTTTATCAGATAATTCTGGTCGTCCTAGAAGAGAAGCACCTTCGTCATGCTTACCAAAGAGGGTACCGATGAATTTTAATTTATCGGTATATATTTTATACATATTATAAACTTCTAAGCGCCTTTCATGCCCCCTTAAGGCCTTTCAATTTTGAGTTTAGATCCTGTTGACCCTTGGGTCGATTCGATCAGGACTCGGTAGGACGGACCAAAGGAATGGCTACATTTAGACACGGCAGCAGAGTTATCAGCGATTATTCAAAACTGAACGATCATTCACGGACCACCAGATGCATTCGAGTTGGATTACAAGTGCAAACCTAATTTCCTCGCTTCGAGGCGTGACCCGGATTCGCGCCTGTTGAATTATTGCACTTAGGAGAAGTTACATTTTCACGGACTCGCTGATTTCCCTGGCATAACACGGGCTCATTCCGCGGAGTTTACTACCACGTCGCTCATGAAATTTAATGCCGTTTCTACCGGGTTTACGAGGCCTTCCTGCTACCCCTTAAGCCAGGCCGGAATCCTCCCGACACCCAGCTGCATCAAATTGCCGCGCATATAACAAACGTAAGATGGACATCAATCGTGAATACTTTTCTACCGTCCGGATCCCGTTTACCGGGAGTTCGCGTTTAGGAGCGCGCCTTAAGGTGAAGTGAAACTGAATTAAGTCGATTCGAATAAGACATTTTTTTTTCTAAGGGTATTGGAACGAACTGTCCTAAACATTGGCACTTGAGCACCTTTCAAAATGTGGATTGTCGAAGAGAAATTTTTATTCAGCCCAGACCAGAACGAAAACCGCATCACCCTGTTCGGCAACAAGAGGGGAATGGAACTCGCTTAACAAAGGATTACACGAAGGAGCACTCACGTAAAGCGTCTCGAACTTGGCGATTACGTCAAATCGCACTTGACAAGGTGTGCAGAAGTTGGCGATGGGAGTCCAGTGCATGTCCAGCTCGTTCCCCGACCTCCACTCGCCGAGGAGCCACCGAACGAACTCCTCGAAGAGAGGGTACCTGGGTCGGTACTTCATCCCCGCCTTCGGATCCTGAACAGAAAGCGAAAAGTTATCGGGACATGGGTCGCCGGTGCATAATTAGATGCGGCTAAAATGGTAGTGCAGTTGGCGCAAACCTTGGCTCTGTAGTGGGCGACGATGTGCGCGCCGAGCTTGCTGTGGAAAGTGTGAGGCAGGCTCTGCTCCAATTTGTCCCGGTAGGCGCTGAGCAGCCGCTCGAAGGGGTGCCGCACTATGAGGAAGCTAATGCTGTCGTTGAGGAACTTGACGAGCTCCTCCACCGTGGGCCTAGGGTACCTCTGCCTCGCCAGGGACACCGGCACGAGCTTCGAGGCCTTCAAGAACTGAGGACTGTACCTGAAACGACCTCCGGATAAATCTCCTCCTCAAGAGGATATTTAAGAGTAAGCCTACAAATATATCTGAGAAGTCGATTAGTTTGAAATTTTCCCACGGGAACGTGGGGGCCCTGAAATAGGTCCTGACACCCATGAAGTCTGGATATTTCAATTTGTTCATATCAATCGTTTATTTAAATCGAAATTTCATGGGTGTCGGGACCTACCTTAGGGCCTCTAGGTTACGTGGTGAAATTTCAAACGATTTGGTCACTCTGTCGCCACTTTCGCGTCACCTTAACGCCTGGTTCGCGACTCCGGAGTCAGGATCGAGTTTCAAACGTTGATTCGAGCCTGGTGTGCCGTTTCAGGAGAGACGGGAGAAACGGGAGGGAGACCCTGGGAAGAAATTATCCGAGAAGTGGGACGATACCCTGCGAGAAGATTAAAGTTGTACAGCCAGGAGGTCGAGGCGGCCTTGAAGACGTTGCACCAGATGAGGTGGTGTTCCCGATTGGCGAGGAACTCCCAGGCGTTCGGCCGGTGCAAGGAATCGTTCCCAGGACGGTCCAGGCCCTCCTCGGAGCACTTCTGCACAAGATATTGCCTCCTCTCGGCCAGCCGGAGCTCGGTTTCCGCCATTGTGTTCTGCTCCATTATCCTCTCCTCCGGCGTCAACATGTCTTCCTGAAATGAGAAACGTTAACGCCTCGATATCGAATGTCCTTTCTCCAGGCTCCTACATTTAGAAATTGTCAGGACAATTCTTAGGTGCTCACTAGTGTCAAAGTTTAAGACTGCATTGAGAGGGGTTTCACTTCGCCTTAAGGATCAGTCACTTGAAATTCCTTCCCGACCAAGAGAAAGTACATCATACGGCCCGTTGGAATTTCCAGCAATTCTTTTTTTCTTTTTTTTTTCCCCTCCATGACGATTTAATGGCGTCTTCAGGGAACGGGTCCCGTAGTTACCCTCGGCGCAAAACTGGAGTTTAAGCACTGGACAATTACCGGAATCGTGCCAGCCGAGGCGTTATCGCGTATATCACCGATCGTAGATAGAGCCCTCGCCCTTGCTCGGCACAGAGCCGTGGTCGAGTCCCTAAGTGTCGGTTTGAGTAACACCCATTCGCGACAAGTACCCGAGTAATCACTCGGCCAGGACGAGGGTTGACACCTCGAGCGTCCCTTATCTCGTTTCTTTTTTTTCTTTTCTTTCATACTTTCCTCGTCACCCCCGGAGTGCGTGCGAAATATGCGACGACATTCACGGAGGGGGTAGATTTTAATCGCCCTCCCACGAGGGTAGCTCCGAAGGTTTTCGGCCGAGCGTGGAAACGCCGACAGCCGGTGAAAAAGTTCTCACCGGTCTCTGGGAAAGGGTCGTAATATCACCCAGTGGCCCAGTTTGTCAAACCTCGGGGAAAACAAGAACGGCCAGTTTCCCTTTCCCGGTGGAAACTTATTCGCCGGGGACTCGAATTTCCGGGGAAAATTTCGGAACTCGGGGGTGAACCCTGGAGCCGAGCTTTAGAATTTTAGCTCCTCTCCAGGTCGGGAAATCACGGCAAATTCCCCAGCGCTTGCTATCGCTTTTGTTCGGACTTTGCAGAGCGATCGATACGTCCGACCCGATGCTGTTCCTTTTTTTTTTTGTCGGCTTTGTTTTTTATTCCAATTGAATTTCGCCTCCGCTGGGACATTTCCCGAGCGTCGACGTGGCGGCCTCGATAAAAAAAGGATCTCTCTTCAGCTCCTATCCAAAGCGCTCGGTCAGCCTCGTAAATCTCCGTCGTTTCGACGCACGTTTGCGGTCGACAATCGCTAGAGGTTGCATTTATTTAACGGGCGAAACATCGTCTGGCCCCGATTATAGAGGTGCACGAATTGAATTTCTAGACCCCCTTAAACGCCCGTCGAACCTCGGGCCTAGAGTTTCAAACGTCATTTCCCTAAATCGCCCTGTATAAAATCCGTGGAAAATTTTCACGGGCCCAGATTATCGCGAATCCCTGTAAAATGCACTTCCGGGGTGACTTCGCTCCACCCTGCGTGTATATAAAATTTGTGGAAAATTTTCACGGGCCCAAATTCTCGTAAATCTCCGTAGGATGCACTTCCGGCGTGACTTTGCCCCACCCTGTACATGTATACACCGGTAGCTCGGATATTGATCTGGTTTGCGGAAGTAAATTACACGTCGCGACGTAACCATTGACAGAGCCAACATTGACGAGCATTCCCATTCTTTGTCCCAGGAGGGGGAACGTCATCGCGAGCATCGGCGAATAGATCACCCCGTGAAACGGGCTAGTGCATAGTGCATCGCTCGCGGCTGCATTCGCGATTCACCCGTCCGAGAGCGTTGCACAGTGCACTCATCAGGGGATTGCACATGCAGGGTGGACGTTTGCGACACCCCGTAAGGGTCGTTGGCACGTGTTCTTTTGCGCCTCCACATCGATCCCCAGGGGGTCGGTGCATCGCTCGTGGTTAAACTTTGAATGCACGATGCATTTCTTAGTGCCCTATGCCAGTCCGCACGGAGAACTTAATTCCGCCTTGAATTTCTCACGTTGACCTCCCCTTCGCCATTTAACCCCTTAAGAGGATACGAAAGACGCCAAGAAATTAAATCGACGTCGATAAAATGAAATTCATCCATACCCCCTTTTGGTGGTAACGTACAATGGCGAATAACGTATATCGACAAGTACAGCATTCGATAAAATATTAATTGGAAATTTGAAAGAAGAAGAAAATTTTTTAAACAGGAAGTTTCATAAGTACCGGGACCTCCCTTAGGACCTCCCCACTCACGTGGTGGAATTACAAAAGATTTTTTAAGAAGTTTCATATTGACGATTGATCCACCTTTCGCGTCGCCTTAACCTCTTTTTACTGAATCATTGAGCGACGTACTTTAGTACCGGGGCATAGGTTTTAGGTAGAGGTTATTACGGCACGCGAGACCGCCCGACGTCGATCGGAAACTTCGGCCGAGCCTTTCCTTCATTTTTTAACCTTCCATGTCAAAACTCTTCCTTCAAACCCTCTCCGGAAATTTCCTCCCTTCTACCCCCGAGTCCACGAAGAAACGTCGGGACCCGGAAGTGCCGACTTCCGTTTATCGATTCGAGCCTAGAGTCGGTTTGCGAGAAGAAAATGTGGGCCACGTGGGGTGGCACGGTGGATAGGAGTACGTAGGGACCTTCGGGTGTACGTGGAGTACTTGCAGGTGTACGTACAAGCGTGCGCGCAATTTTCATGCAATCGCCACGCGAGTCGCGTGCTCGCTAATTTTCCTCCTCCCTCTTTTTTCTTTTTTTCTTTCTTTCTTCTTTTTTCTATATCCTCGACAAAGTTGCCGAGCACGTAACGTGCGTGTCATTAATTACACGGCGTTAACGCGATGCCGGTCAAACCGAGGTCTAAGGACTCGAGGTTAAGGTCGACGCGACGCCTTTTATTTGCATGTCAAGGGGTTTATATAGGAATTTATGGGAGAAGAAAATTATCTGGCCATTTTTTTTTCTATCGAAAAGAAACGACCAGAGTCGAGGGATGCATCGAGGTGCATCATTTGCGGAGCTGAAAAAGGAAAAGAAAAAAAAAAAGGAACATATCCGGCAAAAAGTCTCCCCGTCACTTCGGCAGCCCCGGGGAAATCGGCGAATCGGACATTCAGGGGTTATTCTCTCGGGTCTAATTGCAACATTTACGGGGCAATCTCTCCCGACTCGTTGCACCTCCGGCAGGTGCAACGGTGCAACCCGCCGAAGGATCTCCCGCTAAGAGTTCGGCCGAATCGATCGTCCCACTTTCGAGCTCGCGTTAAGGACTTTCGTGTTTAGGGGGGTGTCTTTTTTTACCCCCGTTGGTCCTTAAAGAGGCGATATCACCGGCGAGCACGCGGCTTGTCTGCCGCAATGCGTCTGGAATTCCGCCAGCCTCTGGCCGCGGCGGAAATTTTCACCTCGTCCAGGTATCGCGTACGAACGAAAGGATTTCGAGTGTATAATATATGTATATATTCGAAATTTAAGCGACGCGCAAAAAACCAGAAAACCAGAAAAACCAAAAAACAAAAAGAAAACAATTGACTCATCGAACGAAATCAATCGATTTACTGAATTTCATGAATTTCGGCAAAAGTGCATCGAGTTACTCGACTTTCGGTTCCCTTGGCTCATTGTCATACATTGACCAAAGTGTTTTTTTTTTTTTCGGGGGGGGTAAATCGCTTCACCGCGACTCACCTCGAGGACCGCCGACTGCTGGGCCCTCCTGGAGTCGTCCTGGCTCAGGATCGCGAGGACCACCAGGAGCAGCACGCCGGCTGCCAATAGTGCCCTCCGAACCCCTGCCAAGACCCGGCGTCGAGTTGTCATCTTCTCGCGGAGGACGCTCTTCCTCCTGTACTCATATCGAACTGCAACAGAGATGCATCCCAAATGAATCTCACATCGCATATAGGCGCGAAATATTTTTCAAAATTCATCCCCCACCCTTAAGGTGACATAAAAGATGTGATACGTACATACCAAAAAGTCCAAATATTTATAAAACATTTATAGAAACTGGGTGCATCCAATTATCTAAAACTTATGTTTACTAAAAGTACAACATTTTGTTCGAAAAAAGATATTTCACGAGCTTATTCCTTAGGGCCTCCATAATCACGTGAAGTTTCGGATAATTCGGTGCACGCAATTTTGGAGAAAAATTTAATAAATATTTAGACTCTTTGTTATGTATATATATATATAAATTTGTATCACCTTAAAGACAATGTAATTAGATAACGCGAGGCGCAAAATCGAACATTCTCTTCCTTGTCGTCGATCGATGTCACCGCGAAAGTCGATCTCGATCGCTCGGGATTCGATCCCGTCATATCGAAGTCATGTTCAATGTCAGCGGTTTATTATGTAAACGAGTGGACGCGCCGACATTACGCGTTATATACTTTTGTCGGTAATTCCCTCTCGCTTTGGCACATCCGTTTCCCGCGACGACGTAACAATGCAGCTCGCCGGACCATGGCGAACTCCCGCGGATGCACCGCGTGCACTTTACCGCGACGCGATGAATCTTTAATAAAAAAAAATAAAAAAAAATAGGATAAATCCCCCGATGAGGGGGATTAGATTACTTTCCGTCCCGGAAATGAGGGGAACCGATTCCCCTTTACGTTAATATCCCCGGGAAGGATTTGCAGTTATGCAGATCCCAGCAGTCTGGTATAAGCGGATAAATGAGTTTTCGCGTTAAACAATGAGCCCGTCGGTTTCCCGGGGCTTTTCTCCCGGCGTAACTAAAACGAGGTTCCGGCCCCGCTATTAACGTTAATTGCCACGTGAACTTCATTTGCGACAAATCGAGTTTTCACCGCTCGGTTTTCCTTTTTTCCACCCGGTGTGCCCTTTAGTTGGCCGTCGTACACGGAATGGCAAGTCTCTTTTGGAGCAATTCTTCCCGACTGGGTTTTTACAAATGGATTAAGTTGTCACTTCAAAGGGTTACCCGATATTTTATAAAACGGGGTAATGACATCGGCATCAAACATCGACGAGTCCGACGTGGGCGAAAATGCTACCAATTGGGAAAAAAAAGAAATTAAAAAAATAATACCAGGCGAGTGACAACTAATTCCTGGCAACCCTCAAATTCGCCACGCCGCTTTTATGGGTAACCCTCGCTGGATAAATATTTTTTTAGATAATTTAAGCGAGGCATTAGACGGGGGTTATCGTAATTGCGGCACTGAAAACTGAATTTCAAAGAAATTATCAATTTTTCTGGGGATTTTCGGACCACCCCTGGTGCATCGGGCCGTGCATTAAACGACCCTTCTCGGTGCAGCGTGTCTTGAGGCCGATCGATTTGCCCGAATTGGAAACAGGAGCAAACTTCCCACCGGGAGTCGCGAGTCTCTGTGTACGAGTACAAGTGTATTGGTTTAGCCGGGATGTAGAGAGAGACTAGAATGTTAACGGTGGACCCAGACGGGGTTTGTATATACGTTGTATTTGCCAACCGAGTATAATAGTTCTCACAGGTAATTCAGTATACTCCCGGGTATAACAGTTCGAAGATAAAAAACGTCCCAAGAGACCCTCCGGGGTAAATGGGTCGGGACCTTTCCACTTCATTTGGCACTTATCAATCAACATTTTCACCTAGAATACACGTTCTTCATAGAAGTACACGTACTTACTGTTTGTCGTTCGCCTAATTGCAGGAAAAAAAAAATAAAATATAGGAAATTTCTTTGAATTGATATCTCAAAGTTTGCTGCATTTTCCATTTAATAGGCATCGTAAACGATTATTAATTTTAAATATGTGTGCCCCGTAACTCTTATCGCGACCTTCCTCGCTCCCATATTTAGAGGCTCAAAATGCGTCTCTCTTTCACCCCGCGCCTTTTGTAATCATTCCCCTTCCGTGGATGCAATCACCGCTGCAGTTTCGGCCGGCGGGGTTGTGCGCCGCTCGTTTCTCCGGATTTCGCATACCGAGATAAAAGAAGCAGCCTCTCGTTGCCCTTAACGACGACACGACTGAATAATCCCTCGGAACGAGGGTCGTACCTCTGAAGTTACGAGGGGGTGTTTCCCCCCGTCCCTCCCACTACCCCCGAGCAAATCAGCGCCATAGTTAAGGCAAGAGCCTCTTTTTTCTCCCGTATCTTTTTCGGCGCGACAACGGTCATACAATGTACCTAATGTAACACGTATCGACGTTAAACAACGCTTAAGGTGGAGTGAAACCCCCCATAGGAAATATGGTGATTAAAAAAAAAAAAGGGATTTACTTCGAAAAACAAGAAACCCGTATACAAATACAAGTATTAATATTAAGTGAGGGAGGCTAAAGAAATCTCGCGACTCATCGGCGTTAATTTAAACTCGGCTTCTCTCTCTCTCTAATGACACATTATGTACATACACGTGTCACGAGGGCAGGCGCTAATGGTTGCTCTCGTAAGCTCCCAGGATAGGCGTTATCGGATATCGCGGATCCGGTTCGGGAAAAACTGCGCCGCGAGCCGGGAGAAATAAAAAGAAAATGGCAAATTAAACACCGCGCAACGAGGATCCTTATCCAGCGATAGGTACATCCGTGTACACGGAGAAAACGTGTGTAACTCTTATCACTCCAAGAATATTATAAGAGTATGTTGGCAGTACTACTGCCGGTTGGAGTGATAAGGGTTAATTTCAGGGATAATTTAGAGGAGCGTCAGGTGTGACGTACTCCCTGGTGGGGTACATTGGGAGTACGTTAGAAAAGAGAAGTCTCTCACTCGGCTCGAACATGTATCCTTGCGGGAGTCACTTAAGCCTCGAACATGTATCCTCGCGTGACGTCGGCATGGAGAATCGGATCCTGGGGTGAAGAGCACGTGCCGAAGTCGCGCCTATGGGGTGCCGGAGAGCGCCGCGACGTCCGATCACGGCGGCATCCTCGACTCGACTGCGGGACCCGCTCCGGCGCTCCCTCGACCGAGGCGGCCGGCGTCCTGATTGGCTGCCTTTTTCGCGGGTCGATCTGCCGGTGGCCGCGCGCCGCGCGTGCGCGCCAGTCGTCCTCGGACCCCCGAGTCGAAGGGATGCAAGGGGGTGCATCGCGCTGCGCCCGGAGGCGCCGCCACCCCGACAGGAATTCCGCGTTTCCCGAGGAACCTACGAGACCTTAGGAAATCGCGGAATGATTCCTGGACCTCATCTCGAAAATCTCCCCCCAGTTCCCCTTTCTTCCAGACCCCCACAACCCGCCCATTGATTTCCCAGGGTGGACCCACCTGATAGAGAAATTCCGACGGCGGAATTTTCTTCCGGGGGATGGACGGATTAACACTTTGTTACGGAAAAGTCGACGCGTTCAGTCTTTCCCGACTTCGGCTTACTTTTTATATCCTTAATATCAGACCCTTTAAGGGTCGTGCATCAAAGAGGGTCTTGACTTCCTTGAGATTGCATTTCTTTAGGGGGATAAAATTATGAGATACATGTTCAAGAGCGCGGAGGGTACATTCTCCCCCGACCGAAGTGGGGCACTGTTTGATGAAAAAAAAAAAAATTAATAGCCTCATTTATCTCTCTGTACCAATATTGTATGATCCACCGTCGCGAGGTTCTCGTGTATTATCCAATGAGGGTATGAGGGTAAAATTGTCGCGAGACCTGTGTACTCGTATAAATACCCGTGATTCACTCTTCCGAGAGGCCATCGCGGGTTAAATGCGGCCCGGACGACGAACTACTTCCGACCTCGCCAATATCGGTCGCATTAAATAATCCACGAGTCCGTCTTTGGATTTAGGTTGATAAGAAATACCTTCCTGGTGGATGGAATCCTGATAAAAAATCGCTCCTTAAGGAATGGCTCCGAACAGCCGTTTTTCCATGCTCGCTACGTTCTTCTCATCAACCGCTGAGATCGTTCCGCGGTAATTTATGCGTGCGTGTTAATTTCCGGTTAAGTCGAGTTACGTACCTCGATTGTGGGAGTTCATGGAGGAGTTCCACTTAGAGCACGTTCCTGCAATATCGAGTCCTTGCTAACTATCGGTACAGTTAGGAGGAACGGTTTCTACCACGCACATCCAAATTAGCCGGGCCAACATAAATTGATTACACATATGTACTAAATTTATAATACATGTTGTATACATTTTATTTGAAAATATGTCATTTAAAAATATTTTTTTTTTTTTAACGGTGTACCTTACACCGAGAAAGAATATTAGTTGACTGAAAAAAAATGATATAGTTGCCTGAGCCACCTGTAAAATTGCGAGAAACGATTATTTCCATCGGTGCATTATCGGTGCATTGTTTCGATTGCATCTTTTATCGACTTCTGCTCCCAGGAAACGTGCCAGGGGGTGATTGCGTTGTCTATGCTTTTCCAACTAAAATTATCTCCAACCAGACACCGAATTGTTATGGAAAAAATATCCCGGGAGAGTTCGTTGTCTGCGCTGATTGCGCTTATCATGACGTCTCTCTTCCGAATTTCCGTCTGTCCATCTGTCGGACCCTTTATCCAGCGAAGTTGGAAACGCTCTTTCAAATGGGCCCGACATCTCTGGTATCTGGTATCTTTTTGCGGAAACGGGTTATCCGCTTATCGTCCACCTTATCGGAACCGGCACTCCCGGATAGGTTTATCTTGGCCCTGACATTCGACATGTCACCTGTCCCTCGGAAAGTGCGTTCACCTGTCACCTCGTTCATATTCCCACGCCCTCTGCCGGTGATAATTCTCCGTCTCCGTGATAAAGCGTTGATAATAGTACCCGGTGCAGTTTTTATGTACCCGTGCAAAAAGTACCTGGTAGGATCGGTACGTCGCCGATGTTCATTTTTATATCGACAATAATTATGAAAAAATCCATGCATGCTTTTCTTTTCTGGGCTAAGTTAAAATGATTTCTTTAAAAAAATCCACATTTTCAGTGTCAGGATAATTCCTAGGTACTCACGAGTCATGTGTCAAGGTTTCGGGCAGTTCGATCCAATTTTAAAAAATAGTGTCATGCGAATCGACTAATTTTAAGGGAGGTTTCACTTCACCTTAAGGTGCCGAAATTCACTGGGTAAATTTTCCATGCGTCAAATATTGCGGAAGATGGTAATTTGGGGCATTTACAAAGTCTTTCTTCCATTGACAAAAGACATTTCCTAGGTATACGTTCTTTTTTGCACGTGTCCTGATGAGGATTTTTTGCTTTTCAGGACCCTACGCAATCTCGGGGTTTACATGACGACGAGGCACTCCGGGACCCTCTTCGTCGTGTCGACGTTTTGGGAGAAGGAAGATGAACTCTGGACCAGAATTGGGGAGATCGGTCCTGGGAAAAATGGAGTCCTGGCCACGGCCTTTTTGGACCTCCCGAAATTCGACAGCTACACCATGGCCGAGGCTTTTGGCGTGATCAGCTACGAGGACGAGGAAAAGTTGTGCCAGCTCGTCGTCCCGATCTTCCGACTGACATCAGACGCCATCGTCAGCGGTGCTTATGCTTTAAATTTCACCCAGGAAGCAAAATACTCCGTCGTCGCCATGAGGACGATTTCCTTCGAGCGGGTCCTGGAAATCGACATAAAGGATCAGAAGAGATTTTCCCGATTCCTGGCCCTTCTAACGAAAGCCTCCTTCGAGAAGGTCACTTCCACCTTATACGTCGTCAAGAGTGACACGGCATTGAGGAACAGCATCGCCGAGGTCATCTCGAAGACCGATGACAAAGCGAGGATCAGGATGTCCACGAGGTAAAAATCGAGTTCTTTATTTTTCCTTCGCAGAAGATGAAATAAGCCTTTTAAATAAATATCTCCTGTACATTTTCGTCCTTCTTTTAATTACGATTAAAACACATTTCACAAGGTATTAGCGTTTTAAGAGTGAAGGGTAAAATATCAACATTTTCCTTCTCGATGGGACAACTTTCTGAGAGAACGATCCTTGCAGACTCGAGAGGCTGCAGAATGCGATTTTGCAGATACTTGGGGAAGAGTTCCCGGAGGTGAGAGAGGTTTTGCGAGCGGAGGAGAACAATCGCCTTGAAGAGGCTGCGGCAGCCTTAGAGGAAGAACTGGAACTGCATCTGAAGGACGCGCCCGAATCAGAGCTTCAAAGGGTTAAGATCAAGACCGACTTTCTGATTCCATAAAGTGGATCAAGGAGGATCGCTGTCGCGTCCACTTACCACCGAGGTCGGCTGTAATCCTCGCAGAGGCTCTTCTGCTGGGTAAATGTGGGTTCCACGACCACCAGCGGTTGCGGAATCGCATTAAGAAGTCAAACTCTGCAATTCGCCCCTAAGGTCTACGCCTCGGGGAAGTCTACTTCTCAAGATAATCTAGACAAAGAAGAAGAGCTCGTGGAAACGCGTTATTCATTCCCCGGAGTCGAGAATAATTACCTTACGGCGTTATTAAAAAATTATCCGGTAACCTGGGTGTATATTCCGAGGAATGGCAAGGAACGAGGGGAAGGGTTCTAGACAATAGGTAAATTATCCTGAAATCAAAGAGGCAGTAAAAAATCAAATGATTAAATGTCAGGTCCACCCTCTCCTTGGGTCGGTCTGGGACAGAGGAAAGGGAAAGACCGGTGGATTTTTGTAATGATTTATTTTGTTAAACTATATAAAGCACATTTTTATAATAGATGTCGTGAGTGGGTGAGTGAGTGAGCGAGTGAGTGAGTCAGTATGGACCTTCTGGGCACTTCTCCGATATAAAATGGTCATTTTTTACACATCGATACACTCGGATCGTGGGTTGCGCAGTATATCGGTCTGCTGTCGGACAGATTTTCGCCGCAATTCCTCGCCTCCCGAATTCTACGGTTTCGTACCTCCTTTCAAGACTCCTCGATAATGCGAATTGTATCAAAGGGCGAAATGTCCCAGGGGATGCCGATGTAATAATTAAATAGTCCCCTTAAAAAAAAAAACGTCCAGGGTCGCTCCTTCCGCCAGGACCAAAGGGAATATTTATTATAAATCTGAATAAGCAAAGAGAAGTTTAATCATTTATCGTATCGTTAAGAGTACTCGGAGAAGTGCGTTTGGAAATTGGAGAAGTCCTCCGAAGAGGTTTGATCACAAGGCAAAGAGAATGACTTCATTACAAAGGACGTGCATCCTCTGATTTCCATTTTAACTGCGGTCATTATTTCCAATTACGGCCGGATTAGCTCTCTGTAACATACCGAGCAGAGAGTCATACCATTACGTGGATCCTGAATAATGCATGCCCGACTGAGTTCATCATTCTTTCTTCCGGGATGAACATCTCAGCGGGGACGTAATCACGTAAATCGACTAAAAAGGTGTTTCAACCCTGAGAAAAAAAAATAACTAGCCCGAAGATTTGTCCTTTAAGAAAACCAGGGAAAGCCAGAATCCTCTCGTTGCTCCCGCGAGAAAAGGCGAGCCTGGACATTTTTCCAATTTTCCGCTCCCGGGCTCTGGAAATATTGCTTTTCCGCCGTTTCCCGGAACATCCTCTCGGGCAAATGCATACGAGAGGCGCGCACCGTGAACGTACATTCGTGACTTAATTACCGAATAATTTCCCCGTAAACGGTCCGCTTAAATCCAGCCCATTAAAGCCCGTCCATACTTCTGTAAACAATTACCCCTCGACATCGAAGGAAGATCATCGCCGATAAAATAACATTCCAGACGACTTGTCTAGGTCGAAATTACCTGGCAATTGATTAACAAATGTAACGAGCGCACAGTCGAAAAGTGCGCGAAGGGTGCACCGAGAGGGAGTTCCTGTACGAAGCGGTCCACCCCCGTTAAATTTTCAGACTCCAATTTCCCCCCGGCGCGATATTAATTAATTAACGTCGAATCGATATCGCGTTATGAAAATCTCCCCTCCGGTGCACCCGATGACAATAGTTTCCGTATGGAGCGGGATTCTCGGCCCCTACCGTCGGATTTTGATTTTGTCATACGTACCCCCTCCCTCTCCACCCCTTGGCACCCCTCGTCGTCGACCTCGAATCTTTCCAAACTCCCTCGAATAATCGACGCAGCCCTAATCGCAACGCCTCCGTTATAATTCTAGCCCCCATTTAGCCCCGTCCTTAAGGGCGTCTTTCGAGAGTACCGAGCGACGACTCTCGACCTTATCAGCCGGGCTCCGCGGTAGGCTTCACGTCCGGTCTCATTTCCCGAAAATTTCGATTACTTTCTCCTATTCCTCGGATTCCCTACCTCGACCTCTTCGCTTCTATATTCTTCTTTTATTTTTTTCTCTCTCTGTTTTTTTTTTCTTTCATTTTTCTAGCCTTTTCTAGGTTCTCGCCAGAGTCGTCGCTCGCTCTCGCGAACGATTAACAATGATCGGAACAGAAAAATAGACTATACCAGGCTCCGTGGACGCAACGCGGTGTCCTCGTTAGAAACTATATTAACAGTAGATAATCATAATTTTTACGACTAACATTACATTCGCTTCTTCTATCAGCGGTAGGTTAGGGTAGAGCGGTGGCATCGACAGACCTACTACTCGACGACGGTGTTGTTAATTACGAAGTTATTCATCTTCTTCACTTCTTCTCTTTTTTTTCTCTTTTTTCCCCTCCCTTTATTTGTTTTGTTTCATTATAGTCATCGTCGTCGGCAAAGTCCAAACGGTCGTCCTCGTACGTCGACTTAGTCCGCGCGACGGCGATTCGCGAGGCTTACCGGGGATAATTATTCGGGTCTCATTAGGTTCAATTTCGACAATTTCCACTCGATAAGTCGCCGATAGTTTTCCGGGGAAAAATTGGTAAGACCTCCCGCGAGGGTCCCTAAAAATTTAATCGATCTTGCACTCGGTTGACAAAGGCTTATCGATAATTCATTTAATTCCTGCATCGTTATGAACAACATTGTTCTTACGCTATTAAAAAGAAAATATTACAATTTCATGACATTTCTGGTTGGAAATTTATATTCAGACCTGGCATACTAATTCACTGTTAAGACATCAGATTTATAATTGTACTGAAAGTGTAAGAATGTAATGAATTTTTTTGGAGACCCGAAGAAGTACCTCCGGTCAGCTTTAAGGCATCACGTTATAAACGACGATTGGTGCTCTTTTTTTTTTTTCTTTTTTTGTTATTTCTCCACCAATCAGCGACATCACGAGGACCCTGATAAAACATGTAAAACGCTGGTTCGCTCGCGCGGCCTCGACATGTCCCCCATTTATTTATTTATTTTTTTCTCTCTCTCCAGCACACTGACAGTGATGCAATATACATTTAATATACAGTACTGTACAGAGACATTGAACGCGTCGCGGATTAAATGTATATCAAATCATCGCGTGATCATTGGGTCGCCGTCTAATTCCTAGTCGTTCACCTTACGCGCCTTACTAATAGGTATCGATTTATTATTGGCTCAGTCTATCTAGGATCGCGTTTACCGCTAAGTCGTTATAGTTATTACGGCAAGTTTCTTCTTTATTTTTTTTTTATTCCACCCTCGATTAGCATTTCCCCATACAAAGATCCCCCGACACTCGGGAAGCACGAGACGGCTCGCCAGGATGATTATTCCTCAACTCGGCTAAAGAACGGAAATCGCCCTTCAGGGAATCCCTCATAGAGACGACATAAGGTCGATTGCTTAATTTGAACCCCTTTGAGGTCCTGGGAGGATCGCGTAAGCGACCCTTCCCAGGTCCTTCCGAAGCTAAAATCCGAAGAGGCTTGTTCCTAACATCCGAAATCTGGAAAATTTCTGGAAATTCAGGACCGATCGCCGCCATCTCGACCTTATAAATTTCCCCTTTTCCGTGAGGCCATTTTCCAGGTTCCATTCCGCGCAATCGGCCCATCCCGATACTGGAATTTCATATTCAGAGCGACATAGGGTCGACTGCGTAATTTAGAGCCGTTTTTAAAAGTGATATGAAAGGGCCACTATATATATGAAAGGTGAAAATATTGATGAAACTTTTATACAAATTGGGCGTACCGAATCATTTGATTCCACATCAGGAGATTATGTCGGCCCTGAGGAAGAAGGCGATGCTCGTGAGATTTCATATCTCGAAAGTAAATTTCTATTCATCTTGGGCAAGAGCCAAAGAAAGAGATTTCCCTTTCGATGAGATGAAATTCAAGGAGCGTCGCGTTCTTCCTTAGGGCGTCCAGAACCACGTGTTAATGTTTAAGGTAATTCGGTGCACCTAGTTTGGAGAAAAGTTCCACACATATTTTCAGGTTTATACACATGTATATAGTGACCCTTTCATATGACCTTAAAGGCCTTGAAAAGGGCAGGTTCTCCAGGCGTTTTCCCAATGGAGAACTCTTAGACCGAGGTACGAAGTCTGGTAAATTAGTCCGGATTAAATCTCAAGGAGAGACTCTTAGGGTACCCGTGGGCGAGAAACTTAAAAGGAAGCCTCGACGAGGTCGTCGAGGATCGGAATCGACCTGGAATCGAATTTGTCTAGAGACTAAGTGGACGGGCGAAGTCGAGTATTGCCACCGACGATAAGATATATCGTTAGCTTGCGGACGCGTCCCAGCTGGATAAGCTCCTCTCCCCGTGTCGCTAATAACTCTGAACCTTAACGTAGTTTTATTTAATGTATATTCTCACTTTGTTTAACCTGACCTGTACGTAACTGGTCGTAAACGCGCGTTAAATCGAGCCAGAGCTCGGTACAACGCGCGTCCTCCTCGCTCTCGTGCCTCGCCTGTCTCGCTTTCCTCTCTTTATCCCCCTCTCGTTTACTAGGTACGCTAAACTTAATGCGATATATTTCATAATATGTTCTCACTGTACTTAATCTCGCGTACACTTGTTGGTTGTTTCGCCTCTTAAAATGTTACGCCTGTATACGTGTCCGGTAAACGCTCCGTACACCGTTCCCTCCGTAGGGTGCGCGCACGCGGGCGCCATTTTGTGTGTGTGGAGTGTCGCGTGTACCTGTGTACCGTGTGAGTGTACGGCCCTCACCTAAGAGTGTCTTCCTCTTATTTTTTTTTTCCTTTAATTCCACATCTACAATTATTTTCGCTAAGGCATTCATTATGGCAAGTATATTTAAGGCGCCGGCCCGCCCGGGTAGATACGAGCACCACTGGAGTCACGTCGTCACTCGCTGTACCACCGGAGTCAGATGCGAGACTTTAAAACCCCCCTTTACCGAGGTTTTTTCTATCCCAGGGAATTCTTGAAATATCGGAAAATATGTAAAATGAGGAAGGAAAAAACGGTACCTAGGACGGATATTAAAAACTTGACCGACTCTCCGCAGGAGACCGGTCACATATTCGGGGGTTTCGAAAAAGTAGAAGAGGCTAACGTGACTCTGCCTTGGATGTTGCTTTTGCAGATTTTTGATGAGAGCGGGAGGGACCTCGAATAAACGAAAAACGGGAAAAAAAATCGATGCTCGAGGTCTACCCGGCGGCAGCGCGAGTAACAGAGTTCGAAGCAGTAGTAACAGTATGATTCAATGATATACACCCACGCAACGCACGCATACATATAAATATATATATATACACGCGTACACGCACGCGCATGTATACCTGCGTTTAAATGTACATTATATCCACGTAGGTGCACGCGTACACGCGCGCGCGTCTACGTACACGGATATACCCCTTGCGCGCGACCACGTGTGCGCCAATGGCCGCGCGCGAATATGTAGAAAATTGACGCCAGGGTAATATTTATACAAGGCTCGCTACGAGGGTTTCTCGTTTCGTTGAAAAAAGAAAAAGAAGAGTACGTTCCGTACCCTGCACTCGGCGCCTCGAATCGGCCAGCCCTGTTCCCTGTAGAAGGGCTCGCTCCGCTACAGGCTACCCTCGCGACAAGGTATCGCGGTTTCCTGGCTCAACCGAACCTCCTATGGAAAAATGTTCCCAACGAAAGTTACTCCGCGTACTGTACTGCGCGACTTTTGTAGGAAGTGTTTTTTTCTCTCGCGTACCGTTAGGCAGATAACACGAGGGGAACGTGCGCTTAACCCGTTACTCGTTGGCCATACATCGGCGGGATGTTTTGCACGTAATTTCTTTTTACGACAACATCGCGCGTTACGGCGCAACCTTCGTTGCCGTTAGAAGTGGCTCGAATATTACTAGGATTACCATTGGGTCCGAACGGCTATACGTTAAAAGTAATGGCCTTATATTCTATGCTTTTTCCGCGCTCTTCCGATTTCCCGCTATTTCCCGGCGAGTTTTTCTTCAGGGATACGGCGGCCATCTCCGAGTCGCCGTGTGAGCGTACTCGAGAAACTAACTTTTCTAAACGGAATCTCTAATGTAGCTTGGCCTACTACTCAGCTTTCCCACAGTCACGAGTTCTCGGTTTCTCACAAACGTCGTTTGCATATTTCGCGGCCTCGGTTTAACCGGAAACGGAGACGGTAACATCTCTCTCTCTCTTCCCCGAGTCCGAAGGCAAACACAATTTATGCGTATAATTTAATCAAGACCTGCATCAAGCGAGACAGGATAAATCATTCGAAGGCCTTAACACGTTCACGCCGGCGCGTACCACCGGTGGCTCGCGCTTGATTGCGCCATCGGGCGGCGCGTACCACCGGTGGCTCGCGCTTGATTGTGCCATCAGGCGGCGTGTACCACCGGTGGCTCGCGCTAGACGCATCATCGGGCGGCGTGTACTACCTGTGTTTCGCATTCGATTGTGCTATTAGACACTGATAATTTAACGTACATACATAAAAACGTGTATTTTGAATAAAAATTATAATTAATAACGTATTATGAACATAAATTTTGCTTAATAACACACACATAAAAATTCAGTATTATGAATGTAACTTCAACACTCAAATCTTCCCCCGAGGAACATTTCATAACGTTGCTGTTTACGTTAACAAAATCTTCGCCTGAAGAGGAAGAAAGTATTCGTAATCTTGATGCGTTTCTCCTGCCTCTATTTACACATTCATGAGACGAATCACTTATTTCCATATCCATGTTATGGGCAAAATTAAACAAATATTTTTAAGGGCAAAATTAAAAAAAATATTCTAACCACCTTTTAGTTATTTTTACTAACAGAAATCTGTGGTTAGGATATAAAAAACGGCACGAGTCACATAATTTGCAAAGTAAGCGCTCAATGTAATACTGAAGAAACAAGAAGCGCGTGCAAGTCTGAACACGCGAGAAATGCGCGCCGCCAGATGACGCGCGACATAGATTTGTGTGCCGCCGTTGGGGGAAACAAATGAAAATTGGCGCCGGCGGGAACGTGTTAAACAAACATGCACGTATAAACAAGTAAAACGCAACCAAAGGAACGAATCGGAACCAGGGACAGGAAAAATCAAATGAACAGTCGTTAACCCTCGTTTTGATCGTACGCCTATTTACTCGTGAAAACAGCGGTTAAATAAATAAAAATGCGCCCTAGTTCGCCAGCAGAAAGCTACGACAAATCTCGGAGTGATTTAATATAATCGGCGATTAAATAGAAAAACGTATGTGATAAGGGGAATGAGAAACAAAAGCGAAAAATCGTAAAGTACAATCGCAAGGAAAAAAAAATAGGCTGATGGATAATTCCATTTAAAAAAGAAAAACAAAATAGAGAAAGTGTTCCCGTGGCCATTTCCGGCATTTCTTCCCGGGTTCCCTTAAGCCGCCATTTTCTTTCCTCTCGTAATCGCCATCAGATTCGCCGTCCGTCTTTTAGTACAAAAAGTATTTTCCTCCTCTCCGCGCATTTGTTCACCTCCGCATATCTCCGTATCTACAGCATTTATACATTGAACGTTTGCAAATCACCTAGATTTAGTTAATAGTAATATAGCTACGGTACGCGCTCCCTTACGTCCTCTACTTAATAATTAGTTAATCTCGAGTAGCGTCTCGCTGAGTGTGTGTCCGTGTGTGAGTGTAACCAAGTTTAGTAACCGCGCGGTGCCGTACTAACGGCGCCGAGTGTGTCTCTTTTTTTGCTCTTATTAATCTCATACTTATTCTTTTTTTTGCCATTTAACGTTAGTAATATCTAGTGGTATGTCCTACCAGTGCTAGCGATCGTAGGATTACAGGTCTCGTTACGGTGTAGATAATCCCTCGTCTCCCTCGTTTTGTAACGCGTCTTTCAGATCTATGTCCGGCCTTCGTGTCGATGTAAATACCCCGTGTAAATATGTACTCGTGTCGACGAGGAAGCGGAGAAGAGCCTGCGCCCTTCGGGTAGTTCGAAAATAATCGGAGGAAAATCTTTTTCGCGGGGAAAAAAAAATATATATGCGTGTTGTATACGTATGTATATCTGCATACGTGCTTGTATGTCTATATATACACGTATACATAGCCGTTGCCATCCACGTCAATCCCCCCCCGTCCCTCGAGTACTCGTTTAATGTTACCTCTAAGCCTAATGCGTCTTATACTCGGTGCGCGTACTTGCGAGTACCCGCGGTGTCTGACTATGTGCGTGAACACGTGCCCCGCTTCCTTCCCCTTGTTCAATTAATTTATAACTTAACTCTTAGGAGGATCTATGTACATAATATGCTCAGGGTCGTGTATGTATAGAGTACCTAGGTCTCGTCCCGATACCTCGAGTCATTTCGGAGCTACATTAGACCGACGTCTGGCGCCTCCTTGTTCTGCAAAAATCGGGTCCAGCGTTAAACCGAAAAAAAAAAAAGAAAAAATGATGGTACCGATGGTTAACGTTCATGCAAATTTACCACGACACGGGGTCTAGCTCGGGACCGTTTGTATAATTTAGCCAAGGCGTGCGAAATCTGCGAAATGGAATAAGGGAAGAAATAAGAATCCCTCCGACTTCGGTGCTGGACCCTGTTGCAATGCGCCTTCGTTTTAACGAACGTTGCTCTGCATCGAGTTGCAGTCTAGTTTACATTCGTCAGACTCTACCTCGTAAGGAGAAAGACATGCAGAGAGGAGAGATCAATTCCGATTAATTGCACGGACGAGTAGTACCTGAAGACATCGTCGGTATTAATTTCCCAAAGTCTCGGAAGGATTTACCATTGGGAGAAGCCGCGAATTGAAGATAGAACTATCGATTAAAGTAATTTTAGCGGGTAATTCTGGGCACCTCGGAAGTGCGTCAGGAAAATAGACTTTTCGCGGTCTCCTCGTGTAGGAATATAGATTTGTAATCGACCAACGGGGCGTTAGGCGGTAACAATCGTCGCGACGTCGTTAGTGCCGGTAACAATGCTCATGCGAGTAATATCGTCGATAATATTGGCATCGGTAATAATAGCCGATAACGTGGTGCCTATATGTATATCTTCCCTCGTCCTATCGGTGCGCGTTCGGTTTCGAGATAAAAAGTAGCCGCCGTTCCGTCGAGTACGGAGCGACGGGTTCCCTCGACCTCGTCGAGGGCCGAGCCCAAGAAACCCTCAACAAGTCAACACGGTTTTTCGGGCTCGTGCAATCGTCCTCCCAGAATCCATCCGGAGCATCCCTCGACCCTGAAGAGGCCTCCCCCGAAATCCTGGTCCTACGAGCCTTGGTTCTAGTCAAGGAGTACCGGGCATCTCTCCTCGTCGTCCTCGGGAAATCCTCCCTTGATAAAAACGCCCCAGGTCGACCTATCCTTACGAGGGCAGAGCCTTGCGGATGCAAGATAACTATGGTCGCGCGGTAATAATAATACGTTCTTAACGTTAGATCGTTCGATGGGTGTCGACGCGTACAGCTAGCGATCCTCCTTAGGCTGAACATCCCGGCGACCTCGGTGACTTCGCCGCGCACGTCGGTCTTCTCCTGGTAGAAGGTCCACGAGGCGTGTGTAAGCGCCCCGCGGGATGGAAAATCACAGAGTTAGCCGGCAGGATCCTGCGTTCCTCGCGTCCCCGGGTGGGAACGTCGGCTCCTCGTCCCCGCCCTAGGGCCTCGTGTCCCGGGTCTACCGGTTGGTTCCCATAAAGACCTGCGTTATTTCGCGGCGAGAGAGGGAAAGAGAGATGGAGAGGGACCGTCTTCGATGTCCCGTGGTCCTCTTCGAGGCGATCGACGGGATCCTCGGTCGCGATCCTTCGAGTCTGGTCCCGCGACGAGGTCGACCGGCGTCTCGGCGACTCTTCAGGGTGTCCTCGACCCCGAGTAGCTCTCTTGGCCTCTCTCTGTTTCGTCTGCAGGTCCCCACGTAGACGTTCTCCCTGGACGATGGGCACGGACGCGCATCTGGGCGACGTCCTCGAGGTCGGATCCTCTCATCCCGGAGGTTCGGACTCCCCGGGTGGCCAGGATGACGAGGATCCAGGAGATCCGCCCGCCGTGGCTCGGGAACCGTTCAGTACCTCTGCGTGTGCTAGTACATCGAGTGTCGTCATTGATACGAGTCCTTGTGGAAGGTGTCGCTCTTGTGGAAGATCCTGCGGCCCTCTCTCGTCAGCTCCTGGCTGGTGAAGTTGTTCTCCGACTTCGGCCTGGGCAGCAGGCAGGCGGGCAGCGTCCTCAGCTCCATGCTGTGCACCTGGGGAACGTCCACGAGATTAACCACCTCCTCCCAGACCTCTACTTAAAATACAAGGCAAAGACTCTAAGCCACTTCTTCCAGAGCCCGCCTCCACCTGCGTAATATTAAGTTGGGGAATAAATTCGTACCGTTTTTATAATAAAAGTCTTTGATAAAAACGCTACGAACATAATAAATACTCCACGAAGTCGCCCGACCTAGGCTAACAATTCAGAAGTCTCCATAGATGCCCAGAAGGATAGGGACGTTTCGTGCTCGACCAATAGTACGTGAACCAACGGATGGCGGCGCTGTAATCACCTCTCCATTTCTCTTAATCTTACGGCGATACATAGCGGAATGGATTCTTTTTTTTATCTTACACACATTACTCGCCTTTTATACGCTCCACGCATGTTATCACTCCTGTTTTCTTATCCAACTTCAGAGCGTCAAGCGCTAACATAAGATCTGGGCTTCTATGGAACTTCTCAATCGTTTCACCGTGCACTTCTGTAATTGGCTTAATCGCGAGTACCTTCGAGGCCTGCACTAAAACCCTGGGGGAGCACAATTGGTTACGTTCCAACAATAAGTTGTAAATATCCTCGGCCTCGTGCGCTGGACATTAACGATTACCCAGCGGCGCTTTAATCCGCGAATAAGCCGATTCTCGTGGAATCGGTAATTGCCTGATCGCAATTAGCATAGTTCTGAAATTACCGATTCTTCGCTGGCACTCGCGTGGGCGGCCTGCTCGGCCAGGGCGTTCACGACGGCGTTTATCGTTTTTGATTCGCTGCCAAGGTCCTCTTCCCGGTGGGCCACCAAGTTAGGGTTCTTCCCGATCTTGTTCAGCCTGTAAAGAGAGCCTTATTAAGCGTAGGGAATGTTACACCTACCGAGCACAACCAACACCTGCTGCCCAAGATTCGATGTTCCCTATCCGCGATACCGATTACCCCTTTGATCGACGATCTTAAACACCTCGCGAATCGACTGCAAAACCGCGGTTAGATTTAAAGCGACGCGAAAGTGGCCCCATTAATTTAACACGTTCCCGAATGGGTGTATCCTTTCAAACCTCACAATTTGACAATACAGACCATAAAGAATATCCCGACGCGTATGAAATTAAAATTAAAAAAATTTATTTACAGCCACTTTTGACATTTTTTGTAATAATTGATGTTCCATGGGAGTCGAGGCCTTCCTTGTACCCTCCACGTTCCAGTTGAAACGATTTGGTGCACCCAGGTCGGAGAAAAGTTTCATGCCACTTTCGCATCCCCTTAAACGACGGATTGTAGAACACTCGGAGTCGTTGCATACGTTGCAAGTTTATCAGAGAACCCTGGTATACGATTACAGCGAGGTCCTTGGACGATCCGCATCTTTGAGCGAAGGAAAAAAAAAAAAAAAGAAAAGACAATGAAGGACTCCTTTTTCATCGCATCGCCAAGACCTCGCCGCATTCGTGAGAAAGACAACCACAATGATCGTGCGAATTAAACCTAAGTGAGTCGAGTCGATGCGTAAAACGGACGATTCTTCCGTGGCTGGTCGTGATAAGCTCTGATAAGGCACCTCATTGTTCCTCCTCTGACGTTTAGAAGGAACAGGGAGGACCGAGCAGCCACGTGGATGATCAGAGATAGAAATACACGGACGACGGTCGCTCGAAGACCGATAGATCTTCAGGGCTTTGGAAATTCTGCTCCATTATCACGACTTAAGAATTCTTATCAGCCACCTTTCGGAAGAACCGCGTCGTCCTGTGGCGTTGGTTAAGGCTCTAAGACGATACGAAAGGCGCTGAGAAATTAAATCGAGGTCGATTATCACGCTTTCATATCACCTTAATTTATAAACGGAAACAACGAAACGGTTTATCTCGACGCCCGGTGTTATCGGTCTTTACGGAACCTGTCGTCGGTGGCCAATGTGTGATATGGGAACAGTGATTGACATCTATTAGCACACCAACTCGATAGAACAAACCTAACCAAAGCTTATACCTCTCGGCGGCAACGCTCTCCATGGTCCGTCTCATGAGCGGATACTGGTCCAGAACAGCGTTGAAGTGGTCCACCGAGAGGCTGAAGAGATTGCAGTAGGTCTCCGCCCTGACGGAAGCTACCCTCCTGGCGTTGGTCAGCAGACAGATCTCCCCGAAATAGGAGCCATCGGAAAGCGAGGTGGCCACTTCGCCATTGGCCATCACTATGTCCACTATTCCCTCCTGGATGAAGTACATCTTCGAGCCTATCGTGCCCTCCTTGATGATGATGTCTCCTGCAACGAGAATGGCTTTACTTCATCCTCCATTGCGTAAAAAAGAATTAGAATTAGAATTAGATTTTAAAAATTCATGGTGGTCATTAAAACTATTTCTACCACAATTTCATGTATACCTATTTCGACCGAAAGGTTTCGATGAGCTTGAGGAAAATAATACCGCTAAATAGATTTAACAATTGTTATAGGAAAACTCGAAACATTAATTGAGAAAAAATTATTATACTTTGAAAATAATTTCGAGTTGAAATTTTAGGAGGTGTCTATTGGCACCTTTGGTAGAAAGGATGCGTTCTCCTGGCGAACGAGTGAAGTTCGTCCTTACCTGGCTGGAAGACTTCGTATCTCAGCTTCGTGACGACGTCCGAGACGAAGTTCGAGTCGGCGTTCGCGAAGAATGGCACCGATGCAACCAGGGATCTGCAGTTGTAGTTTATCACGTCCTAGATCGAAAGAGAGACGATTGTAACCTGCGATCCTTCCGGACGGGCCTGGCCGTTCTCCAAGAGCCCGGACGCGGTATTATCGGGACAGAGTTTCCCCCTGTCGTCGGCAGGAATTAAAAAGCACAAGGGGGAACCCGGGCCGCAATTTTCCGCCGATAAGATCGGCAGACTTTACGGACTTTCCTCTAAGTTAAACGGATCTCATATCCTCCGCGGAGAAATTCCGGAAGTGGCGGGGCAAACCGTCGAGCAGGAATCGGGAAATCGCGGGATCGATAACGTATCGATACCGATATTTCCAGGTCCCTTGCGAGCGTGCAGTGTGATAAGGGTCCTTGTCTCACATCGAGGTCCTAAATGGGATTATCCGCTGGCACCGTTCTTCCGTCTCTCGGGAACGTTCCTCGTGGTTCTACCCAGGGCTCTAATCGGTATTTTCCTCTCGAGTCTTCCTCCTCTTCTCTCCCCTCTTTTCCTATGCGGCTGACCGCTCTACCAAATCGGTATTCCGAGTGCAGTCATGCCAAGGCGCGTTGTTGCATTCTGGTGCATGCTACACCTCTAACGTGATTCTACGTGGTGTGGAGTTCCTCGGATTTCCTAATCGGGACTTTCTACTCCGATCCTGGAGAGGCTCTTCAGGGCTGCCATCCCCGACGTGGGCAAATTTCGCGCACTCCCTTTCCCGGGCGCTTATCAGGGACTTTGGGTTTCTCTTTTGGTATCCTCTGGAAAGAGGGAAACGCCGGATACGTACCTCTCTCAGCTTCTCCGAGAGTTCTCCCAGGATGAGCTCCTCGTCGAAGAACTTGCCCTGGTACCGGTGCTCGAAGTACTCCGTGATCCTCTGGCGCATCTCCCTAGGTAACTTCCGGTAGGCCATGTACTCCTCCACCTGCTTCACCTACCCCGAGAACAAGTCATCCCCGTTCAAGCGTCTACGTCCACTCCACAAAGTCAAGAAGTAAGTCGCGAGGTCCTCGAGTTAGAAATTTCCATCGCTTAAGGTGAAGTGAAACGCGTCCAGGAACTTGATCGACGTCGGTAAAGAAGACTTTTCTAAACACCTACGGTGACGACGTTGGTTTTCATATCGACAGCTGGCTCGAATTATAATTAAGTATCGTGCCAAATGACGTACTCCACCTGTCGTTTTCGTACAATAATTATAAAGAAATCCAAGTAAAGCCGTTTCAGTGTCCTGTACTGAAAGTCGCCTTTGTGGACCTGAACTCGAGTGTCTCCGTCGAAGTGCGAGGACCCTCGAAAATGACGGAGACACGTGGAGGACCTTTTAATCTCGAGAAAGGCGTAGTCTCGGCAGAGTCCGATCGGGATTTTAATTTTCCTCCCGATAACAGAAAATGATTAAAACCGGCCCTACCGAAAGGTAGCCGAGCTTCGGTTTCGTGCCAATCTCGTGATGCAGGGTGCACGGCTATCACTACCGATTCGATCTCCTTCTCCCACATCCCCAGGGTATGCATATATGCTTGTTATCTATACAGGTATGTACAGGTGCGATTGTTCGGGCAGAGTCGGTCGAAGTACCGATTCCCGCACGCAAAACATTCGGACATACATTTTAACACTGGACGTACATTTTAACATTTTTACCCAACACGGTTACTACGTACAATTAAATATTCTACACTGTTAAAAAAAAAAATGCATACACTCTTAGTACGTAAGGTTGCAGTAAAATTATAAATTTGATATGCGAAAGCGATTGTTTGGAGATTTTATAGAAAGAGTTATTATCCTTACGATCGTTTACGTAAGTATATTTTTTTTCAACGAATTATATAAAATTATATATTTTTTTAACAGTGTAGAAGCTGGAATAAGGCTCCTCTGAGTTGGACAACCAGGGTACTTTCCACCCTGTAGATGAGGTACTTCGTTAATTCAAGAAATAATTACTCGGCTCCGATAAACTCCATTAAATCGGACGCGACATGGTTTCCCCGGGATTAGGGGAATTAACCTGAGTTTATTTCGGGGAAAAATAATTATTCCATCAATTAACTCAATTATGAGATATCCGCGGAGGGACTTCCTAATCAGACTTCTCCGTCTTTTCTCGTCCCTTATCGGCTCGTTCGTGCGGGAAGGTATCTCTGGGTTTTCACGGTACTATATCACCGACTGATAAATGCCTCTTGGTGTCACTTACGTCGATCTCTCCGGCGTCTATTACCTTTTCTCTGTACTGCCTTCTCGACGAGTCCAACGACTGGATGAGGTTGGTCGCGTGTCCGAGGAAGAGCGCGTAACATGTCGCCCCGCTGATCATGCTCAACATGGTCAGCCACATGTCGGTCAGCGACTGCGGTGGAAACCTCCCATATCCTATGCAGAGCATGTGCGACATGGCCTTGAAGAGGGCCCACGAGTATTGCTCCAGCCAGAACGAGTCCTGCAAAGAAAATTAGACGATAAAGCTCCGTCGAGGCGACCTGTGCTTCCAATACCAAAAAAAAAAAAAAAAATTAATTACGTTGACCCCTCACACCGAGAAAAGGGTTTAATTTCAAATTATTGTTCTTTCCTCAACATTAACCGCAAAAGAAATCTCTTGGCCCCCGTGGAATTGATAAGGATTAACCATCTAATATTTAGTTTGTATCATAAGAGTGGACGAAAGTTTCAAATTATTTAATTTCTAAAATAGACGATAAATGTTTTTTTTCTTTTTTTTTTTAATAATGAAATGTGTGAATACCATGCCTAGTACATAATTTATTGCCTTACCCGTCCAAACTCAAGCATATAATTTTAAATAAACGGCCCGGTGGACCCGGAAGCGACGGACCCGGGAACTCGTATCCTCACCTGGAGCTCGTTAATGGCCACCCAGGAGTTGCTGGGGAAGCCTTGCAGCATGGGGACCAGGAACTGCAGGCAGCCACTCCAGTGGCCGATCAGGAGCATCATGCAGATCAGGTTAAAGATCCGCATGAACACCGACGCCATGTTCAGGAACTGCCAACAACAAGGTGCGCGGGTTAATGATTCCGGTACCACGTGGTGAAAACCTGACCTTTCCCACCGTTCGACAGGTTGGACAGGTTGGGTGTCGGGTACCTCCTTCCTCGGTACGCCGTCTCCGAAGCTTCATTGCGGATAGTGTACAGCGAACAAGCGAGTGTCGCACAAACTCAAAAACTCAACGATATATATATATATATATGTATACTCAACGAGATAACGTTAACAATAACAGCAACGATAAAGACAAATCAATCAAACAGGTCCCAGTTTGGGCAGGTCGCACTAACATCTTCTCCCTCTCGGCCTTTGTCAAAAGTATTTCGTCCTTGGTCAATTTTATAGTTTAACAAAAAAAAAAAAAAGAAAATGGAAAAGCTACGAGACGTCCCCTGAAAGTCACCGGTCCATGATTTAAGGTGATATGAAAGTGTGATAACATACGTAGCAAAAAGTTAAAATATTTATAAAAATTTTCTCCAAACTGAGTGGACCGAATTATCGGATACTTTAACAAGTGATTATGGAAGCCCGTGAAAATTTCATTTCTCGAAAAGAAAAATCTTCTTCCGAGACGAATGGAAAATTTATCTCGAAAAATGAAATTTCACGAGCAGCGCGTTCTTCCTTAGAGCCTTCATAATCACGTGTTAATGTCAAATAATTCGGTGCACCCAGTTTGGGGAAAAGTTTTATACATATTTTGACTTTTTGGTATGTATATCACATTTTCATATCACCTTAAAAGTCTCCCTTGAATCGTCTTATCGGCGATGACATCCGACTCGGGGGGGTTTTCAAGGATTTTGCGAACGGACTTTTCCAGTTTTTTAGGTAAACCCGCGATCGTGCCGACACTCCACGGGGCTCGGCGGAAAATGGAAAACCAAGTGGATGGGTGCACCATCGTGTCCCTATAAAGCATGCCACCTGTCCGCCGTAAAACTCCTATACCTCTAAAACATAACTCAACGCCGTGGACTAACTCGACTGCATGCATGCTCCTTCGTTTCCCGCCGTTCCGCCGGCATTGCATCCCGGAGTGTGTGTGCACAATCATAAATCCCAGAAAAAAGGTGACGTTAAAAAACTTGGCCCCGGTCATCCCGAGATCACAGGCGAGCCTCCCAAGACCGCGAAAACGACTGGAGAGATATGCAAATCCGCGAGAATTCGGCAAAAATTGATCGAGATCGAGCAAACTTGATTAAAAAAAAAAATACCCCGAAAATTCCAAATGACCACTAAAATTAGGGTTCATGTACATTAATATGCACCGATTCGGATGTCATCGATCGTTCCCGGGGATCCATCGACACTTCGAACGACCTTATCGAGTTATCAGGAATTATCAGAGAGCGAAAGCACTCGCGCGGGCACTCGGAGAGAAACTCTCTTTCTCGGTTTCTGGAAAGACAAGACGGATGAGCCATCGTATTGCACTCCAACAAAGGAGCTCCTCTTCCCTCGTTTAGCATACATCACGTCTTTATCCTTTTTCCTGTACAGGAAACTATTCATTACCCGCGATTATTAAAGCGCCACCGCGCAAGGCGCCTTGGCCGCCTGCACTGGCCCCGCGGTTTCGGACAAGTCGGCGTTTCCCGGTGAAACGGTGGACCTAGGGGAAAAAATTCCCCTATAAAAGTGACTGGAAATATCGCAAGGCAGGACTTTCGTTCGGGACGTTTTTCGATATCTCGCGCCGAATTCGAGGGATCCCCGTCGGTTCGCGGGGTCGCCCGTCGTCGTCCGTCGTCGTCGGTAAGCCGCGACGGGAGATTCGTTATAGCTAACAGTAATAACAAATAATACGAAAATATAGCATGCCGTAACGAAAACTTACACGCAACGGCGGGAGGTGTGAACACATCGTGTAAACTCAGACGGGGGAGAGAAACGGGGGTTTAGCCAAGAACCTCGACGTCGAGAGGAGACGTCGATGCTTCGGAAACTTAACGATGCGAGGGCCGATGCGATCGATTCGGTGATCCTTTGCGATCGCTTTCTCGGCCTGTCTGGGGATTTTCCCCCAGATCGCAATCCGGTCGAACCGCGATCGCCCCTACCGAGAGATCGGCTCGATCGCTTTCGTCAGGGCTGCGCGTTGTTACGCATGGAGGAAATCCCACGGAGGAAAATAAATAAAAAAAAAAAGAAAGAAATTAAAAAAAATCAAACCATCAAAAGACAAGAAAAAAAATAAATACCCGAGAAAGGATAATCGTCGGATTAATGATCAAGTCCCATGACGATGACGCCGGATTTCGAGATTAGTCCACATGTTCCATGTGATTGTACCCCTTTCACGCGTGTAAAAGAAAGTCCTGATAAGAGGGAAGAGAGAAAAGCCAATATCGCCGGGCTCGTAGGGAGGGAAGAAAGGGGAGGAAGAAATGAAAAACGCGAAATTCGGACGTTCCTCGATGAGGCGTCGCCTCCTCGGCCTGGGAGCGTCGAGGCTTGACATCGCGACGCGTCTTCCCGGCTCTAATGAGAGAGACCGTGTTTAATTGCTCCTCGACTTTTCTACGAGAGAGGAGCCAAGGTCAATTTTATTTTAGGCCGGAGCCTGGACAGAGCACTGAGAGAAAAATAGGCTCGGCTACTTAGGCCGCCGATCGTTGCACCTGAGATGCATCCGAGATGCATCCGGGGTGCACCGAGCTGCAACCCTTGCCGGAGGGATTTGGAAAACCCGTGAAAATCCGGATACACGGGAGGAGGGAATGACTCGTGCCCTTTTCAGAAAGGCCCTCCCTCGAGGAAAGGGAAACAGGGTCGACGTGCAGGAACTGCATCTGCATCTGCATCGTTGCAGTCGTCGCTTTGAAAAAAATCCCTTGCGTCGTGAACTAAGTATATCATTTTTCTTCTTTTCAAATTTTGAAAGGCGAAATTTTCACCAAACTTCGGGGGGTTGTTTCACCCGTTAAATGTGGACCATTGCGGAAGAAGAAGAAAAAAAAAAAAGAAAAAGAAGAAGAACCCAAGGTGGGGGAGGAGGATAGAATCGAAACGAAAATCCATTCTCTTTCTCGCGCCCTCCGTCTCTCTCTTTCGTATTTTTTCCCTCGCCCTCCAGTTTCCGACTCCTGAAGCGAGCGATTACTTCTCTTCCGGGAGTAATCGCGATAAATCGCCGTCCTCCGGTCGACGCCAATTTTCTCCCTTCCCGAGGAAAATCAAGGAGCCTCGGAGAACGAATCTTTCCCTCGTCCCGCGGAATCGTTGGATGGAAATGAACCCCGGTGAGGGAAAACTGAAGATAACGTAAAGCGGAACACGTAATCCCGAGTAATCCGAGATGGCAGGGAGTAAGTACAATACGTCATGTAATATACGTGGTCATCTACATATACATTACAACGTATAATACGTCCCTAGTGTTCTACTCGACAGCGCAAAGTACATTACACCCTTCTCTTTTTTTTTTCCTTAGCAACGATTACAAAAACAAATGTTTAGAAATTATTCTATGCTACTAGGGATACATACAAAGACCTCGGAAAAAATGGAGAATTGCGCCGATGGATAAAACTCATTATCATCGAAATTAAACATGTCCCTAGGTCGGACTCCCAGTGCGCGATGGTGGGCTGCCAGTTTCCGGCAAAATGCGGTCGCAAGGTCGGAAAACTCCCGCGGGAACGGAGAGAGAGAAAAAAAATGAAGAAAAGTAATTTAAAGGGGGAAAGGAAAAAAAGAAAAGAAGAAAAAGAGGAGGTAGGAAGGACGCGTCAACGCGATCGCGTCGAAATTCGAGGCGACTCTCTGAAGAGTCGACGACGTCCCTGACGGCGGGGTCGACGGAAGAAACAAAAGCGGCGACGAGAACCGCGGAAAACGCGAAACTCAGGAGATGCGACACCCTCCAGGCGAGTCCCGCGCTCTGCAACGGAAAAAACAAAGGGAAGAGAACACAAAAGTAAGGGGGGAAGCAAGAGCAACAAGAACACCAACAACACACAAGAACAAGGGCGCAGGAAGCGGCGCAAAAGCCAGGAGTAAGCGTCGACACGTACGCAGGCATTGCGCAGGCATTGCGCAGGCATTGCGCAGGCATCGGTGCGCATTTCGCGCGATAAGAAATCGCACATGCTCGCGTTAACTCGGGCAAAGCTTGGCGATAAAAGCGGAAAGCTCGCTCGCAGAGCAGCGTCAGGGGTGGCAAGCTACTTTCTCATGTACCGAGCTATCCAGGCCTGTACACGCGCGGTCGTTGGTCGCTCGGTTTTCCCTCTTTGCTCTTTGTTTCTCGGCCCAAAGTGCACGCAAGCTCGCACGAGTGCGATCCGCGAAAGCGACAGAAAGGGACGTCGAATGACGAGCGCGCCCACCGTCTAGCGATCAAGAGTATTGTTCTCTCGTAGAGAGAAGCCGAGCGGGTCGGCAGGTGCGGTAGTTTTCACAAGCTAGGGACCGAACCCGGGCTGTCGGACGGACGGCGTCTACGCAGCTCGACTCTCCGTGAAAAGACGAAGGGAAAACCTCTAGGAAGTTTTCCCCTAGGATTGGGGGTTCTCGAGTTACGGAGGTTTGAAGTTGCGCTCCATCGGAAAGCGACGCGGAGGACCACGAGGCCGCGTTTCCGGTAGACCGACGCTCCTGATTGGCCCACGTTCACACCTCCTTAACTTACGAACTACTAACCCTAGGGAAAAAAGTTACTAGGATTTTTCTTTTCAATTTCTCCCGGGGAATCGAGCTGAGCAGACGCCGGGGGCGTTTTGGCGAACTTAGTGTCCAGACAATAGGGCTGGTTTCGATCAGCTGGGGGTTTCTGGCTTGTGTCATCTGGCGAGGATCTACGGTGAAGATGCATCAACGAATCAAAGACTGAAGGGGACGAAAGAACGGTTCGGAAGCGATAGTTCTGCGAGTGGGAATATTATCGGGGGTGAAAGAGTATGGAGGAGACAGAACGATCAGGCTACAGTGGGAAAATTCGTTGCGAAAGAAATGAAGAGATGGGATCCGCCGATATCCACGGTCAGAAATGCATCTCGAGAACGCGAGTCGATCCGCTCTTTTCATCGCCTGGGAACGAAAGAGTTCCGGAAACCGTTCTCAAGACCTGGTGACTCGAGAAAAAGGAGAGGCAGATATCGGACGGTTCGTAAAATGTCGGGTCGAGGAAGATGATGACGGGTGTCGCCGCAGTCGAATCGGGCAAACTGCACTTCCGACACTGTCATCGGATTTGTTCACCTTTGGTGAGGCCCGTCATCGAGTTTGGCGGAATTTCGTTGGCCGACTCGCGAAATAGAGGGCGCCAAAGTTGCGAGATGGGCGCCCTAGGTCGGCGCCCGTGGGGCCAGTGGCGTGGGCGGACTATTGGGGGCTATGAAGTACTTTCTCATCGCTAGGCGGGTGCCGATTTGTGATATACGTAAAAGCATAGCCTATTGCTGCGGGTACAGTGTAATATAGGCGGAAATAAGAAGCGGACGATTTTACGCAAGTATAAACCAACGAGCCAATCAGCGTGCAGCTCTGCGCTCCACTAACTTCCGCCTCGGTCTTGAGTTTTCAAACGCGGACGGAGAGGGAGGCAAACCGCAGAAAATCCCCATCCAAACTGGCGGGTCGATATTGTTTCTTTTTTTTCTTTTTCTCCATTTCATTTCCTTCATCCCTTTAATATTCGAGACGCATCAGGAAGAGTGGCGAGTTTTATCTCCTCTTAGATGGATTTCTTCCTGATGGAGGAGGAAGAAGTTTTCGTGGCGCGATTAAGTTTCCACGGTCTTTTTCATTTCCTCTTCCTTATTCTTTTTTTTCCTTCCCTCTTTTTCACGAACTCCGTCTCTCCGTCGGCTTTCGAAAAATCCCAGAACGAATGACCGAGGCTCGTCCGCGACTGGATCGAGTGGACCAGAGCCTGCGCGATCCTTAAGGCGGGTTACCTTAAAAATAAGGTCGCTTTTGCTGAAACCGGACTTCTTTTTATTCATATTGTCAGAGCTTAGGCGCCCCCTCCGCTCAGTGCGTTTTTTTTGTAGGTTCTGCAATATCTAGAAACAAAAGAAAAGCCGGGACATAGCAAGACATAGTCAGAGAAAAGGAGAGAAAAATGTAGAGAGACCATGGAAAGAGAGGAGATTAGAATTAGACAGAGAAAGAGAAGAGAGAGAAACGGGGATGAAACACGTGGGACGGGACATTAGGTGTGTAAGAACAGTTGTGGCGAAGAGGGAAACCGCCAGAGAGAAAGTGGGCGAGGTAAAGACCGAAGAAAGTGAGGCGGCTCCGAGGTGGAGGGTCGAGAGGATCAAGAGAGAAGAAAGAAGGGAAATTATTTTCAGGGGGTTAGGTAGAGGAGACACCATTCCCTCATCTTCAAGAAGATCTTCAGGGTGGATCTTGCTCGGTGGTCCCTCGTAAAGGTCTTCTTCCTCCCCCTTGATTTTCCAGTATCTCAAAGTCGTCCTTTACTTCCGCATCCGGCTGGCTGGACCATCTCCATGCATCGACTTACCCTTCCACCTCTCGTGGATGGTCTAAACGTCGTTTCCCATGCCTCCTAAGTCTCATTTGGTCGATAAGACTTGCGGATGTGAGGTCTTCTTCGAGGTCCTTCGGATCCAAGATGGCGGACGGGGCCGCCGAAGAGGGCGGCTAGGATCGATCAGCGATAAGTATCGGTAAAGCCATTCTTCGAGACACGTTATCAAGCCGTTGGTCCAGCAAGCGCTGCAAGCTGCAAGCTCGGTCCCCATTAAGATTAATTAGCGCGTCCCTCCGGTTTCCAAATATAGGAAAAAAACGGAAAGGTCCTTTTCCAAGCTTCCCACATTCGGGATCCAAGATGGCGTCGAACGACGCACTCCAGAGGCCTTTCCAAAGCGTCGCAAGAGAGGTTAGCTGGCGCGGGGAAGGAGCAACGATGGCGTCGATGACTCGAGGTCAGCTTTTGGCTTTTGGACCCGATGGTTCGGCGATTAAGTGACGAGGGAAGGAACGAGTCGACGTGGAATGTCGGCGGGATAGCGAGGACGAGGCGTTAAGAAAGAAGGAGGGGCAATTAGAGCGGTTAATAGCCGCGATTAAGTCAGGTTAGGTGTCAAGGAAGGAAGCGCGTCCCTTTCCTGACGAAGCTCGGTCACGAGACACCGGACGAATAGGGAAACCCGACCACTTGTCGGCCAATTCCGCATCGAACAAGTTGCGGAAAGAAAATTAGCGGGGAAACGGCCGACAGATGCGCGCGTTTCCCTCCGGGTGTCGTCGGAGGCGCGTTCTCCAAGATGGCGGCCGCAAGCGTCACCTCGGAGGGGAAATATCCGGAAGAAGAGAAAAATAGAGAAGAGAGGGAGTGAGAGAAAGAAAGACAGAAAGATAAAGAGAAAAGAGAAGGCGGAGCGATCGTATAGCTAGATCATAGTGGGGTCAAGAGAGCAAATTCTCCTTCCTCTCTTGACAAGCGAATTCCGGTCGGTCTTCGTTTGGAACGGCCCTTTCCAATATGGCCGCCATGGGCGCTGCCGAGAAAAGAGAGAGCTCAAAGGTAATTATAAATGGCGGACAGAATGCAAGAGGCGAAGTAAATAGACAGCCAGATTTCATTGCCTAGTCAAGAGGGGAAACAGTTCTCGAGGAATCACGGACGGCCCGATCGAGCGTCGTCTCCGGCGAGGCGTTCTCCAAAATGGCCGCCGCGAGCGCTGCCGAGGATAGGGAAAGACAACGGACGACCGGAAATGGCAGAGGAGGCGAATAGCGGAGTTACTCGAGGATAGGACTTTATCGCGAAGTCGGACCGCCCGATCGGGCGTCTCCCTTTGAGGCGGCGTTCACCAAAATGGCCGCCACAAGTGGTTACCTCGCGGTCGGTTATGGATCCGGTTTTCCGCAAGAGGGAGGTCCGTTTTCAAGCGAGAATTCCCTGTATACGTTTCCGCGGTAACACCCGCGGCTGTTCCATATATACATATATCCCCGCAAAAGCTCTCCCGGTTGCTCCAGATTGGAGCAACCGCGCGTCCATTCCCGGGTTTCGAGGAAAATAGTTCCGAGCGAAATATTCGCCGACGAAGACCGACCATTTCGGCCTCGTCTCGTCGGCGGGTCTCAAAGTGACTCACTTTGATTTTCTCCTCGCACGAGAAATCGAAAGATCGATCGTTAGCCCGATCGATCCGATTTTGTCTCGGGCACGCAATCCGAGGCTTGGCGAGTATATACAAAAATCCGTTCCATCAAACGATGCGAACCAATGTGCTTAATTAAAATACCGCCAAGCGAGACACACTCATAGACAGCAGAGGTATAGTTGGAAAGTAAGGGTTGAGGAGATTGAAAACTGTGCAAGATGCCAAGTGGAGGCGTTTTTCGCGGTCCACGTGTACCTCCGCGTGTCCCGAGTATCGAGATATAGATACCCGGTGATAGTTAAACGACAAGAAGAAAAAAAAAAAAAGAATACCTGACAGAAAAAAGAGGGAAAGATAGAAAGAAAAACCGCTGCCCGTTGCGCGTCCGTGTAGTCCAGGGGTAGAGGAGGGAGAGAGAAAGAGAGAAAAAAAATATATAAAAAAGAGAGAGAGACAACACAAGGGGAGCGGCGCATCGCGCAGGGATTGTTTATTTATAATATATACCTACCCTCGGTGTGCATTCGATCTCTCTCGTCGGGAAGACAAAAGAATAAATTACCACCGTTCTCTGGCTTGACCCCCGACGTGCACGGCGTCGGGGGGTCAAGAACGATCATGTGGAACAGAGGTAACACATAGATCATCGACACATTAAAAACATGTTAACTATATCAAGGATACGACATCGGTCGTGAACACGCTGAACATCGACAAATAACTGCGGTTGTCATGCAAATAAAGGGCGTCAGGGGGGCAAGACTTCTGCTCTAGGTGGACAAAGTCATCTCAAGTTCCCCTCTTGCGTTTCATTAATACGTATAAATACGTTCTATTCTCTCTTATCTTAATTTTTTTTCCCCTTAACCCCGCGACGATCGATCCGGAAATCGACGTGCAATCGATGCCAGGCTCGTCGACGAGGAGCGCGAGCACGAGGAACCCGGCACTCAGCTAGGAACTCCGAGAGATAGACACGGAAATTGACGACCCCTCTACGTTTCGAGAGATAAACACATAAACATTCCAAACGGCACTCTAAAGCTCTCTACGAGGCTTCCTAACTTCTCTCGAATCCCGGCCCGAGTTAAACGGAGCACAGGGGGAGAAACAATAAAGGGTGGACGTGAAGTCGGGGGAGAGATCGGGGGAAGCCTGGCGATCAGCTGATCGACCTGTGCGAGGATCTAGAGGGGCGTTATGGCGGCTTTATCGGCGACCGTCCGGGATTGCGAGTCGTGAGATCTTTCGAAGCCGGTCGACCTCGTGGGAGAGCTTAAATCCAAATGTTTAGAGGCGGCTCCGAAATTAGATCGCAGCTTTCGCCTCTCGACGGAAGCCGGGAATTCCCCTACACGGGGGAAAGGGGCTCGGATAATTGACATCGCGCGGAGAAGTTACTCCGTGAAGCTGAGATCATTTATAGGGAAGGTTTCACACTTGGCCTCGCGTTCGATCATTTTTTTTTTCTTTTTTTTTTTTCCCCACCAATGGAATAACCAACAATCCCAATAATGGGATGCGCGCGAGTGGAGGCTCGTTCTACGTTACCTGATGAGAATTAATTCTCGATTAATATTGCAAACTGCATCAGTTTCGCCGGATGCAACCGACTCCGAGGTAATCCGGGATTTCGAAGGATTACGAGCGAGTGCGCGTGACGTCGAAATTTGGGGGGGGGGGGCCGAAATTTCCTCGTTCAAATGAACCGCGATCCCGTGAATAGACGATATCTCATGGATTCGATGATTCCCATTAATATATTCTCCCTACGCGTCATCCCTGGACCTAAGGACCTCCTAAATCCTGGAGCAATGGTATGGGATCCGTCTCGCTAACGCCGCGAAAATGTGTGAAATTGTGCAAAGGGCTTCGCGACTTCTTGAAAGGAGATGATTGAAAAAAAAATAAATAAAAATGAAAATAAAAAAAGAGACATCTTCCCAATGACGGTGGAAAAGCGAGGGGGGTGAACTGAGGAAAACGAAGCCACAGAGGGGGTCGGGAAAAGAACGTGGGAGTTTATGCCATTCCCGAAGAATCGGCCCGGCGAAGGACGGAGGGGCCGGAGCCGCGCCCTGGGTCGCTCGGGGGAAACGCGCCCTTCCGCCGCGGTATCAAGAGATACGGAAAAACGCCTCCTACAAAAGTTTCGCGGAACAACGTGCCCCGCAACTTCCGTCCGAGGCGTTTCTTCGTATTCCGCCCGGTTGAGGCAGTAGAGCCGCACTTTTCCCCGCGAGCGGCGCCCACTGGGCGGGACGCCGGCCTCCCAACCCCCGGAAAAGCGTGAAGGGGTTGGGGTGGGAAATTTCCTCTTTTCCCGAGGAATTCTTCGAGTACACGGAAAATGAGACTCCATGAAATCAGGCATGCCTAGACAGCGAGAAACATCAAGCCGGGAGGGAAAAAGGGTTTCGATGCCGGGGTCGATCATGATCTTAACGTAACACCGATGATACCCAACGCGCGTTGTGTCCTCCCGATGTTAATATTAATTTTTAATAATTATCAGCCTTGCCGAGAGCCAGTGGTCGGGTCGATCGAAGGATGTCCGGGGGACCGGTTGGAAAAGGATGGAAAGAGAGGAGAGATACAGAGCAAAGAAAGAAAGAAACGAGGTCACACATCGAACACGGGCACACTGCCAAGAAAACTCGGGCAATTAGGATTCCGTACACCTAACACTCACAAGCAGACCTACGATCAGACCAACCACAACGTCTCGCTCGCGCGTCTCCCTTGGTGTCAAATGTCGCCGAGAAATGAGATCCATCCGATACGAGCGCGACGTGTCCGGAAATAATTTTCAATTCGAGCTGGAAATTTTTTTAAATTCCCCCAAATTTCTCAGAGATTCCTCGAGCATCCCCTCGGTGGGAAATAAATCCAGGATAGATTTCGTCGACCCGTTTCGCGAGAAATAAATCTTAAAGAGCCGCATCCTGGCGATCAGCTGCATTTGACACGAAGAGCTCGCGGCTCGTACTATATAGTTCGAACACGCTCGTTAGATCCTAGATTTAGACGGAGCTTTCAACAGAAGAGAGAGAGAGAGGTGAACGAAGAGAGAGACAGAGTGAGAACGTAAGAGGAAGGGGGAAAGAAAAACCAAGAAGACCCGACGAACATGACAGCATGTCATAACAAATCGTTCCCAGGACACTGGCAAAGGACTCCGGTCGACGAGGGGGCGAAACGTGGATTCCGCGTGGTTATCATTACATAAACGCGTATACAAGTGAGAATAAATATGTACGTATGTGCCGATATCACCGAGATAAGGGGATGAGAGCCCCGAGAGCTTCCTTCTCTCGTTTCCGTTCGATCGCTCCACCGGAAGTGGGCGAGGTCGTTAACGAGAGGCGCCCTCGGATAAAGACAGTTCGATTTATATTCTTTTTTACGACATTTTCCGTGTCTCGGGGACCAGGACCAGGATCTAAGAAGACGCGGAAGCGAGAAATAACACTTTTCAAAAGAAACTCGGGACCTAAGGAAGAGTCTATGGCGGCCATCTTGCGTTGTTGCGCGCACATACGCGATCTCTTATTTCTGACAACAGATTTGCATACGGCGCCTTGTTCAAATTATAATACAGCTTCTTAGATCCTTAACTGGACCAGGTCCCAGATATACCGAGTGTATGATTGTTAGAACAGCGTATGAAAATAAAATATGACGAAGGGGTGTCGTCCACGTTGCGCTCCGGCGTCGCCGCTACGGATCTAGAGATGGACTCGATCGAAAGCTCGAAAAAAAGAAAAAAAAAATACCCAGAGATCGAAATGATCCCGACGGAGGCTCAACCAATTACGTCGAGTATAGTCCGAATTTTTCAGGCCCGCCCTGAGAGCAATTACCGATAATTGGTATCGATACCGCACAGCTCGTGGAAAGACTTCCCCTTTACATCTACGAGATTTCCTTCCCGAGGTATTTTCTTCACGAAAGATCTCCAGTCAGGACGGAGTATATAATCCGATATAATTACCATCATCGCGTATGAACATCAAAGGAAAGCCCGCAAATCGCGTTTCCTCGACACGTATCCCCTCCCACGATTAAAGGGGACCTTCCAACGCGCCTCCCCCGAGTGGATTGATTCATCCGGATAACGAGGATTTTTCCTTTCAAGGCAAATAGAGCAACGAGGGGTTGGTGGAGCAGGGATCCCTCGTTAAAAGGAAAAGCCTAGGGGGAGAGAAAACGAAAAAAAAATCCACCCTCTTGGCAGCACCCTCTATCCTGTCCCAAATCCACTTTCGCTCTCCGCACCTGACTGGATCGACTCTTCTTCCCGCCCTTTAATCTGCGCGATCAAGTATATCGAATAGAAAGAGAGAAAAATATAAAAAAAAATAATCACATCGAGGTTTCGATCGAGTCCGCCCATCGAGGACTATCGGGGGCTGTTAACACTCTCCCTCAACGAGTGGCACGACAAAAGACTATGCAGGTTCTCTAGTAGGTAATCATTACGGCGGCGATTTCAAGAAAAAAAAAAAAATGTATATAAAAAAAAATAATCGACAACCTTATTTAACAATAATATATATATAGTGTGTATATATATATATCTAACGTATAGTTAGAAACACTGATCTCAAGTTAACGAACGGTTTAATCAAGAAAGGGCTATTGGCCTTGGTTTTCGGGGTTACTAGGCAGGCACACCTTGCTGGTTCGGTCTGGTTGGGGCGGTGTCGCCCGTCGCTCGTAGTGTCTCTCCGGCTGTTGGTAAAGGGGGATCTGCAAACCCATTCGGAACGTGTTCCGCAAACGTCCACTAGAAAACCCTTCCGGGCCGAGTCCGACCCTTAGCGGCCGGTTTCTCGCGGTTCCCGAAGGAGAACCGCGCCCTGGAAGTGTCTTCAGGGTACCTTACAACTTATGCCACCTGCTACGCCCTCTAGCACTTTTCATAAACACATATATGTATATAATTTTTCTCTCTTAACAGCAGGGCAATGCCACTTAAACCTAACTCCTGATAAACCGCGTATCACTTGGTCTCTTTCCGGCGGCACTTTAGACGTTCAAAAGTTAAGAACGAAAAGACGTCTTTTGGAGGTAAACGCGAGGCACGAGGGCTGACCGTAGTCTGCGCGAATTCTACGGTCGCACGGAGCGATACGGTGTACAACGATATGCTCTTTCCGGCGGCACTTTTTTACATGATAATTCGATCGACCGATGTCTTTCTTTTTTTTTTCTACGTTCTCACACGCGGTCCCCATTATTTCCGGAGGGGTAATTGACGGAAATTCCCGGCGGAGTATTCGGTGGAAAGCGGAAACCGAGTCGGGCTATGGGGAACGAGTTACGAAATTGCGCACGGGGTGGGGCGGGAGAAGCAGCGGGGGTGGATCGCGAAATCCAGGGTTATGGTTGCGCGTTTATGGGGGAGATTTTCGAGGGGGACCATTGGACGTGGTGCTCGTGAAATCCCCGGATCGGTTTTAGGCTCTAGGCGCGCCAGGTGAGTCTCGATATCGGGGAGGGGATGGTCTCGTTGATTCCTCCTATGGACGTGCTCTAGGTGACCATCGAGCTCTAACTTTCAGACCTGAAGGAGTTACGTGAAGGTGTGGCTACGATGACGATACGGGGGAGACTGATATATCGTGAAGTTCTCGATGAAGTGCTTCCCCGATCTGGGTGATCCCCGAAGCTTCGGTTAAGCTCTCGAGGATGAGAGTACGAAGCGGCGTCCACGTCTCCAGGGACTCGAAACGGGCTTAATCGAATAGCGGAGATTGGGAGGGGAGGCGTCGGGATGCGATTTCCATTCGCGCCTCTCCACGGTCTAAGCGAGAAAAAACCACAGAATCTACAGAAATGAAAGGAGCACCTTTCAAAATATACTCCTATATTATGTAAATTAAATTTTTATGCAATTCGTATACCACGTCCGAGGCTTGGGGGGGGAAGAAAGAGAAATGTCAAAATTACAATATCCTGTTTAACGGCGAGATATCCCTGCATTGAGAAATCCTACACCAGGTTTCTCAAGACAAGACGAAGAAGACGTTTCGCGGGGGGGAATTACAGACCGTTCCTGGTTCTTCCTGACTTTCGGGTTCTCTGCTGACCCGAGGTCAGCGAGGGGGTCGAGGGGTTATCAGGGTCTTCTACAGGGCCTTCCCGATCCCCCTAATTTCTAGATTGGCCCTTTCAAAACGTCCTACGGACTCGCAAAGGGGGGTGTATACATACATACGAGGTATATACGGTATGTATCAGGCTGGTGCATAAGTTCTATCGTCGTTTCCTTTTTAAACTGAATTTCAATCGTCGAAAGAAAAATTTCTTTCACTCACGTCCTATATACCATTTCAAAGCCCATCTTCTTTCTGCACTTATAAGTTGTTTTAAATTTATTTATCGAATATGCAGGCGCAAGTTGGAAAAAAAAAATGCTCACTTTGCATATAATACATAAGTAGAAGAAATTTTTTTCGTGATTGAAATTTAGTTTAAAAAAGAAAAACCCACCAACCCAATATATTCCCGTGGTGTTTTCAATAGAGAAAGAGAGAAAGAGAGGAAGAGAGAGAGATATATATATCAGAGGAGGCAAGGTGTACTTCGGGTACTCGAATGGCAGACGAATCGATACTCACATAGACCTCTTCCCACTGCGAGACATATCGCACCAGTCTCGAGAGTCGCAGTAACCTTACGAGCGAGAGCAGCTTCGCCAGCCTGAGGATCCTGAGGGCACGTCCAGCATGCAGGATCTGGAAGGACTCGCTGAAGTCCTGAAACTGAAAGCGGTTATCGAGTCGTCATCCAGGGGAGTCTCGCCCTAGGAGAAGGGCTTAACCCTTTGCACCCGGTAGGTAACACCCAGTCACCATTCCTCCACCCAAGGATAATCTCGGGAATATTAATTACCAATCGTCCTTGGGTGTTATAAAAAAAAAAAGAAAGAAAAAAAAGCAAAGCGAAGACGTGGCTTAGGAATGATTAAACGTCCCTCTTGTCCTCGACCTTGCCTGGAAGTGGGCTCCAGAGGTTCGCCATCCGGAGCGCGGAGGACATACCGAAATAAAGAGGAGATAAAGGGAGGACGAGGACCCGAGTTAACTGCTCCACTTACTTGATTGAATATGAGGAATATGTAGTCTAGAGGTATGGAGGAGATTAGGTCGAGAAAGAACCACGTTCTGAGGTAGTGCTTAGCGATGAGCTTCGGGTCCAGGATCACCTGTTCCGCGTTGTCCTGCTGCATGATACCTGGAAGAAGAGGGGACATGTCAGGGGATTTCCCGTACCCCAGCTGAGGGTATGAAGATCGGAGCCGAGGATAGGAAGATCGGAGCTGAGGATAGGAAGATCGGAGCCCTGGGATGGAAAAACCGGGACCGAGGGAAAAAGTTAACCGAGTCCCTCCCCCAGCTCGGATCGAGCCGGACGTCCAGGAGGTAACCTAACGAAGACGGTTCGAAATTCACGAGGCATTTCTCTCTCTCCAGGGTTCCGGGTTGCAGCCGAGCCGGAAATAGACCCGTACTCGTTCTCCCGATCGAGCGACGTCCAGGCTCCAGGGGAGGAGGTCCCGAGGGAACCGTTTCCGCAGGTAATGGCCCCGAGGAATCGCGCCTGCCCAGCTATACATCAAATATCAAATTCACTCCCCGACGAAGTTACCGCTCCAGGGTCGTCTCCCTGGAGAAGAGGGACCTCCGAAGTTTTCGGGAAAAAAATCGCAACCTTGGCCAGGCCTTACTCCCCTGCAACCCGAGTGAGGATTCCAGGTGAGGTGGAAAAAAAAAAAAATAATACAAAAAATTAAAAACGAAACGCGAGACCGAGGGTCCACGGCCCAAACGTACTTCCCGATGCGCAATGATATCAGCGCGACTCGTGACCCAATTACACGCGCGTGTGTACCTCGTGCTCAAAAGCCCTCCGAATTAATTCCGGAGTAACAATGAAATGTCAAGGACCCGATGGAAAGCCACCCTCTCTCGACGCACCCTTCCCTGTCCCCGTGGAACAAAGCGAAGTGAGGGGAAGGAAACGAAAAAGGGAAACAATGAACCCTGAGGATAAAAAAGGATCGATTCACGGGAATAATTACCGGTTTCCCACTGTCGAGGAGAGGGATAAGTTTATGATAAGCCACGAGTCGATCCACGATCCTCGAAATTGCGTATATGCAAGCCACGTGGCCGATGCAATTCCGCCGCGATGTCGTTGCAATTCCGTTGCACCTCCGTCCCGTCGTTTGTCCAGCCTCGGCGATAAATGCGAAATGCGCCGAGAGGCTCCCGGGGAAAATATTGTTATTTCGACGAGAGGGGGGCTTTGAAAATGGCTGCACGCCCTATGAACACGCGGCGGATATGCCTCGGTTCGACATAACTGCAGCTGCAATTCCCCGTGCAGTTATGTCACCTGGGAGTTTTACGCGCCCGGGACAATCGGGGCCGGATGCGGAGTGAAGGTGTTGGCCTTGGGAATTTTTCGGGATTTATAAATCCGTTTAATTATACCCTACTCACCGGTCCTGAAGTTGACGACGATGTCTATGAGGAATATCGTGTCGGACAAGCAGTTGAAGGCGATCCACCGAGTGCTGAGGTCGTCGTTGAAAAAACTAATGGCGACCGGCAGGATAATGAGGTTGGCCACCAACAGGAGGAGCATGCAGAGGTCCCAGTAGAACCTGAAAGGAAGAGGTAGAAGATTCAAAGGGGGGTCCACGAGAGGATCCGAAGAGACCCTAGGAGGTCAGGGGGCGACCAGGAGAAGGGAATCGAATATCGTACATTTCCCGGATTTTTCCTTTTCTCTCCTGTTTTCCCTCTCCCGCCATTTTTTTTTCCCCCGGGAAAACTAATCAGGATTCTCTCGCGTGCCGGGCTCCAGGGAAAAGTCCCGGGATCCCAAGACAATGCCGCGAGGGGGGCACACACACACGGGGGGGCAAGATGGAATCGCGGAGGAAGGAGCGGAAGACCCAATTTCGGAAAGCTCGGCTTTAATCAGTTCGGTTCGGTTCAGCTCGGTCTGGCAGCATTGGCCCACTTTTCAACCTAATAACGTTGCTACACGCGGCCGATATACGTCTCGGTACACGTACCTGAGTCGCTATTTACACGGTACCTGTGCCGAGGACGAGGCTTTTTAAACTAGTCGATCCTCCCCTCGTTGTCCCTCCACGAGTAAAAGGAATAGTTCACAGTCTTAAGCTGTACTTGCTGAAAACCCTTTGAACACGGAGCCTATTCGACATATGGGCGAAATTCCTCTGACCGTGCAGGCGATATTGGACCAAACGTACGGTGACCATAGTCACCCGTCGTAGCGATAGGGTTAACATAATGCGAAAGGCGCCGAGAAATTAAATCCAGCTCGAAAAGTTGAAAATTCATCTATACCCATTTTGGTATATGGTACTTTGGTATTGGCAATTTTGTTTTATGGAAATGTAACGTCGGTAAAAATCGTGCGAGGCGACCTGCGGAGATCGAATAGGTATAGGGACCCCGGAAACCGAAGAAAGAACTAGACGGGGCCATTGCGGAAAGTCGAGCGGGGGTCGCGATGCATTTATGGAAGCGATGCCATCGATGCAAAAACCCGGCCCTCGCGTATCACTTAACGCCTAGGGGATGCGCCCCCGGATGCACCCCAGATGCATCGCGAATGCAGCCGCGCGCAATGCAGGAGCAATCCTCTTCGGGTCCTCTCGGCCCGGAAGGACGTTTTCCCCGGCCACGAATGGATTCTCCCCCCGAGAGGGAATTTTCATTCCGTCGCCCGTTGGGCCGGGCGATAATAGAAGATAATGGAAAATAATAGAAAATAATGGATTGCAATAGAAAGCGCTCCCCCGACTCGTTATCGCGCGACGCCGTTTGGCGCCTCCGTTGGCGATTATTTTCGGATTTTTTTTTTTTTCATTTTTTTATACAACGTTCCTCGGCCCCGTTTAACGGCGCGGAGAGAGGATCGAGCGGCGCGTTAAACGGACTCCTTCGAAAGCAAACGGCGATTGACACGGCTCGAGCGAGAGCGCGCGCTCGCGTTAACGGCCACCTAACGACCGTTTACATAATCGGCTGGTGGAGGAGGCGAAACGAGCGGCAAATCGACGCCAATTAATTATGAAGGAATACAATTATCCTAGCGGCGCCATCCTGACGTTCCGTTGGAGCCGTTAAACGGGAGCCGCCCGCCGATTCTTTCCCGCCGCCCTCGCCGTTTAGGCGCCCGTTATCACGGCTCTCCGCATTAATCTCAATCTCGAGGATGTCTCTCCTCGTCTAAATCAAACCCATCGCCGATATCCTCGGGGTCAAATACCGAATCTCAAAAAGAGCCCTTGATTTTTGCGAATTTTGGCCACTGCGTGGGGCTCGGGGACAATGCAAGGTGCATCAGGTGCATCAGGTGCATACAGTGGGTGCACCCGGCTGCGCCGATTAGCACGGGTCCCCGTGAAACAGTGTCCAGATTTTTGCCACACGTGCGAGCGCACACGGCCGCGATTAACAATGGCGACCACGGGGTCGCCCATTGTCTGTCAGAGGATGCGCTGACATAACCGGAGGCACGTCTATCTATTTTATGCACCCGATGCACGTACTCCGGGCCGGTGCCTCTGAGCGCGCGCTTTTTTCACGGAGACGTCGCCGCTTTTCTCGCCATTTTCCACGGTTGAAATCGCCAGAAGGGAAATATTAAAAGGGAAATAACAATAAATGGCGAGAAGCCGCGCGACAGAAGCGACAGACGCTTCTTCGACGATTTGTAATTCTGATTTGGTATTGAAAAAAAAAAAAATTAAAAAAATAAATAGATAAAGGTATACACGTTTTATTTTCCACCTGGAATTTTTTCCGGTTTTCCTAGACAATGGAGAAGGTCTCTAGGCGCATCGATGCGCTTGGATTTTCGGGAGTTCTTTGAACTTTCAAGAGGAAAGGGTAGAAAGGGAGGATCATCCTCGAGGTTGTCTGGGAGGGTGGAGAAAGCTCGGGGAATCGAGTGGAAAGCCTCGGAAAGCCCAAAAAAAAAAAGAAGGGGAGGAAAATGCGCGGTGACACGGTCCTTTGGCAATCGCGGCCCCGCCACTTGACTCGAAGGCAAAGAGAAGCTTTTTGCGGAAACAGAGGGTTCGATACTTCCCACCCCCGCGATCGAACGCCACCCTCAGTAGGCGAGGCGGATGTACCTCCCCTCTCGATTTTCCCCAAACATAATGACAATCGGACGGTGCATTGTTTCCGTCCGACGTTTATTTAATTAGTCCGCCCTTAGGCGAAACAATTAACCATCGGCATCGCCGTCCAGCCCTCTCACCTGGGGTCATATCCAATTACCGTAGGTGACGGTCACGCTACGAGGACTCGACCCCTCTCTTTCCCTTTTGATCCCGGAAAAACGTCGCCGTGATTAACGGGCCGGGTAATGTACAAAATTTCGGCCTAATTACATTACCTAAATGCGAAGGTAAATTTCTAATTAGCGGTGGGTACACCTGGAGGGAAATGCCGCGCCTCCGGTTGCCCGGTGATCGGGAATATCGCATCGAGAGATCGAGAGAGATCGAGAGACCGCGATCGGCCGTCTCGACTCCTCCTAGGGAATGTCTAGTTGGATCTAGGTAGAAAACCGGGTCGCCAGAGATGAACGTCTCGAGAATCGGAACGCCAATCGCGGCCGCGAGATCCGGACCAGTGATAAGGGATCGCGATTCCGCGCCCGAGGAGAGAACCTCGATCCCAAGGTCCTCTAGATCTATTGCGAGACCAAGTGACGAATGATCCCCACCTCGAGATAGCCTCGATTTCATCGATCATCTCGTCGGACGGGCCGAAATCGACGAGTCGATCGATTAGCAAAAGGTGCGATTTGACAAAAGGTCCCTCCAATCGAGGTCCACTTTCGAACCTTAATCACTTTCGTCGGAAAAGTGCCGACCTCGAGGGTGGATCCGGACCTCGATCATCGATACGTGGATCGATATCCGGGACAAGGTCGACCTCGTCGCGATTTCGTCGATCATCTCATCGGACGGGCCGAAATCGACGAGTCGATCGATTAGCAAAAGGTACGATTTGACAAAAGGTCCACTTTCGAACCTTAATCACTTTCGTCGGAAAAGTGCCGACCTCGAGGGTGGATCCGGACCTCGATCATCGATACGTGGATCGATATCCGGGACAAGGTCGACCTCGTCGCGGCGACCCGCTGCCACTATCAGGAAGCGATTACGCGGCCGTGATCTTGAACGGCGACACGGCCGAGCGAACCGAGTAATCTTCCTCGTTTCTCCTCGGTTTTGTTCCCCGATCGATTTATCCCCACCTGTCCGCTCGATACCTGTGTCGATTAAGGTGCCCGCAAATCAGCCAATTCGCAACAAAACAAATTTATCTAAGCAAATTGGACCAAACCGTCCCACAACTCGTGATCATCTAAGAATTGTCACATTCGACACATTTCGATTTTTCACAACAATTTTTTATCTCAGGACTGACCAGAACCAAAATGGCGTCGAGCTCTGATATTTCAATCGATATACAATTATTGAAGGCTCTGACGTGAGAAACAAAAAAAAGTTTCAGACGGTTTGGTCCCTTAAAAAATGAGTTAAAAAAAATGTAATAAAACCCGGGAGATTTCGATGCCGGTGAAAGGGGGTACTTTTCACTTTTTAATAGAAAAAAGGAAATGACTGCCGGGACGACGAATAATACAAGCGGTTGTTCAGTGTACAAGTTTGGGTAGACCACTCGAGAAACACTCATCCCTGGCGAACATGTGTTCGCCATTACTCGGGCCACTCGAGAGCGTTTCCATTTTATCCGAGATATGGGGAGGGATATTTCGAAACCCGAGGAGGAAACGTCGGCCGGAAATAGAGAGGACCCGGAAGTCGGTCCCTCGAGGCGAAAAAACGCGTTTACGGTCGAAAGAAAAATCGGAGATCGCCGAAGACCGATCGATGTAACGATAAACTTCTTCCATACCATAATAAACGTGGAAAAAATGCCTGGTTAACGTTAACCCTCTCTCGATGCCGGAAAAAAATATACTTTTTTGTTCCTACAAAACATCAGCTGAATTTCACAAATATTACGGGGTAATATTTCGCGCCTAGATATTCTTATAGAACGCGTTTATAAAGCCTTGCACCTGTATGCACTTGTGCAAAGTGCAACGGAACTCGCGTCCACGGTTTACCGTATACGAAGGGCTAGGGGAAGTCGAGGAGAAAATAGGGGAGGATCAGGGCAAAAGCCGAGCAAAATGGCTCGAATGACGGTGAAACGGACTCGGGTCGACGCGTCCGGTCCCCGGGTGGAGGAAACGAAAAAGTGCAACGGGCGGGATTTTTTCGGCCCGGCCGGAGCCCGAGGCCGATCAGAAAGTAGCCGACCATGAAATTGCAGAGGCCTTGTTCGGGGCAGCCCCGTCATTAGGTAGTTTGCGAATTTAAGCAATGGTTTCCTACCACTAGTGCCCAGTTAATGCCGGTTACATAATGCCCGACGATATCGCGTGACCCGAGAGGCGAGGATTCAGCGAAGTGAGGAGGGACTTCGGGTCCAAGCCTAAGAAGGGGACCCAAAAAGAAGGACGAGGACCGATTCTAGATCGGCCATATCGAAGGCACATTTAACATTGCCTTTAGACATGCAACAAATTTTCCTTCCTCTTTCCAGTCCGACCATTTCCGAGGCGAGACTCGAGGAAGAGGTTAAGGTGAAGTGCAACCCCCCTCGAACCAGTCGACTCGTCTAAGACGCTTCTTTTTTAAGGGTACTGGAGAGAACTGTCAGAAACTTCGACACGTGCCTCGCCAGTACCTAGGAATTATCCTGACAGTTTGAAAATTTGGATTTTGTTACCTGTCGATATAAAAATGAAGATAGGCAAGGTAAGTGTTTCACACTTTCGTGTCACCTTAACGAGAGGACGAGTCGCGGTTTCGCCACGAGGAGCTGCAATGGAAACGGGAGGTTTGATCCTCCTTTTAATTTCTTATAATTGACTTTGTAAACAATCAGCTTTCGACGCGAGGATGGTCGCTCGGACGCGCCTCTCTCGGATAACTGGAGTAGGCACCAATTGCTCGCCGCATCGCGTGTCGGATTGCACAACGCGAATGCATCCTTCAAGGGGATGACGGAACGTCCGCGAGAAGCCTAATTGACCCGGGTGCATGCGCAAATATCCAGCTACTTGCATCCTCAGGCTCGGATCAACCGCTCCTTCTGGGGGCCGAGACGTCTCGGATGTCGAATGACGAGGGATCGTCATGGACCCGAGGTCAGTCGAAGCGCTGCGAAGTGCATCGCGCCAAGTGCATCGAATCTTAATATGACACGGAAGGCGCTGAGAAATTTAATCGACGTCGATAGATGAAAAATTCGTCTATACTCTTTTTGATGGTAATGCCATTTTGAATACTTAAGTGATAAGCGGTCAGCCTAAGCGCTGCGGGGTGCATCACGCCAAGTGCATCGCATCAATATGACACGAAAGGCGCTTAGAAATTTAATCGACATCGATAAATTAAAATTCGTCCATACTCTTTGAAGGTGCATCGTGCCAAATGCATCGAATCTAATTTTAAGATGACACGAAAGGCGCTTAGAAATTTAATCGACGTCGATAAATTAAAATTCGTCTATACGCTTTTGCGATGGTTTCGCCATCCCGAGTACTTAAGTGGCAACATAAGCAGGCACGTCGCGTTACCGACATTTATATTTACGTTGAAGTCTCTTAAAGTCTAAACAGGCGACCCTGACAAACCGCGAAAAAAAAAAAGATCTCCTCTTCGTCCCTCTTCCAGCATCCCTATCTACCGTTCATGTCGGCGGTAACGTAACCGCTTCCTCGGCGATCAGGCGTCGGGCAAGAAGTACCGTTCTCAATTAATTTAAGTACCAGATCCGAGTACCGAGCAAGAAGTTGGACAGCAATGTCAAAGTAATGGCCGCCTCAGCCTACGTACGAGTCAAACCGCGGATCTCAATTCGTCGACTAAAGACAGGAGGACGTACCGATCTCAGCCTTGGAGTACCCCGAGAGTTCTAAATGATCCGCCGAGCGAAGAGAAACGATAAGAAATTAATAGACGTACGAAGAGAAGAAAAGAAAAGAAAAAAATATACATATTCGAAGCAATTTCAGGAAGTATCTAAGGTGACGCATGGGACTCCCGGGGGTGCGTCGCGACGGCAGGACAATCGTCGGCTGTCATCGGCACGGCTCGTAAACTCCGTGGGGGGCCGTTTTGATAGGAGCTAAGCAGAACCCGATACACGGCCTACATATCCCGGCGCGACTCTTGGCCGTAATTGCCAGTCAATTGTCGCACCTCCCGGGCGGAACCGCAGCGGAAATTAATTACCGCCGAGTCGATACTGCGCGGGGGGTACGGGAAGACGGCTCGAGTTAGCCCGACCGTGGAAACCCGTCGAATTAATCCTAATGAAATGTCTCTCTCTCTCTCGAGAAAAAAGGGCAAAAAAGAAAAGGAGAATCCGACAAAAAGGGAGAAACAAAGTCCCCGAGTCGAATGTCGCTAATTGGTCGTCGGGACGCCCTCTCGGCGTCTCGAAAAGCCCCCTCCCATCTTTTCCTCAATTTTCACTTCGCCGGAAAAAAGAATGCCTCGTCCTCGTCGAGACGGGCCGACCTTAAGGTGATGCCAAAGTGACGAGAAGAGGTCTCGTTTATGAAACTTATCTCCGAACCGAGGTTTAATTTTTTTTTTTAATTTTTTTCGTCAACGGATAAGCGGCGTCTCTAAAAGCTCCCCCCCATCTCAATTTTCACTTCGCCGGAAAAAAGAATGCCTCGTCCTCGTCGAGACGGGCCGACCTTAAGGTGATGCCAAAGTGACGAGAAGAGGTCTCGTTAATAAAACTTTTCCCCTAACCGGGGTTTAATTTTTTTTTTTCTTTTTTTAATCTTTTTCGTCAACGGATCAGCGGAGTCGGGACGAGCCGGGAGTGTCATCGGAGGCTATCTCGGATGCGCAGCATCGCCCGTAAGAATGATCTCAGAATAATCATCCGATTAAAGCCGGGGGCTACCGTGTCACGGCTCGGACGCCTCTGTACCCGCGGAGGGGGAAGAGGGTCCTCCCGTACGTGCACGCGTGTACAGAGGCGTAATGCACGAGTGCATCGGGGACGGCTGGTCGGGTAATTCACGGCCCTGGACCCCTCGTATGACTGGGTCCGTCAGTGGACGCCATTGTCAACGACACTCGTTGCCGGGACACGGTGCTCGCGTATACGTGGAATCGAAACGCGAGCACGTGGGGCCACTTCGGATACCGGGATGCTGAGACCTATATCTCGGGTGGAGAAGATCGAGGAACCGGGGAAGACGCGATTAGAGAAATCGACCTTAATCTGGCAGAAAGTGTAAGGCGGAAAATGTAGACGAGACACTTGCACGGATGCCGCGCAGGGTGGAGGGACTACAAAAAGAGCGATCCAAACCCGGGACCGGCATTTCGGTGTCACAGGTGACCGGATGCTTTATCAATTACCTGATACCCCAATAGATAATATCTGCGCGATCGTAGCTCCCTTGGAGTAATTTTCAAGTAAGGAACGATAAAAAAAAAAAAGTCGCATCGGCCGCGCGCTATCGACGAAACCCGGAAATCCTTCAGGAAACGCCGCGATTAGTCCGTCGTTAATTGGCGGAAGGAACGTCACCCGAGCGAGAGAGAGATTTTCTTTTTTTTTCTTCCTTCCAGGGGGTGGATTTGGCCAATGGTCCGGAAATCGGATACTCCTCGACGCGGCGTGCCGCGGAAATATCGCGGAAAATCGCGGATCGCGGCGGTGCAGTTTCAAGAGAGAGAGAGAGAGAGAGAGAGAGAGAGGAAAAACCCCTCCGGTTTCGGTTTCAGGGTGAAAAGTTACCTCCGATATATATATGGAGGTCGACCAGCGATCCGGAAATCCCGCGCGTTAATCGCCATCTTTTTTTTTTCTCTCTCTCCTTTCTTTCCGCGCGGCGACGCGGGGTATAATCTCGTCAAACTCGAGTTTCCGGTCCAAGTGGTGAAGAAAATTCTAAAACGTCGCGAGAGAACGGAAAGGAAAAAAAAATCAAGAAATTCGCTCCGGAAATCCGCGCGTTTGATTTCGAAAAATCATTAGGGGCAACAATTTTTTTTTTCTTTCCTCGGTGCAGGCAAAATCGAAATCGTCATCAAGGGTCAAAACTGGGGAGGGCTTAACGAGGTCGATTTTACGATCGCTTAACGACTCGACGTCACGTGGTCGCGGCACGCGCATCGAAATGCATCTCGTCGTTACCGCCATTAGCCGTGGGGAGGAGGGGGCGAGGGCTGCTGCGACGTTCCCCATTAGCATCCGGGGAATCAGGGAACCCCCCCCCCCCCGTTAAATGTCTCCGCCGAAGGACGTCGAGGCGATTCCCCTGATAACGCGGATTAGGGCCGCGAGTCCCGGTTACGGGCAATCAGCGAGGGATTCCCGCGAGCGCGGAAACGGCGAGCAATTTCAGGCAATTCCGCCCCATTGCCGGTGGACGCACAGCGTTTTCGGCCAGCGCGAGGGAACCTCGGGACACCCCCGGGTGCACCTGCAAATCCGTACGTTCGGAAGGACGCGGTATAAAAATGATAAAAAAAAAATATATATATGTATATACAAGAAAACACGAGACGCCGAGGGAACGGACCGGAAGTATCTTGGAAGTTTCCCAGGACTCACCGGAAACTGGAGCAAGGATGTATGACCCAGTGACCCGCGGCCTTTTGCCTGATCCTCTCCTTCATGAGGGCCTTCTTGCTGCCGAAGAGCTTCATGGCCAGCTTGTTGTCGGTTGGCTGGAAGAGGGCCTGCAGTTGGTTCTTGAGGAAGCTCTGCTTGACCTCCTGGCCCGGGAGGCCCGGGCCGAGCTCCTCCTTCGGGGTCCCATAGAGGGACACGTCGTCCACCCCGAAGTGGACCTTACCGCTGCCTTTGTAATTCATCTCGTTGCCTGAAAAAAAAAAAAAAAAAAAGGGATCGAGAGGGTCTCGTTAGAACGTAATCATCTTTTCGAGGGGTCGCGTCGTAGGATAAAAGGAGCATCCCCGATGCGTCGATGCGTCGCGAATAAGACATCTTATTTCAAGGAAGGGCCCTCGAAAAAAAAAAAGTGCATCGGCCGCGATGCACTTCCCCTGCATCAGCCTCCTCCCGGAGGGACTTTTATAGACTTCCATCTCGCTCTAATCATTTGTTTCGAGAATCCTGATAAGGTCTTAGGACATAATCAAGTCTCACCTTCCATGGGTTACCCGAGCTCGGAAACGCCGATCGCCCGACAAGAAAATCAATAAACAAATAAATAAATAAATAAATATGAACGGTCGATTATCGCTCACGCACTCTCGTCAAATCCGCACAAACCGCAGGACTTCCCGGGAGGTAATGAACATTCAACTAGACCCCGATGGCTTTTTCAATCGAGACCGAGATCGCGCCATTCGGTCGACACGCCGCGTTAAGTTAACGGCCGCGTTATCGGCCGCGTTATCAGCTATGAGGAAAAGAGGCGCGACCAATTATTCCGCGCGAAGTTAACGTCGACTTGCCCCGAAGGACGAATTCCTGTCGATTGCCATGCAGCTTTGAAGTCGATCCTCAAGAGAGGTGGACTTGATAGCTGATAAGACAAAATTCCAGTAAGACTTGAATTATGAATTTTATTCAACCGATAGTAGTCCTAGACAGTCGGAAAGACTCAAAGCCTCCCGCGTCCGAGGTCGCGTACAATGGCACGGTGCGGAAATAAAAGAAACGCTTCTCTGTACCATAAAAACCCGGGCATACGCGGTGCGGTTAAATGCGGCGTCGCCTGTTTAACCAAGAAAAAAAAAAGAAAAGAATAGTAATAAATACGAAAAAAGGGGGAAAAAAATTAACGGGTGCACCACTGGCACCGATAATTTGCCGTCGTCCTTGCCGGGTCCCGGTAATTGCCGTTTCGATTCGCGTGATATAATTGCAGGTTAACCTGAGCCACTCTTACATGCAAGAGATAGAGAGAGATGTCTTTTCAATCGAGAAAAAAAGAATATTGCGATTTTATAACACATTCGTTGGAGGTTCCATTCAGACCCGGTATACTAATTGTATAACATATTTTCAATTAACGCGGTTTAATAAAACTGTTAATCCACTTTGAATTTTATAATCTGTACTGATTCATTGTTAGGACGTCAGATTAATATTAATATTAATAATTTTTTGCCGCAACTCTGTGTGCCAAAAAAGTGTATGAATTTTGTCAATGTCTTTTATCAGGGTGGAGGTAATGGATAATCGAGAAAGGACCTACCGGTGTCCCCCAGGAAGTCGGTGATGAGCAGGGTCTCGTCGTCTAGAGCGGTGACGAGGCTCCCGGTGCAGGTGTTGGTGTTCTCGATGCTGATCTTGATGCTGTCATCCTTGTTGAGCCTGGGGTGGTTGTTCGCGGAGGGGTTGTTCCCGTGGGAGTTGTTGTTGTGGTTGTTGTTAGGGTGGCCGAGATGGTGATGGGGCGATCGGACGGACTCGGTGCTACTTGTGTGGAGACCGACGCCCGTCGTCGCCCTCCCGTTGACCAACCGGAGGCTCGGCGCCCTCCGGCCCCCGCCGCCTCCGCCGCCCCCTGATACCGCACGGCCGCCCCCGCCACCGCCCTCGCCCTCCCTGCAAATAAATCAACGCATTGTTTAATTACACCGTCGAAAAGAAAAAAAAAAAATCAAATTATTAAATTTTTCTTGGAAGTTTCATTCACACATGGTGTACCAATTTCATAAAATATATTCAAATAAAATGTACAACATATATTAGGAATTTAGTACATATGTGTAATAAATTTATACACAAATACTTGTCATCTTATGATTAAATTCCTTTGAAAATGAACTTATGTAAACGTGAAATTTATAATTTTACTGCAACCTTATGTAGGAAAAGTGTATGAATTTTTTTTTTTTATACGGACCACGTGTTCCAAGTAGCTCGGAAAGGGACAACTTCCTCCTCTCCCTTATCGGGATATTCTTCAGTTTCCGGGTTTTTCGGATCCTACGATCTCGCCCCCGTCCGCCCTTTACGGCACTTTCACGACCGTATCCCGGTTTACGTCCCCGCTATCGGGGAGATGGGGAAACCGGGAGGGGAAAAAAGGGACGTCAACCCCTTTCGCGCGGTGAACTCGGAGAAAGCACCCCAAGGGTTATCGAGCGGAGTTAACGACACGAGAATCACCCGTGCCAAAGCTAATATACCGAAGGTCCGAGGTCCCGCCGGTGGATCACTTTTCCTCCCTTTTCCAACCTGAGAAAATCCCCGATTAAAATCAGGGCTCACCCCCTATCCGCGTGGAAAATTAAATCCCTCGATAAATGTCGTTGGAATAAAAATTAAAACGTATTAAAAAAAAAAAAAAAAAGAAGATATTAAGACAATTAAGGGCGTTTCTACGCGAATCACGAAACTACCCCCATTAGCCACGTGTCGAGGGATCGGACCACCCGGGGCACCCAGGGTGCATCTCGCCGCGTCCGCATCACCCGGGGCATACGAGGGATGCAACCCTCCAAAAGCGGAAGCGTGGAGTCCGCGGCATATATATATAGGACCTATGCACATACATGTGGATGTAGAGTAGTACATACACACACCCCGAACCGTCCTCGCGTCGAGGGGTTGTCGTTGCAGGGTGGAGGTGCACACACCTGCGCCGCGGTGCACAGGTGCACTTACGTCCTAGGATCGGTCGTCGCGGCGTAGCCTCCACCGGGTACTAGAATCTATTTCGGGAGCCCTCCCGAAGGGGTAGGTGCGGTGGGCGAAACAGAGGAAACGCTAAGCCGAAACGGATGAAACACCTCGCGAGGCCCCACCCCCGGTGCAACCCGCCCTCGAAACTCCGCGGAAGGAAGTCAAGGTCCATTTTCGATTGCACCCTCTCCCCGTGTCCATTCCGCCCCCTCGCAGTCCCCTCCGCCGAGGTCGGCACAATAAAGAGCACCGATCGGGAGGGATGCACCCCTTTGCACCTCTCCACCTGGACGGCACAACGTCGCGACCCTCCTTATCAGACAACGATTGTACCACCTCGCCGATGGCAAGCAAAGCGTCTTGCCAAAGTGCGAATCTCCGCTCGCTCGACATAGAGGGTGGTTTCATGAAATCCGCAACGAAGCATTTAGCGTACTCCAGGAAGCTAACCGCGAGTAGATGAGACATCCGTTGCCAGGAATCGAGGGTTCCGGATCACGAGCCAGAGTTCGGTTCGGAGGGGTCGTCCAACACCTCCGGGGGATGCAGGACGAGATCCTCCCGATCCCCTCCCCCGAGGGTCGGCGTAGGCGGATCTCGAGGGTGCATCCGCGACTTCCGGGGGCACTTCGCGAGAGCCCTCCCCGGGGGGTGGCCGACGAGGCCAAATGTGTCGCGACGAGGAGCCACCCCCGGGCCTTTATTGCGCCTCCCCCGTTTCCCTTTCGAGTGGCGGACAAATCCACCGTTGGCAGAGGCTTGCACCCCGGAATCCCTCGGAGTCAGCGATCCACCGGGAGATCCGCCGAGGCCGATTAAATATTGCACCCCCGCGAAGGTCGGTCAAGAAGGGGAAAAAACGAAAGAAGGGGAGGGAGACAGGTACCCTGACGCGCACAGGGAGTCGTGCTAACCACATCCGCGGGGGCTGGCACAGAGGATGCACCGGGTGCCGGGGTGCACGATAAGGTCGCGGGGGAGGAAAAAAAAAAATAAAAAAAAAATGATACAATCGTCGCGAACAAGTGAGCGACGACACGTCGATCCGCCGTCGAGGGGGGGACCCCTCCAACCCCCGATATACCGCGCCTCGAGGGTGAAGGCTAAGGGTAAAAAGTCGCGCACTCCTCGGAATTGGAGCACCCTGTCTTCGGGACGAGTTCTTTTTTTTTCCTCTCCCCCCCGGGCGAGACGCGTCCGTGGCAACCGCGGCGGAATGCCCCCGGCGAATCGGCCGGTCGCCCGGATCCATTATTCCGCGGGCTCGGCCAATTTTTATTACCGGCCAATCTCATTCCAGGGGGATGAAACATTAAAGGGCTGACCTCGCGACCTCGCGGGGGGGAATGGAAAATTCTCTGCTTCGACCCGGGATCGCGTTCCTATTCGAGAATGGTCGCCACGTGGTTGGTTCCATATAGGAACCCTACCTTGGCCAAAAAATGGCGAAATATCGGTCCATCGCGTAAATTACGGTCCAATACGTAGCCAGTAATTTGCAAATGTCGAAATTAATTTCCATTTTAAATATCGAAAATCAAATGTTAATTAAACACTCGTTGGATATTGCAAGTCGCAGTCCTAGTTACTATATACCGTTTCGACGTTGTCATTCCCGGTTGGATATATGTTTTTCAATATTGCATTTATCGCAAATCTTATATCCTCGATCCGATGGAAAAACGATATCGCATCTAAGCTGGGATTTTATAATAAGCAATATTGTTTTCCTACATGGGGTAGGGTCCTTGGATAAATATTACACCGAGGGGCAATCGGGCCCCTCGATGAATAATGCAGGGCAATTAACATCTTTTCCTCGCGGCGCGGACAAACACGCCTGCGGTTTATCCGAAGCGAATTGCGGAAACCCGCGACCGGCTAATGCGACCAACGGGGCCGATATGTACATACGTAAAAATAAAAGGAAATGGAAGGGAAGGAAAAGAGAAAAACAGTAACGAGACCGCCGAGCGATAAACAAGAGGGGGCGATTTCGAACGGCCGAAAAACCGGCATCGCGATTACCGCGGCCTCACTCGCTGCCGTGTACGTGAAAAACGCATATATAAAATATTAATCATTCCGACAAGCGAGTTTTCCGCCGCCGATTCGTCCCGATTGGCAACGGTCACTCGGGACCTCGACTTTCGATTCCGCCAAAAAAAAATAAATAAATAAATAATAAGAGAGGGAGAGAAAAAAACGCATCGATCGCAGTCAAGACCGCGACGAATCGTACCCGCGGAAGTCCCTAAAAAATCCTGGAATTATCGTCCCCAAATTAATTGGGCGGAATTTTCATTGTTGCGGGATTTCGACGGCTCGCTACCGCATTCGAGGCTCATTCCTCGGTGCATTATGCGCCGGGGAAACTGCATTTACGGGTGCACAAATGCGGCCGAAAGACGGGGGTAAGAGGGGAGAGGAGGGCCGGGGGTGGATTCCTCGCGCCTCGGAAAGGGTCCATTCATTCCGAATCCCTCGGGATTTCGGAAACCCGCGGCCAGGGACGCGACTGAATTTTCTAATCATCCTCCAAGCGACGCAAGACACGCCGATAAAAGAAACGGGCGCGGCCAATTTATTCCGCCCACTCGTCGAATGTTAAAGCACCGCCTGAATGATCCATACCCGAGGGAAAAAAAAAAAAAGTGAGAGACTTGCATTTCCAGAAAACTACGATAGAAAAGGCACCGCCGATAAATCCTCCCTCTTATCGCGGTCAGAATTCCTCCGACGGAAAAAATGCTTGCTATACATTGTTATAAAAAAAAAGATTCATAAAATCCATACACCTTCAGTGAGGTTTAATATCACATACATTTAATATAAAAATATGTTACAAAATTTGTATACCACGTATGAACGAAAAATGTCCAACAAATGTGTTATAAAATTATGGAATTTCTTTTAACACTGTATGAAACTTCCATTCAAACAATGAAATGCTTGCTGAACTGAGAAATAAACGTGTACCGACATCCGAAAGTACGTATTTACTATTTAATTGTTTTTCTTTTACAAGAAAAAAAAAAAGTGTCGTTGCGGCAGTCCCGCTCTCGGTGTCGGTCATACTCAACGGCGGTGATTACGTTAACGACCGGCCGCACGGGCCGCGCGTCTTAATTGCGAAGACGATTTCCGCAAATGTCTCGAAATAGTCCCATTTTCCCCGGGAAAACGCCCCCCGATTCCGCGCCGCGGAATCGACGCCGCTTCGATTCTCCCCGCGACATTCTCTCCGTACAAGAAATCGACGTAACGAGCGTAACACGCGGAACCTCCGCGCATGCATAAACGCACTCGCGATCCGACCTGCGTATTACTTATTCGACGCCCGGCGTCGATTCATTAAAGGCGAAGTAATTAACCCCCGCCTCCTTCCTCGGAAATTCCTCAGGCATTCCGCGGACTCGGGTCCGGTTTCCCCGCGGGCGTTTCGCGTTGTCCGTCCATCGAATCGGGACAAATCGATCGACGCAGAATCGATTGTTGCACCATTTGTCGGGCGCGGGAAAAAGTGAGAGAGAAAGAGTACAGAGCCCCCCCCGCTGGTGGGACAAGGAGGGGGAGTAGGGGCATCTCAAAGTCACGTCGGAAAATTATCCAGCGAGGAAAATAATGGAGCTCTATCGGGGCCTCTATCGGGGATCGGGTGACGTATTTTACATCGAATTGCGATTTGACTCGAGCAAGAAAAGAAATGAGCCGGAGCCACGTAATCGGTCGCGCAATACACGTCGCTCGGCAAGTACGCTCGATTCAACGAACTTCTTGCCGCCGAGGTGAGACAATGCATTGCGACGTCGTGAGTGATTGGGACAAGAAAAAAAATGAAGAAAAAAAAAAAAGACAGAGAAAAAGGATACCGACTCGCGCGTACGTACGCGCTTGAAATTCCATG